CGTTGAACCAGACGCAGGCGCGGAGCACGGGCCAGAGGTAGCGGAACGCGGCTTGGTGCGTGTTGGAAGCTGTCTTGGGCGTCGAGTAGATTTAGCCGGAGAGCGTAGTCGGCAAGGTCACGCCCAAAGGGACCGTGACGGCGTGAAGCGTGCTCCACACGTCCTTGATGAAGTCGCAGCCGACGAGGAAGTGGCGGTACGTCTCGTGCGCGGGGCAGAAGAGGCACGCTTGGTCGGCCCTGTCGAGCCAGTGCAAATGTGCGCGGAACTTGACCGCGCGGAGCATCACTTGGTAGACGAAGTCGGCGCACTTGGGTAGGATGGCGTCGGGTAGCCGGAGCTCGGCTGCGGCGTCGACGGCAGCAGGCGCCTCGTAGAAGTCTTTATCGACACCCAGGTGGCGGTTCGGTAGCTGCAAGCGCGTCCTTGGCGGGGCACGATGTTGGCGGGCTCCGGCGGGCGTCGTCAGGCTCAACGGCTTGGTAACCTTGTGTATTCGAACCAGCCATGGCGGCTTGGGAGTCGGGCTTGGCACGGGGCCACACGTGAAGGCGTCTACAGTCGTAGCGAGCCAGCCGAGCCACTTGTCATTCGGTATCACATGTGGGCCGACGTCACGGCCGCGGCACTTTGCCGTCACCGCTTGGATGAGGCGTTGAGTTCTTGTCGCGAGCGTCTCCGTCGGGGCGGCGGCGAGCATCAAGGTGGGAACGTGCTGGGCTTGAGTGATCCTGATCTTGGCCATCGTCCGTGCGTACCGAGTGCGCCATCTTGTGGTATTTTTATGTCACTACAGCTATCTACCGGGAGAAACTGGTTGGACCAAAGTGGTTGTTCGTGGACCAGCGGCGACGGCGTCGGACGCGTGCTCGACCCCACGCGAATGTCGAACCAGTACTGGAGCATGAACTTGAACCGGTCGGCACAGCCTTTGACGTAAGCAGCGCCGTATCCGGGGGAGCGATGGGTCGGCGAAGGCGAGGTCGGCAAAGTTGCCCCACGGCGCGTAGGCGTTCGCAGCGACAGCCATGCTTGGTAACGACCAGGCCGGGACCCGGGACGTCGTGAGCGCGGCCTGCATGTAGCGTGGCGATTGGCCACGGTGACGCGCTGACCACGTAACAAGCGCCGGCTTGCGGCCGAGGACGGCTTAATGTTTTGGCGCGAAGACGATATTTTGATGGAGGAGTCGGTGGCCTTGCGCACCCGCGCCGATAACCGGCGGCTCGCCATTGATAAAATGGAGGATAATTTTGTCGATGATTGCGGCCGTCGTCGTGTCCGGTGCGACCCACGCGAGCTGGTACCAGAGGACCGGTAGGCAGACCGCTTGCAATTTGATGGTCTTGCCGGCCAAGGTCGTCGACTTGTGTCGCCAGTGGAGCAACCGGTCACGCAAGCGACCCAGTGCGTAGTCGTAGCGAGCGTTGCGCGGCAGACTACAGGTTCGGAGCTACGAGAATGCCAAGCGCCTTGGTCGGCTTCGACGGCTGAACGAGCTGCAGTGTCTGCAGGTTGGGCAGAGGCGAGTGCGTGAGGACTTTCGTCTTGTCTCGGTTCAGCTTGAATCCCGAGAGGCTGCAAAAGTGGTCTACGAGCGCAAGCTGGCGCTGGAGAGCGGCTTCGTTAGTCGCAAAAAGTTAAAAGTCGTCGGCAAAACAGCTGACGACGTGTGTCGTCGAGTCGATCTGGAGGCCGTCCTGGGCGCGGTTGCGGAGCTGGAGGCACATCGGTTCGAGCGCAATCACGAAGAGCAGGGGCGAGAGCGGGTCACCTTGGAGTACACCTCGTTTGATGTAGAAGGGCGACGAGAGGTCACCGTTGACGAGGATCTTGGATCGGCGTCCCGAGTACAAGCATTGCACGGTGCAATTTGCACCATGGTGCAGAAGCGCTGCGGGAGACCCCACTTGCGGAGCACCGCGAGCAAGTAGCCGTGGTCGACGCGGTCAAAAGATTTTCAAAGTCGAGGAGCGCGATGGCTGCCTCGGGCTTGTGGCGGCGGGCGTACTCAAGCAGACCTTCTAGCCGCTAAATGTTGTGCATGATCGAGCGTCCTCTGATGAAGCCGTTCTGATCCGTGTGTACCAAAAGGTCAGCGCACGGCTGCAGCCGGTTGGGCAAGACGGTTGTGAGGATCTTGACGTTGCTGTTGATGAGGCTAATCGAACGGTAGCTGGCAGGGCAGTCGCGATCGCCCTTCTTGTGCAAGAGGATCGTCGTGCCTTGGACTTGGTTCGGCGTTAGCGTTGCCTTGTCGAAGAGCGCGTGGTTGAACACGAGCTCGAGCAAGCTGGCCCACTTGGCCGACGCCAGTTTGAGTATTTCGTAGGGCAGCACGTTCAGGCCAGGCGGCTTGCGACGCGCTGCTTGCTGGATGGATTCGTAGAGCTCCGAGGCCAGTATCTGCGCCCCGAGGCGCTGGGCCATGTCGGTTGGGGGGCGCGTCTTGATCGTGGAGTCCAGGAACAGGTCAACCTCGTGGGCGTCCGGTCCTTCTTCTGCGGCGTATAGCGACGTGTAAAATCCATGCAGGACCTGCGAGATCTTCTGCGGCGTGGTGCGAGCCTGACCGGTGGCGTCGCGCATCTGGTGGATCGAGTCTGGTCCTAGCTTCTTGATCGACGGAGACCTTGAGTGGTACTTGGTGCATCGGGCGGCTTCCGCGAGATGGCGTTCCACTGCCGCTTCTGTCTTGTGCTCTTGAACTTGCGCATTGTGTTGGCGTGTACGTGTGTTGACTTGGTCGGGGCGCTAACGTACAGAGTCTCCGAGACAAAAAAGTAATCCACATGTAATCTGTTTATGTGGCACGGGCTAGTGTACGAGATCGTGGTGGGGCAGCGCAGGAGTTGTTCGACCCCCTGGAGGATTTCCGGCCGCGGCTCGAACGAGTCAAGGGCGCCGGACAGAATGACTTTGAAGTCGCCTTTACAATGTGCTCTGCGTCGGGTTCAAAGCGCTTGGGGCGCCGAGCGAAGAAGGCCTCGCGCTTGCCCGGTTCGGCCGGGGCGTAAATGTTGTGGAGATAGAGCACCTTACCGTGATAGCGCCCACGGGCCAAGACGTACCTGTTGTCGAGCTCCGGGGCATGGTGTGGTACTTGGATGAGGTCGGTGATCAGATCGTGTGGGTGTACCATGGTGACGACGCCCCGACACGAGTGCTCGTTGTCGTAGGTCGCATAACGAGGCGGGCATTCGAACCACTCACCTTGATGTTGGACGAGTTGGCCCCACTTGTGGCTGGCCGTCGCGCTGACGTGCGGGTTTGAGAACTTGGTTTTCTAGATGACCGTGACGGCCGACGTGAGCGCGAACGAGCATAGAATCCCGTGCAGCTTCTTGCCGTCGTTCACGCCGTTGACATTGAGTGACTTTACCTTCAGCGTCGTCGGGTGGAAGGCCTGCAGACCGTTGGGCTGCAGGTTGGGTGCAATGGCGTCTCCCTCCGAGGCGCCACTGCAGCGGCCGCTTGGACCGCTTTAGATCTGACGGGGCTTCGGCGCACCCATCAAGGGCACCGAGGTAGTACGGCGAGATCTGTCGGTCGGCGATGGCGGCTCGGGCAGTTGTACGAGATTGGCCAACGACTCCTCGGCCCAGCCATTGTCGAAGCGCGTCCGGAGCGGCGGGGCGCCAGTCCACGCCGCAAAGCAGTCGTCGTTGAAGTACGAATCGGGGATGTAGGTGATGACAAAGAGATCAAATGCGGCTGCGTCCGCGAGCTCCATCCGGCGGGCGTCGTCCGGCACAAGAGCGTGCGTGACGGAGATCGAGTCCTTGTTGGCGGTAGGCGCCTCATTGACCATCCGGCTCAGGGCTGCGAGGCACAATGGGCTTGGAGTTCGCTTGGAGATTTCGCACCAAACACGTGAGCGTGAGTCGCCATGCGTGCGGCTTTGGGGTTCTTGTCGAGCATCGCGAGCGTAGCGTGTGGCTCGGCCATCATTTGCTCGATGATCGCCATCGGTGTCGGCGCTACTTGGACGCGCGTGGCGATATCTTGCACCATCTGCTTCGTGGGGCGCTGACCGAGCTTTTCCATGTGCTTGGCGTCGCCGTGCTTGGGGTTGGGGCGCTTCTTGGTGGCGCCGTGTCGAATCTTGATCTGGCGGGGGATGGCGGCGCGTTCGTCTGCCATTTCATCTTCTTCCTCGGGTTCCTCGACCTCCTTGTCGGTACTTCAGTAACGTTTCCGATACGTACTGTAGCATGATCGAATTGCACGTACCGATGTAGCGACAGAACGCATGATGGACTGCAAGCTATCATGCCTGGAGCAGCTTCTGGAAGCTGAGCTGGCTTCCAGGGCCTCCAGCTGCCAAAGGCTGTCCCGCGTAACAAGCGCCGATTGGTCAAATCGAGGCGCCTTTACCCAAATTGGACCAATCATGATAAAGGCCCACACCCGCGAAACCTCTGCGCAAACACGTCAGGTGGCCAATGCGGAATTGTGACGCCGCCGCCAACCGACTGATGCACCTCCTCGCTGGTGCGTCGTGCCAGCGCTACCCATGTCCAGTTCTCTCACCGCGTCTTGGACCTACGTAGCTATGGTGCTACTGTGCGCAAGCAATTGCGCACGCGCTGATGTCTGCGCGACTGCGACCACGTGTCTAGCGAACGGTGTTGCCGCGTGCACGACCAATTGCCCGCCGTGCATCTACTCCACCGGCGGCAGCTTCACATGCTTTGAACCAATTGCGTCAGGCTGCCCGTTTGGGGTACCGCTGGCTGTGTGCAGTACGTACATTGCTATACGCAACAAAGTGCAGTCTCTTAGTTGCCTTGCACTCGTAGACGGAAAGGGCATCTTCATGTCGGCCCCCGCGACGACATCGTCGACGCCGGTCACAACACCTACCACAATACCAAGCCCCTCCGCAACACCGACTCCGATGACATCCTTGCGCATGACAACGACACCACCAACGGCAAGTCCGCTCAACCAGACCGCCTCGATTGCGACACCGGCGGCCTCCAATGCAACGTCGACAAACACCACAACATCGACGACGCCCAGCGGCACCATCTTTGGTGTCATTGGGTGTGCGATTGCGACGATCCTTCTCCTTGGTTGCCTTGCGTACCAGCGCAATGCGGCCCAGCAAAAGAACCGCAACAATAGCTGGACGAGCCCCACGACGCATCCAAGCTTCCTCATGACCATGGACGCGCCACCTAAGACCAAGGGTGTAAATGAGACGACAGTTGCTCAGCGCGGCCTTGTCGCGCCGGCCACGACGCCGTATGCCAAGCAAGACCGATCGTTCACGATGTCGCGGTCCAGCACGTCGACAGACGCCGAGCGCCGCGACTCGCTCGTGTCAATCCAAAGCACGTCCTCGAACGGGTACTCACAAAGCCTCTTTGGGCGCACGAAGGAGGTTGTCATTGGAAGCTCCGTCTCGAGCTCCGTCTCAAGTGTCTCGAGTATCTTTGAGATTGGCCGCCAGCATGATCGCGACGTGCTCAACGACAGCTTCATCACGTCTGGGCACATCGCGGAAGAAGAGGATGACGAGCCGTGGGGTCAAAAGCGCGACTCGGTTGTCATCATGGACGACGGCCACCACGTGCTCATGGAGTCGCACGGCGACGATGACGAAGACGATGTGTTTGACAAGTCGGTCGACGATATGCGTGAGACCCGCACGAGCGTCCGCCTCTTTAGCGAGTGCTCTGTGCTCTCCGACATGTCGGACATGCCCGACTTCGGCACTGCCCGTATTTAGTCGTCGTCGTACCCTTATTTTATTCTATCGGACTTGCGTCGTTTCTCGATAGATGGCTGTGTGCTTCAGGAAAATGTTCATCATGAGAAGTAGATCGTAGCGCTGTCTTGTAACCATTGCACCAATGCAGTGACCGTAACCTGCTTTGTCGCGTCGGGCGTCGCAGTGTGCAGCACGATACGACGCAGCGTCGACGGCATGCGCTTGGACGCGTCGGGGAGCGCCATGATAGTTTCGCAGAGAACGCTGGCAGAAGCGGGTGACGACGGCGCGTCGAGGCCGTCCGCGAGCTGCGAGAGGACCTCGTGGAGCGTCGTGGCGATCGAGTCAATGTTGGCGTGGATGCGCGCGGCTCGGTCGGTATCCGGCATCTCGTACGGTGGGAGCACGCTGCAGACGAAGACGTCGAGACTGGCCAAGACGACGCGACTCGCAACGAAGGCACTGTTCGGGTTGGCACTCAAGTGAAAAAACAATGGACCAACAAGCGCGCTCAGGTGCATGTACTCATCGGCGATATCATATCGCGCTTCACAAGGGCCTGATCAAGACTGTCAACGCCTTGTCGTCGACGGTGTGTCTAAGCTGTCGAGGCGTTGCAGCATCGTATCCTTCACGATAAAGTTCAACAACAAGCAATGATAACGTCAGGTACATAATATCACATCAATTTGATTCACAGTCAGCGACGGCAGCGTTGGACCGCATAATCTGCATAGGTTACGCCGCGCTAACGACTACCGCTACATAATGGCTTGCGGGCGGCGTCGCAGCCCACCGACGGTACTACACGTAGTACTACGCGGCAGTGGAGACATGTCGACTTGCTTCTCTTGCGCGTACGCCTCAAACGTGGGGTCTGGTAGATGCGTTCAATCGCGTCGGTGTACATAATTTGGGCTTTCCGCCTCGTGGCAGCCTCTCGTGCGCAGCGTCGTGGGGTGTTGGAGACGACGCGCTTTCACATCGGGAGCGCTTCTGGCGCACGCCGCAGGACGTAGTCGAGCGCGCCATGCGAAGCGACGTGACGACGGCATCGCAGAGTGGCTTGTCGAGGATCTTAAGCGTCGGCTCTATCGTCGTTGCCATCGGTGGCTAACGTGACAACCACCCTGATGCTGCGGACGCAGTACACCAAGCCGCCGAGGAGCAAGATCGACGAGTGACACATGCGCCACGCGTCAAAACTGCTGCCTCAAGCGACACCAAGAGGTCCTTCGCGCTGGAGAGCGCACGTGCGCTGGCAGCAATCAAACCGGCGTGCATGGCCACGTCACAGACACCGTCCGACTCGTCCGAGATACCAGCGACAATCATCGGGAGTGCGTTGCCAAAGTACTGGAGAAAGTGTTGTGGAGCGCCGGCCGGATGAAGGCGCACCCAGAGACCACCTTTCGGGTCAAAGAGCGCAGCGTGGTCGGCCTTGCGCGGACGCTGTGGTGCATGTCGTCAACGCCTAACGAGAGCAAAGCGCATGGCAGCTCGCGCGAGAGCATCGCCGTCTTGGCGCCGTCTCCATGCACGACAAGACCGTCGACAGAGGTCTTTCTGGGCGCATGCGACTAACTTCTTTGTCGCATTCGGTCGGCGGCCAGCACGCGCTCATCGCGGATCAGCGCTCGTCCTCGGCCTTGGTACACATCGTAGCGTCGTCCGAGATGTTCGCGTCTGGATCAGGTGGCTTCGACCTTGACGCATGCTCTTGCCGGCAAACGTGCGAAGCGTCACGAGAGCACGCCATCTCGTTTTCGATTTCGTGGCGTGAGGGCATCTGTGCGAGCAAACGAGGCCTCAAAGCTCGCCACGGTGCTTTTCAAGGGGTCGATGCGCCGGCGTCTTCAGCCTTGCGCTTGGTCGATGACGGCGTCAGCGTCGGATACGCCATCGTTCCGAAAAGTCGTCCAGAGCTTCGCTGAGACACAAGCGGCGAAAAGAACCGTGTGCCTCGTGTCAGACGCGATCAAGCGGCACGCTCGCGTTGACGCTGCGGCCTCGGGGGCACGCGTCGAATCCTGGCGAGTGCCAAGCGTGCGGGTCGTCGACGAGCACGGTCGCTACCAGACAGCGTGGGCGTCGACAGCTACAGTAGAGATCGGGTATGGACGTTGGGCGAGAGGTTTGCGGCGCTGCCAGCTGTCGTGATGTAGACTGCCATGTGCGAGCAGCAAAGCACGCTGCAGAAGGTGATCGAGGCTGTAAGCATGCGGTTCGATGCTATCAGAGATCGCGCGCGCTCCAAGCTCGACGCGCAGCTTCGTGCCTTGAGCTGGCTGCTCGGTAGATAGTAGAATGGAAAGAGACATTGATGGGACGTGAGTACTGAGGAGCTAGCTAATGTACTATCGGCACCAGTCGCTGCTCGACTGGCTGGCGCTCGATCCGAAGGGACGTATCGGGAGATGCCGGATGCACGGTGGCTGCATCGGTTTCGCCGGCGCCCTTTGGGGTGTCCTTCTACTCACGACACTTCGTCCGCCCCTTCGGCTGCAACTGTACATCCCTTGACCCGAAGCCATTTGCGCAACTTCAAGCTGGGCACGACGACGCACAACCTCCGCAACGTGCCGCTGACGCACGAGTCGGACTGGTTCCAGCAGCTCGAGACAATTGTGTTCGCATGGTCGCTCGACCCGAGCGATTTTCAGGTCCTCAAATTCAGGACTGCGACGAGCGGTCTCCCGTCGTCGCGAACTTGAATACGGGGATCCAAAATTAGTTAGAGCATCTCCATCCGACTTCCTATTCCCTCATTCGAGGATCGCTCGAAATCGCACCCGGATAAAATAGGAAAAACAACTCCACCCGACCTCCTACAGTGAATGTCCTAAAAAATAGGAATTTGGCCGTTTTTTCGTCCTAAGCGGTACCGAATAGGTCGAAATCGTCGGGAAATAGGATCGAAATCCTATTTCTCGACGATTTGATTGGCTTAGACTTAAAAATTGGGCAATACTATTGGCTGACCTATTGATCTCGTGGATATGATTGGAGCATGGAATGGGATCCATCTACGATCATCGAGGGCGTTGTCTATAAATAGGTAGTGGGCGTCGTTTGGTTTGCGCCCTCTGGACCCACTACGGCAATGGGTCGCAACAAGATATGGGCGCCAGAGGAAGTGGCCCTGCTTGCGCGAGCTTGGGTGTCGGTGAGCACCAGCTCGGTTGCAGGCGCCGACAAGAGGGCAACTCAGTTTTGGGACGTCGCGCATGATGTTGCTGTGGCCTGACGCAATGTCCCGCTTTAGCATCTCGCGACCGACGACTCCGCCGCCGTGACGTCGCTTGTTCGGTCGGTAGACCACCTCGTGCACGAGTTCGTCATCGTCGTCGTCGTCGAGCAAGAGCTCGCGCCAGTGTCGGTGCATGGGCGCTAAAACCAAAGTGATGTGCGCGCGCAAGAGAGCTTGCAATTGGCGCGAAGCCGGTTAATTCTCATTTATCCGGTACGTTCCTCCTGGATAGGTAAGACGGATGGAGATAGCAAACCTATTCCTATTTTTATGTTGTTTGGGTCGAGCGTCCACGCGAATCTGATAGTCTCGAGCTGCTCCAACCTGTCGGACTCGTGCGTCACTGTCTAGTTGAATTGGCGTGTCCGAGCGCTCCAAACCAATAGTACATCAACATTGTAAACAATTATGTGCCCTTGTCCAGGCATACCGGTACTGAATTCGCAAAAGTCCCCTCGACCTGCCCGCCACGTTTGCTGTGTCGCCCGAAGTTCCGGCGTGCTTTATACCCTGGCGGTTGAAATTCGGTGCTTTGCTTGGTACGACCCGACGCCTTGTAATCAGCAAACACAAATCTCGAATGGCTTTAATTCTACAGTCTTGTGGCTCTTACAGGCTAGGTTGTGCGGAGAAGCACCACTCAACACCAAGTGTACCCGGTACGCAAGTGGCATTTTTTGAACCACCGACCGCCAGCCAACGCAACTTGGCCGCCAATTTTGCGTTTGAAATGAAATCGCCCATACTTGGCACAATGACATAATACACTTTGGGGAACAGAGCAGACCACGCTACGCCGCCACTGCGGTCTTATGACGCGAGCAATGGTCGACAACGCACAGATAGCCTTGCTCTTTAAGCGTTAAAAAGCAATTTGCCATAAATATTGTTCATGATGCGAGCGTGCAGACTCGAGTTAGTTAGACTACGCTTAGTTACCTACTGGGAGGAAGCGGTAATGCTTTTCACTGCTTTGCCTCATCCAGTAAGCTGATCCCTTCTCGTGGCATCCTTAGTGGGGTGGGATGATGCCATGATGCTGCGCGCATGTGCTGGGCGCGATAAACGAGATGCATCCGGATACGGTACAAAAGATTGAAAACCCTCGACTTCAACTGCGCTTGGGATCCGCTCTTTGTCGCTATGGTCGTCTCGTTGAGGTGCTTTCGACGCTTCTGCCGCTCCGCGATGACGACAGCGCGTCGTCAAAGGTTGGTTCCAGCGACCACGGGAACCCGAGCTCATCGAACTGCTGGGAGCATCCCGACTCGTGCGTCTGCGCCAAGGAACGGAGATGGTGTGCAGCACCGCCGAGGTTGTACGAGCGCATGGCCTGGGGCCACTTGTCGTTCGGCACCTTAAACTTCTTGATCATGCGACAATGGCCCATCCGTTGCCGGTAATGAGCAAATAACTCAACCGGCCAGGACACCGCCACCATAGCGCTCGTCAAATCCAAAAATGAAGCATCGACGGTCGCCACGCCGGCGCGATTCTTTCCACAGGAGAGCAGCGCTGGCGCCATTGTTTTGAAAGAACTATCCTAAACGCTCGACGCGTTATTTAATATTTCGCGCTCAACGCGCCACAGGCGCATGCGCACACGGACAGGTGATGCACGGCTGCGTCTTCTCGCGAAACGAGGTTTTCGGCCGCTAACAAAGAGGCAACGTAGATGAGCGAGCCGTACTTCAACGATTCTCTTGCCGCTGTCAACCAAGAAAGCAACATGCACGTTGTTGGTACTGCCCGTATCTAGTCGTCGCCGAATTTCCTTGTATGTTCTATAAGACTTGAGAACGATGACTGCGAGCTTGCGGAAATCGTTCGTCAAAGGCGTCGACGACGGGTGCGAATGCGGCATCGGCGGGCAGCGCATCGATTGCCGACGCCAGCGCGCCAAGGTCAGCGTCCGGGGTCCACTGCAGCGCATTCCCGCTCGTCGCCTAGACAATGCAAGCATCCATGAGATCGTGTCATCGATCGTAGCGCTGTCTTGTACCCATTGCACAAGCGCAGCGACCGCAATCCGCTTTGTCGCCTCGGGCGTCGCAGTGTGCAGCACGACGCGACGCAGCGTCGACGGCATGCGCTTGGACGCGTCGGGGAGCGGCATGGCTTGGCCAAAGTGGGCCACGAGCCCGACACACTTGATAGTTTCGCAGAGAACGCTGGCAGAAGCGGGTGACGACGGCGCGTCGAGGCCGTCCGCGAGCTGCGAGAGGACCTCGTGGAGCGTCGTGGCGATCGTGTCAATGTTGGCGTGGATGCGCGCGGCTCGGTCGGCATCCGGCATCTCGCACGGTGGGAGCACGCTGCAGACGAAGACGTCGAGACTGGCCAAGACGACGCGACTCGCAACGACGGCACTGTTCGGGTTGGCGCTCAAGTGCGCGGCCACGGCGTAGCGCAAGAGAGCGCTCGCGACGTCGATGGAATTGTCGGTCGGCTGCCGCAGAAATGGCGCCGCGAGGCCGACGAGCCGGTCGAGGCAGGCCAACGTTGTTGCGCGGCGCTCGGACGCCGGCGCCCGCCAGTCGTAGACGTACGTCTGCAGAGCGTTAACGAGCCACTTGCACGGACCGCCGGCAAAGGTGTCGTCGTCGTAGGCCAAATGCGCTTCCACCAAGTCGTGCCAGAGGGGGAGGAACCCAGCCGATGAGAATGCATCACGCATCGCGTCACCGCTGTGCACGAGCAGACCGACAAGCGTGAGCACGTTTAAGTACAAGTGTTGTCCGACGAGCGACTGCGTCTCGGCCCCTCGGCGGTCCATGGTCTCGCGCTTGCTCAAGAGGTCGGTCAAGATCGTCGCGATCGTCGCTGTCTCGTCGTCGACGGTGAGGCGGAAAGCATCGAGGCTGTGCAGCATCGCGTCGCGGTCGCCGTGTTCAAAGATCTGCAAAAGGAGGCTGGCGCTCTGAAGGCACGCGACGGCTTCGACGTCGTCCCGCAGCTGGCCAGCGCCCATATGCGCGTCGTTGAGAAGCGCTATAAAGCACGGCACAACATCCAAGTCGAGGTACGTGGCCGCGAGCTCCGTCGCTACGCTCAGCATGGTGCCGAGGAGGACGACCGCCGACGCCTAGACACAGACAGTAGTGTCGTGGGTGAAATGCACAAAGGACATGCGTACGCGAAGGCGAAGGTCCTCGTGTGTCGCCAAGAGCTGGGCACAGGTCGCCGTGACGCCGTTGGCGCGCAGCAGGAGAGCCAAGTTAGGATACGCTTCGACAAAGCGGGTCAAAAGCAGCAATGCCTGCCACACGGTCTCGGGTGCGTCCGTATCGAGCAACGGGAGGAGCGCGCTCATGCCGCCATGGGCCACAAAGGACTCGGTCGTCGAGTAAGCGGCGTTGGCGCCTTCCGAGAGACGAACTTGGAGCTGCGTGAGCGCCTGCCAGCACGTGCTCGCGTCACCCGCCTGCAGCGAGGTGCAGAGCGCAAGGACACTAGCGTCGTCGGTGCGCGGCGCCCGACACGACGGCTTGTGCTGGAGCCACGATGCCGACTGACACGCCGTGCTGCAAAAGTACACGCGCTTGCACTGGCTGCAACGAAGCGCTTTCCGCGCCGGTTTGCAGCAGCCCGAGCACCACGACGTGTGCGTGGCCCAGCGCGCTTTCCCGTGGTCGTCGTCGCGCGCCTTGTCGTTCTCGATGCTCGCCGGCGCCGCTTGCATCTTCTTTGCTGCGGCGCGTTCCCACTGCAGCGGCGGTGCTGGCGCCGAGGCCTCGGATGGCAACGCGGCTGGCGTCGGCCGCTCCGTCACGCCGTGGTTGTGCACGACCTGCGCGTTGGGGCACGCCGCCATGTCGGCGGCGAAGAGCGTCCACGCGCGGTTGGTCGCGCACGAGTTGCAGACCGGCCGCGGATTCTCCCATTGGCTCTCGCGGAACCCCGATTGCTTGGCCTGCGGGACGCGGCAGTCGTCGCAGATCAGGACGCTTGGCATTTTGCGATATTCAGAAATAGTGCAAAATGAACACTATTTAGATCGTTTTCCACGTGGCACGTCGGCGACAGAGGTACATCGCGGGTCTGCAACGAGTGGAGCACGGACTGCCGCTTCAACTTCACTGGCCTCGACATGTTTTACATCCAGCGCGCGTAATGGCGGCGTGCAGTACCGTCATATCGTAGAAGGCTTCTCGATCGTTGCCCCGGTCGATCCAAATCATACACTATTTCCATCGATATGAATATCTTGGTGAACCGGCGTCGAACAACAGCAGTGACACGAAGAAGATCCAAGCCGAGGTGCGATGGGATGGAAGACGACGCTGCTCGGTGGCCTCGCTGCCTACTGCGCCGCCCTCGTCGACGCCGACCAAGTCGCGTCCAGCGGCAGCTCGTACTTTGTCAGCCGTCCGACCAAACTCGGCGCCACGTCCTGGTACGGTTCATGCCGACGCGCACCAATGGACGATGGCTTGGTCGTAGGCCGACAGAGTACGGCGCAGTGGGCGTCACGACCGCCAACGTAGCGTCCGACGGGTCGCTCGCGTGGTCTGACACCGTCGGGTCCGGCGACACGGAGATCGTGGGCGGCAATGCGCTCGACTCGGCAGGCAACGTCTACGTCGTCGGCTCGACGCGCGGCAACATCACGTCCAACAACGCCAACGCAGGCAACTTTGACTGGTTCATCCTCAAATACTTGCCGTCCGGGGTGCGCAGCTGGCACAAGCAGGTTGCACGATCATACGAACACAGGGGAAGTATTCTACTCGATCGATAGGTTGGCACACCGGCGCACGACGAAGCGCGGACAGTCGTCGTTACCACCGAGGCCGACGGCAACGACTACATCTACGTCCTCGGCGTCACGTATGGCGCGATGGACGACGCGCTGCACGTCTCGAACGGGTACCGGCAGTTTGGGGGCCGGGACCTCTTTTTGTACAAGCTCACTACCGCTGGCACCAAGCTTTGGAGCCGACAGGTAGCCCTCCTTGTCCGCGATTGCGCCAGCATTGATTTTGGTAGTTTGGCACGTCGGGCGACGACTATCCCTACGGGGTTACCATCGACGCTGGACAGCTCCTCGTGTCGGGCGGCGCCCCCGGGACGCAGTTTCTCACAGCGTTCAATACATCGGGCGCCATGACCGACATGGTGGCCGACGGTGGCGTTACGATCCTTCCGATCCAGATGCACTTGGCCGAAGGCGACAGTACCGTCGGTAAGTTTACTGTTGTGTTGAATCGACAGCCGACGGCGTCCGTCACCATTTCGGTGACGCACCCTGCTTTGCCCACGCCCAGCGGACAGCCGTACGACGCTTTACGGTATACCGGTCGCTCACGCTGGCGTAGGCTCCCCCAAGTGGCGCTTTCATCACCGACGCTGGTCTTTAACGCGTCGAATTGGAACCTGCCGCAAGCCGTGACGGTCACGGCCATCGACGATGCGATCTGTGAGCATACGCACTACGCTGCGGTCTCCCACGCAGTGAGCAGCAACGACAAGTACTTTGCACCGTCGACGCCGTTTGTGCTTGGGCGGCAGCTGCTCTTTACGATTCGCGACAACGATGTCGCTAGCATTGCGCTCTCGCGACAGCACTTGTATGCAGTCGAAGGCGGCGCGAGGGACGCCTACAGGTAGCATCTCTGACGTGAGTGGGACGCTCAATCATCGTGCGTAGTATCGTGCTGACATCGCAGCCGTGGCACAACGTGCTCGTGACGGCGATGGCACTGCGTCCACTGCAGACACAGCTGCACCCGACGACAGTCGAGTTCAACAGTAGCAATTGGAACACGCCGCAGTGGATCTCGGTGACGGCGGTCGACGACGCAGTCTCGGAAAACGAATTTGGCGGCATCCATGCCGGAGGGACAGTCACACACATTGCGTCAAGCTTGGACGCCCACTACAACACCCGCCAACCATCGTGCTATTATGTGGCCACCTGCAACTGCAGCGGCGTGGCGACGCACGGCAATTGCTCCACGGTAAACTACTTGCATCGACCACTTTTTATATATATGGGTTGGTAGCAACCTGCGTCGTGCCAAGCCGGGACCCCCGCGCTTGTCTGCGACGTAAATGCAACAATCACAGGCAACGGCGAGCTTATCCCGTTGCTGAGTGACGGCAACGTCACAGCTCCTCTCAATGTGATTCCGATGCGCTACGGCGCTGCCGCGCTCAACCCCAACCCTCCGACCTCATCGACGACGTTCATCAACAGCGCACTCGAGACCATCCAAGTGCCACTGCGGTTGGTGCAGCTACTGCCAGCACCCCTGGATGACGGATGGGCGGGGTGTGGACAACTCAAGCTGTCCAGCGTATCAACAGCAGCGCCGTCAACCCCAACCCGCTCAGCTACAACGTGTCAGGGCTCAACCTCTCGGCGGTACCTGCGGATGTTGCTGGCTACGTCTACAGTCTCGTGGTAAGAGGGTCTGTACCTTTGAAAGTGTGTTTGGAGCCTCCCGTAGGCGGTATCCGACGGCGTTGCTCTGGCTGCACTGGCGCAAAACCAGACGCATTTGGTGTGGGCACTGTGTCTTGGCATACAGCGTCTCACGACGCAGCGCTGGGCGTTTGAAGCGTGGCCACCGGGCACGGCCGACCGCGTCCTCGACGCCCTCTTTTTCATTTTTCCCAGTTTGCAAGAGCGACTGCTGTGGAATTGCGGCGGGGCTACCTTTACGCCCAGCGTTGGACTGGACGTGACGGTGTTTGACAATGACCCAGGTCTGGAAATGGCTAAAATGACGTACCGCTACTGAATGGGGCGTAGCTGTGACAATCTCCAAGATGCAGCTTGAAGTGACCGAGGGTAACACAACGCTTGGCGAGGGCTTTTACAATCGCATCGCGCTAGGCAGTGCGATCGACAGCTACGCGGTCGTCCTCAATGCGCCGCCGTCCCAAGGGCAAAATGCAACAGGATCCCTCTGTGCGTCCCCCGTCACGGCTCTGGACGTATGCGCTGCCAATTACTCGGCGTCGGGGTACCAGGCAGCGTTTGCACTGTCACCCGCGTCAACCGATACGGTACACTTGCCGACGCCTGAGATTCAAAAGCAACATCGGTGGTACTAGGTCACGATCGTGGCGTCGAGCTCGGACCAAGTGCAGATAACCCCAGCGTTTCTTGTGTTTACCAGCGCCAACTGGTTTGAACCACAAACCTTTACGGTGACGGCCGTCGCCAACCACAAGGACGACGGGCCGTTAAACTCGACAATCTCCCATGCGATATTTGCATCTGGCGCCGGCGCGCAGTCGTTTTCGTCGGCGGCGTTTTGGGTGAGGTCGTGTCTACCGCTGTCGTCGTCTTTATTTATCGCCCCGCCATTGCCCTACAATGCCCTCCCCGAGGTTGATGCGTCCTTGGATTTGAGTTTGCTGACTTTAGTGGGTAGGTCTATTTTGCACCGCAGCACAGTCAAGTGCAAGTTCACGTTCTCAACAGCGAGAAGGCTGCTGTGTTGGCCTCGACGTCTGCACTGAGTATCAAGGAGATTGACGTGACTGTGGATGCCGCTGCCGTCGGCGCAACATCGACCGGCGTCTGCACGGACAGTCTCACGGTATCGATGATCTTGTGTAGTTCATGCTGGGACGCGTATCGTGTCGCATTAGATGAGTTCGCAGTCGGGTACAATCACAAACGTCCTCCTGCTTGCGACCAACCAGACGTCGCTTGTTCGTTTTCAGCTGCCATTTTTGCACCACAGTGCGTTCAATAGCGACTTGGGCTCGGCGATGCTCGAGCTAACGCAGACAAAGTACGCGGTTGTCAACACCACGTGGCTCAACGTGACCACGGCAACCCTCAACCCGACGTTCACGGTCCGCGTGCGCCTCGTTCAGTCCAATTGGACGGAAGCGTCGTTTGCGTCCGTGCCACCACCGATGCTTGTTGCACCGATCGTGCTCAACGCCACTATGATCAATTCGGTCTTGCGTCTGGATGTAACACGGCTTGTGGCCGCTGTTGGTGCTTCGTTGCCGCTGCTGAGCTTCCAGATGGATGTGCTTGCGGCCAGCGCAAGTGTTCAAGTCCACGCCCGAAGCGATCCCGAGAACTTGGCGCCTGTCCTCGTACTGCGCACCCACTTTCCAAACCTGCTGCTGAACCAGCCAACGCTTCAGAGCCCAAGCAGTAGCAGCAGCGGTGCAGCAGTCGATGGAAACGTGACGTCCGTGACACCCGACGCCTTCACGTGGTGGCAAGTCACCCTTCCGAGCGTTCTACCGCTTGGCACGCTAGCGATCTTCTTGCCACTCACGACAACGTCTGGTGCACTCGTGGTCGTCGTGTCGACAGCGCCGTTGCCAACCAATTGGACGCTGGCAACAGGGCCATCCAATGGCGTTCTCGTGCACAACATAAGGATTCGCCGCCCCGTGCTCGTGTGGCCAATTCCGGGCGCCGGTCAGTACATACGTCTCTACGCCCAGCCAGACATGCAGATCTCGCTGCGTGAAGTGCAGCTTTACCCGCGCGGCGTCAACGTCACAACAACGGACGATGGGTACAGTGTCCGCGCCATCAATTGGGTCTCAGAGGCCAAAGTCAACCCGAATTATGACCAACGCCACGTGTGGACGCTGGCGTCGGGGGCTCATGTCCGAAGCGACAACGTGGCGCTTGGGCTCCCGAGTACCTTGAGCACGACCGCGACCACTCCAATTACGACACTGTCGACGACGTTTGAGACCAACCCGTACTGGGAAATGGATCTGGGCACTGTGCAGTCGATTGGCACCTTGTCGTTGCGCCTCGCCCGGTCGTTGGCCGAAGCGACGTTGTGCAAAAGTCCGGCGATGCCAACCGCGCCCAACACCATCTCCAGCTTTACCTCGGTATGTGCATTAAAAATGGTACTGCTTGTAACACAATGACGGCGCATGTAGGCGCGACTGCGCCTCTCGAGCAGCCCCATGACTGCCGCCGTCAACGCGACCGCTGAGAAAAGCTGGACGTCATCGCTTGGTGTCTGCTTCGACTTGACACTGTCGTGGCCCATGTTTGCCTCTGGACGGTAGAGCTCTTAAGGGTATGCAACGGCATTCGATGTGTATGAGCGTAGGTACCTGCGCCTTGACATGGTCGGCCGCGGCGCGCTTCACATTGCAACAGTTGATGTACAGCGGTGGGCGGCGCAGGCCTCGCAATATGCTCTGGTGGAGCTGCGCGGCTCGGGTGCGTTGCCACTCGCGTTGCCTGGGCTGCGCTTCTTGGGCGTGAACCAATCCGAGCTGCCGATCCAAGTGTTTGGCGCGAGCTCCAGCGCCACCGGCGGATGCTTCTTTGTTGGCGCGGCTCCGTCGGTGCGCGAGTGGGTAGTTGTCGACTTCGGTGCTGTGCGGACTTTGCAAAACGTGGTATTCAACTTGAATGTATCGAGCTGCACGGGCAGCGTCGAGGCACCGAGTGCAATCTCGGTTGCCGTCTACGGTGACCCTGCACTGGCGTACACACCGCCGCTCGTCTCGAACGACGCGTGCAGCTGCACAAGCGATGCGTGGGGTCGAAGCTCGACCGTGCTGCCTGCGAGTTGCAATAGTGTCTGCTCCAGTATTCAGTGCCCCACAGCAACGTGCAGCAATGCCGATGGCACGGTTGTGCGTCAAGACACGACGCTCTACTGGGCCGGGTTCCGAGACCTGGTCGTCCTCGCGCCCGCAGCGAGCCTTCCGACGATGTTGCTGCCGCTCACGAGTGATGCCTACAGTCTCTTTATCATACGCGACGAGCCATTATGGCTATTGCAGCTGAGCGCATCGGCCCCCGATGCCAACGTCTCGGCGACCAACGTGGTGTTTACGGCGGCATCTACCTTTCCGACGACATTCGCATCGCTGACATCGTCTTCGTCTCTCGTTGTTTCAAGTGTCTTTGATCGCAGTGCGTGGTTTGGTATCTCGTATGCCAACACTAGGGACGGTTCGTTCACGCTCGAGTTTTGGGCGGCGTTCCCATCGACGATCCGAGCTGGGTCTCTCGCGACGTATGCGAGCAGTGCCCGAGCAACGTTCACCGTCGGCATGTTTACAAACCAGACGCTGTACTTTTCCTTGTCCGACCAAGGGATCACGTCAACGGTCGTGGGGCCAACCGCGCTCTCGTCACCGGGAGCGACGCCCGCCACGTGGTATCATATCGTTGCCGCGTACGACTGGAAGCAGCAAACGCAGACACTGTCGGTGAATGCGTGGACACCGCAGTCGGGCACGACGACAATGTTTCTGGACCAAGTGACGCGCTCCGACACGATTGCCGTTGCAGCCAATGGACAGCTGACCTTCACGGGCATCCTGTGGCTCGCCAACGTGGCGTTTTACCAGAGGCCGCTGAGCACCTTTGAAATCCTCGAGCACTTTTACCAGCCGACACCGACCAAATCGTATGCGATGCTCAACTTTCGGCTAGCAACCAACCCGATGACGAGCGTCGACGTCGATCTTGTGTCCGAGTCGACGTGCTACCGCTGGGGTCTTTGCTACGCTAGTGTTTTACCGCCCACTCTCCGCTTTACGCCAACGGTGCGTCCACACACGACGCCTTTGGATTGAATTATTTGCGTGTAGAATTGGAACGAAACGCAATACGTTCATGTGCACGCCACGGACGATCTCATTGCCGAAGGACTCCACCCCGACGTTGTCACCTACGAGATTCATGCAGCGGCGACGCGCGCCACGACCGTGACGGTCGTAACGCCAGCATACGTGACGACACCAGCGTCATCCTTGGACGCGTTTTTTCGCAACTACATTCTCAACGCAACGGAGCTCCAAGCACTCCCGTTGGCGTCTGCGGTCGCCGCCTCGTTTGGCGGTTTGCAGACGTCGTGGGCGGTGCAGAACGTCTCGACGTCCGTTGTGCCTGTGCTTGGCTACAGCAATGTTAGTGTGTCGCCGCTCCAGCTCACGATTGCCGACATCAACGTTGCACGAGTCGAAATTTCAGCCTACTACTTGATGGTGTACGAAGCCGGTCTCGGAGACATCTTTCAAGTCGTGCTCACGGCCGAGCCCAAGAACGACGTGTACGTGCAGCTCAATGCGTCGACGGACTGCTATCGCTCGTGTGGCGTGGCCACGGCCGCGAACCCGTGTCCCGTGCCTGCGACAACGCTTGGCAACGCGAGTCGTCTGTGCAACTGCACCGTGTCGCCTTTGACATTGCACTTTACGCCGTTCTTGTGGAAGCTGCCCCAAGCCGTGACGGTGCGTGCGTCGACAGCGACGCGAGTATGACATTCCGTAGGTGACGCCGACGGACGACCGCCTCGACGAGGCCGACGTGCACTACACAAAGATCGTGGTGACCACCACCAGCGCCGACCCGGTACTGGCTTTAGAGAAGTGTTCGAGACATGTATCATCATCACATGCAACATAGGAGTACGACCAAATGTTCCTTGAAAGCATCCGCGTCGCCGTCGTCGACAATGACGTGTCCAACATTGTCTTGTCGACGACATCGATCGCGCTGAGTGAGAACGACACGTCCACCGGTACGACGGCATTTGGCGACGTTGTTTTACAATGGACCGTAGCTGCCCAGTATGAAATGGTGCTAGCTACTGAGCCGTGGAGCGAGGTCAACGTCACCATCAGCAACGAGGCGACTGGCGGATGCTACCGCACGTGCGGCTACCCCATCGATCCGTACGCGGAAGAGACTTTAAAAGAGCTGACACGCTGGGTTTAGAGCGAACTGCGGACTGCCGCGACCCGTCGCGACCAACTCGATCGAGATCAAGTCGTCGTCGGTACGCGAGATCCAAGCCGTGACCGCCGCCATGACGACGACCAACGGCATTCAAATTGTGACGACAACGACGACGCACATCGACCCCGTTGTCATCGTGCGACTCACGGGCGGCTTCGCGTTGCAAACATACGAGCTCAGCATCACGTTCCCCGTTGGCACCGCCATGAGCAGTACGCTTCCCTATGGCGCAACGTTTCAAGTGAGCACGACCACGAGCGTCACGCCGCCCCTCGATGGCTTTGCCTCTGCCTCGACACTCCAATCGGCAATCAATGGGCTGCAGCCGGGCTACCTTGTGACGAGGACGACGACGTCGGCGGCGTCGGGGGCGCCGACGCTTGTTTGGCGCATCGTCTACGGCGCAGCGTCTCCACTTGCGCCGATCCTCGTGCTCAACTTTCCTTTGTCCTTTCCTGGTACCGGCGTGCTTCGTGCGATCGTGCCGGCGGCAGTAGCCCCGTCTGGCGTCGTGGGTTGGAGCTACGGCCCGACGCCGGGGCCCGTGACGGTCGCGTACGGCGCCAGTGCAGCTCAAATGACAACGTACCTCGAATCCATTCCCGGTATCAATACCGTGACGGTCCAGAGAGCGGTCGTGGACTTTGGTTTCGAGTACACCATCACGTTCACGTCCGTGCCCGTCTACCACACCACTGTGTCGGTGGACACGCGCCAGCTGGTGCTCTCGGCATCTGCGGCGTCCAATGTCGTCGTCTCGAGCTCGGTCACTCGCGCGCCAAACCAAATCGGTGGCTTTTTCCAATTGTCGTATCCTGTCAATGCCACGTACACCGGTGTTTCGACGCCACTGCGCTACAATGCAACCGCAAACGAGGTGCGCTTTCATTGAGGTTCAATCAAAGTCACAACCATGGGGCATAGGTGATGGCGTCGTTGGCGGGCATCCCAACGCTCGGGCCCGTTTCGGTCCAACAGCGGCAACTGACGCCCGAGCTCACGTTTACGTGGACGATCGAGTTTATAGGCAACGTCGGACCTGTGAAGAACCTCACAGCGCGATCCGTCAACTTGACGGGTCTAGCCTCTGCTGTCGTCTTCTCGTTCGTCCAGCAAGGCGACATGCTCGGAGGAAGCTTTGCCTTGCGGATCGGGGGTGCCTTCATCCATCAATACCCCACGGGCGAGGTGTACAACTTAAGCGTACCGGCGCTTGCCACGCCGTACCTCCGTTCAACGCGTCGGCCGCGGCGGTTCAGTCGGCACTTCACGCGTTGCCACTGCAACTGCCACTCGTCGGCGTTCAGGTAAACCGCGTCGACTCTCTTTGCGATACATTCGGGCGCTGCCGCCAGTACAGTTGGCAGATAACGTACGCTCAAACGGCCGGCAATGTCCCCGAGATGACGGTGCTGGGCAACATCACTGGTACGGGGGCGTCAGTCGCCGCGTCAACGTTGGCCAACGGCACGTACCTCAACGGCGTGTTTACGATTTCACTGGCATTGAATGCTACGGGCACTGTCTATACGGGCACCACGTGGCAGCTGCCAATGAACGTGACCGCCGACGGCGTCAAGGAAGCACTTGAAGCCTTTCCGTTCGTGACGTCAAACAGGTTTGAAGACAGTGCATTCGACCCAACCAATGCCCTCGCGGTGCCGCGGGCCACGAAAGGCGTCCGAGTCACTCGCACGGGGCCGTACCTCGACGGCGGCTACAAGTGGCTTCTGGACTGGTCCCTCAACGACTGGCTCGTCTTCACAAGTGTCAATGTCACAGTCAACACAACTCTCATCACTCAAGACCTCGTACGCATGCTTTGCTTGAACGTGGTGAAGTATTTTGGTGCTGCGTAGGTCCCCGTAGCCGTGGCCACACAGTATGCCTCGTCCGGGCCGCGCTGTGCGGTGTACCCCAAGACAGTCTTCCAAGTCGATCCGACAGACGTGTACGTTGTCGTGATCGTAGAACAATGGTTAAGCCCAGTGCGCGCGTAGGTTTGGGCTTCGTGGCACGTGCGTCTACCCACTCCTTGTGAGTGTCAACCCAGAGCGATACCTCTGCAATATGACCGTGACGACGCCCCGCAAGATCTTTGATGCGTCCAACTGGTACATTCCGCAAACGATCGACGTTGTCTCCGTGCACGACCGCCTCGACGAGTCGTCGCCATCCACCAACGTGACCATCTCGACACTGACGCACGAGGCTTATACGCTCGACTTTATTTACGCCGGCGTCATCGTGCCCACCGTGGCTGTCAACGTCACAGACGTGGACCGCGCACGTGTCGTGGTGTCCAAGTCGCTCTTGGTGACAGCGGAAAACGGAGCATTACGGACACGTATACGCTGGTATTGACGACGGAGCCGCGCGCGTCCGTGCTCATTGTCATCTATCCCTACATTGTGTGGACCGACTGCTACCGCTTGGGTTTTGCAATGTGACCTTGGACACGACAGAGGTACGTACGACGACGCAATCATTGTTCTATCTTTTTGGTCTCAAGCAATCGGTAGGTTGTGTTTACGGTTCAAAATTGGTACCTTCCACAGACCGTCTACATGCATGCGACTCCGGACCGCTTGGACGAGGCCGATGTGCATTTTGGCGGCATCTCCCACGGCGTGTTCAGTGACGACGTCAAGTACAACGGAACGGCGGTGCCCAACATCACAGTGCAGATCTATGACGCTGACACGTCGGCCGTGATTGTGAGCAAGACGGCGCTCGCCATCTCGGAAGCCGGGACCAATGACATCTACAGCATTGTACTGACAACCGAGCCGTGGGCCAGAGTCACCATCACAGCGCTTTCCAACGGCACCGACAACCTTGGGAACCAAGTAGTGGTCTCTGCGCCGCTCGTCTTTACGTGGCTCAACTGGAATGTGACACAACTGATCACGGTACATCTATGTTGCATACGTGGTCTGCATCCCTCACGCGAAAATGTAGATATCTCCGATCCACGACCACCGCGTGAACCGAGCGCCGCATACAACGCTGCTGCGTCACATGATCACGACCAACGATCTAATATACCGCAATCGCACCGTGGCGAACGTCACGACGACGATCACGGACATTGACGTGGCAGGCGTTGAGCTCTCGTCGCCTACGATCTTTGGTGCGGAAGGCAACACCACTCCGATTACATATGGCGTTCGGCTCACCTCCAAGCCGTGGTTCCCCGTGCTCATCACGTTCAATGGTTCGCACAGCGGATGCGCCTTTGGCGTCTGCAACATCACCGTCGTCACGCCCTCCATTGCGTTTGACGGCTCCAATTGGTCGTCGTGGCAAAACGTCTCTGTCATTGTCACGGACGATTTCTTTGACGAAGGCGGCGTGCACGCGGCTAACATCTCGCACGCGCTCACGTCACTCGATAACGTGGTATGTCATCATGACACATATCGTCGGTCCCGTCATATGATGACCGTTTTCGTAGTACGCAGCGGTGCGGCCGCCACTGCTGACGGTGTGGATCACGGACAACGACGTTTCGGGGCTCGCGCTCTCGTCGACCAAGAACCTAACAGTGGCGCAAGGCAGCTTTAACGCGACAGTATCCCTCCAGCTTTCCAGTGCGCCGTGGAGCAACGTGACCGTGCTGCTACAGATCCCGGCGGAAACATTCTTGCCCCGGGGCTCCTTTACGGGCGCAACGGTCTCGGAGCCGCTCATCTTTGCAAGCAATCCTCTAAGCCAGACGGTCGCGGCGCTCACGTTTTCAGTCGCCAACTGGAATGTGTCCCAGACGGTCGTGCTCGCCGCGGTGCAGACAGGGTCGCCAAAGCCGCTCACCATGTACACGTCGCTCGTGAGTCAAGCGACATCTCTGGATCTGCGGTACAACGCGTCGGCGCCTGCACCGTTGTACATTACGGTGCTCGGAAAGGAGGACGTGCCGCCGCCGGTCCCCGTCGCTGCGACCTTTGATGCGACCGGCGTCAAAATTCTCGTCACCTTTGACAGCAGCGTGTACCAGAACGCGACCATGGCCGTGGATCAAAGTCAGCCGATAACCAACATTGCTGGACGCTACGTGCTACCGAGTCGACCGTTCGGGTGCGACCTCATCTGGAACTTGACAGCCGACACCTCGTACAGCCTTGGCGCTGGCGCCAACTGTCTCTGGCTCAACCTCACGACGCTGCAAATGGTGCTGGGCACGGGGGCGTCGATTGCACCGGGCAACGTGCTCCAGCTGAACGGGTGCGGCTCGCAATACGTCTCGACAGCAGGCGCTTGCACGTCGCCGTTCGTTCTCAAGTCGCGCGACTTTAACGTCTTGTACACGACAGCGTCCATTGCTGTCGCGCTCGGCCCGATTGTCGTGCCTCAGATTGTCCTCGTCGGACCCAAATCCATCGGGCCCTGTGGCGTTCTCTCGCTCGATGCGACCGGATCGTCTGGGGGCGCCAACCGGCCGTTTGTTATCCAGTGGTTTGCGATGCTCACCAGTGCACTTGATCCCGCGATCAGCAGCACCAACGCCTCCGCCGTGCGCCAGCAAACGCTGCAAATCTATTCCAACATTGCGCCGTATTGTACGACGAACGCGACGCTTTCCGTACGTCACGTCCTTTGCAATGCAATTTACAAGTGTTGCTTGCGTAGACCAACCCGTTTGGGTCTGTCGCGGACCTCGACGCCATGTGCCGCCTGCGCGCGTTGGCACTAGCGTCGACGTCGCTGACGTGGCAAATCAATCGATCGATCTTGCTCGCGGGCCGCAACTATGTGATTGGTGTCCGCTTGACCAACTTTTTCCAGCAGGCAGGGCTCGCGTCACACGTCGTCGCGACACTGAGCGACCCAGTTCCCGTGGTCTCGATCGTCGGCCCCAGTGCCATGAGCGTGCAGCGAACACAAGCCATCTCAATTCAGGCAGCCATCGCGCCAACGACGTCGGGGTGCACGGCAGCCACAAGCGCCGTGAACTACGTGTGGACGGCGACCGCTGTCGACGCAAGCACCAACGCTACCGTGGCGGTCAGCCTCGTCAACACGGCAGTGGACCCGCGCTACTTTGTGTTGCCGCCGAATGTCTTGTCCACCAACTTGAACTACACGCTGCGGATATCTGCGTTTTATGCGTCGGCGCCGTCCGTCTCGAGCGCCGACGTTGTCGTCGTTAGTGTGGTCGCGAGTCCGCTCATCGCGCAGTTTGCCGGTGGAAGCCATGTTGTTGGCGCCCTCGACGCCATTACGCTCAATGCTTCGGCGTCATACGATCCCGACCAAGTTGACCGGGTGTTGCAGTATGCGTGGAGCTGTGTCGACGTCACGCCCGTGCTCAACACGACGACAAATCTAACCTCGTCGACCGGTGGAGTGTGCTGGAATCCGATGACGAACACGGTCATCAACTTCTCCAGCGGTAATGGGCCCGTCGTGACGTTGCCACCGGGATCGTTTGACGCGCCCAAGACACTGCGCTTCGCCGTCGTCGTCACTTCGACGTGCAACGTAGGCCGCCATTCATTCGTGTACAAGTGCTTAGATTCAACTGTAGGTATCGGTGGCGTGCGTTGGCCGGTCCGCGACCGCAAGGACGGACATCACGACCGTCTCAGGACGCATTCCTGTCGTTCGCATCAGTGCATCGTCGACCCAAGTCAACCCGACGTCCAAGGTGCGTACTGCCTCGAGTCCGGGGTCCGTCCTGATGGTTACCTGTAGGTGGTGCTCACACCCAACATCTCTTCGTTGTACCCGTATACGACGCGTTGGAGCCAAGATGTGGGCGACTTGAACCTCTCGGACGGCGGGCTCCTCTTTCCGCTCAACGCGACGCAAAATGCGATCGCGCCAAGCGTGCTAACACCGGGCAAGACCTACGTGTTTCGACTCACGGCGCTCGACTCGACGGGTAGCGCTGGCTTTGGCACGATCTCCATCACCGTCAACACGCCGCCGACACCAGGCTCCATGAGCATCCTGCCGGCTCAAGGGTACTGTGACCCATGTCGCGCTCCAATATAAACGGTAGCGAAACTAGGACGGCGATTTCGGATCTCTTCACGGTGACATGCGCGGATTGGACAGACGCCAACCTACCGCTCACGTACGCATTCGACTTGGTTGTGAATGACACGCGTGTCCCGCTCGCTTCCGGCTTGACGCTCCCAAGTACCCAAGTCCGTCTGTACCTTAGCAACGGCGCCGTGACCAATGCGACGGTACGAACGGCGACGTAGTCAAGTGCCCCATTGTGGAGTGGTGTCTAGATGACCGTTATCGGTCGGGTCACCGACAGCCTTGGCGCCACCTCCATTATCTCCGCGACGGCGCTCGTGCTGCAACCAGAAGCGACCAACACGACGTCGTTCTGGTCCACGATTAGCAACGGCACGCTCAACGACGCATTGCAAGGCGGCAACTTTAACGATGCGCTCAACGTACTCGTCTCCACTGCGGCCGTGCTCAAAACGCAGCACGCGTTCGCTGGCGCTTGCAATGCCACGTCGTGCGGTGCCCACGGTCAGTCTACTGACATTGTTACAATACATGGAGGCGACCGACGGACGTAGGTGTATGCAACGGCACATGCGTCTGCGAGAAAGGGTACTCGGGCACCGAGTGCATTGCCGACGCAGCGCTCAACACGCTTGCGATGGAGATGCTAGGGTCCCTTCAGTCGGTCGGCTCCACGGTGCAACCCACCGCCACGACGCTGACCCAAAGCGCGCTCGCACTCAGCAGCATCGTGTCGTTGAATTCTCGAGCGGCGTCTGTGGACGCGGGTAATATCAAGCAGGCGACGGCAGTGTTGACGTCCATCACATCGTCTGCGATTAAGCTCAAGGACCCGTCGTCGTTCGTGTCGTCCTCGGCGCCCAGCGTGCTTTCGGCGACCGTACTATTGGCCCAAAACTCCGACAAGACAGTCGTGCGCAATGCAACGTCGGGACGCCGGCTCTCCATCGGTGCGTGCACTGGCATTGCTTGGCCTAAACGTGTGGCCTGTAGCAACGCCAACGAGCTACACCCAGCTGCTCGAATCGCTTTTCACCATCGTCGCCATCAGTAGTGCCGGCTTGCTGCCTGGCCAGGCGCCGGTGGCTCTCTCATCGTCGACGGCTGCCACGTACTCAGTCCTCAGCGACGTCTTGCCGTTGCCGCTCGGTACGCGCACGACGACAGTGGCACTGACACCAGTGACGGCGAACTGCTTTCTCGACACATACTTTCTCGACGTTGTGGCGTGGACGACGCCGGTGCGTACGCGATCCTTGCCGGCGGCAACGCCCGCGTTGCTTCCGTCGATCGATATTGGGGTGCACACGCTCACGTCGTATGCATCGGCTCAGTTTCAAGGTACACTACTTCTACATGATTGTTCAATCTAAGTCCGTTTCGTGGTGCAGGAAAACCTCTGGGGATGTCGGCGCTGGACCAAACCGACGCCTGCGTGCTCTACCAGCAAAAGCTTCTCAACACGGACATGGCGTTGCCACTGGTCAACGTGTCGTTTGCCCACGACGCACTGGCGACGGGCCCGCGCTTTGAGACGGCGTGCTTGTCCTGGAACGCCAGTATTGATGCGTACGATGCAACCGAGTGCGCCAAGGTCAAGAGTTTGAGCTCGGCAACGACTACTACGTGCAGTTGCACGCGCCTCGGCGGCCTTGAAGTCGTCGTTGTTGTGCAGGAAGTGCTCAATTTCGAGCCGCTCAACCCGACGGTGTATCGCGACGACTCGTCGTCGATCGTGCCGGGTGTCTCGCTGGCGCTTCTTTTGGTCCTGTACGCGGTAGGTCTCCGGTGGGGCGTCAAGCGCGACGAATTGGACAAGGAGGCGCTTCGTCTCCAACGCCTCGGTACGCATATATATCAACAGCGTTCGCTCATATTTCGATAGGCAAACTCAGCAAAGCCACGTGGAACGACCTCTTGCGCGCCGAGAACGCCAAGAGCGTCGATGACATTGCGCCGACCCATAACCGCGGGTTTGCGCCGGTGACCGACGCGTCGACGACGGTCCATGCGTTTACTGCAACGTGGCACCCGACGACAGCGCACATCGCAATGGACCCCGTCGAGTCGGAAGCGGCTATCGTCGATGCCGAGGCCGTGGCACTCGCGTCGATCGCCGTCATCACCGAAGGTAACGCGCCCCCCGGGAGTTGCTGATCGCACATGCATCTAGTGGCGCTCTTTGGCACGCTGCGGCTTCAGGCCCAGCACGTGCTGATCCGCCGCTCGCTGCAGGTGCTCAACCTCTTTCTCTTGCTCGTGTCGGCGGTCTTTCTCGCGATCGGCGTTGATTTTTACGCGTTTCTCGGCAATACGACCGCCAATCCGGTCGTGGCCGTCTTTGGGCCGCCCGTGGGCCTCGGGCTCCTCGGCTTCGGCATCGCACTCGTCGTCGTCGCTGCCGCGGGTTTGCTGGCCGCCGTGCGCAACACGTCTGCGCGGGCACGGACACTGTACATGGTGCTGTTGCTGCTTGTGCTGGTCGCCGAAACGGTGATGCTTGGGATTGCGTACAAGCATTTGGAAGACGTCACCGACTTTCCTCGGTCGACGCTGTCGTTTTTAAAGACGCAGTGGGCCGCGCTGAGCGACGACATGCGCGCGAGTCTGCAGAACGACCTCGGGTGCTGTGGGTTCACGTCCATCGACGATGCCCCGGCGCTGCCGTGCCCTGACGCTGCGCTGCTCGCGCCAATCACGGTTTGCTTCGATGCCCTCACGACGTCGGCGGTGACGCTCTTTGGTACCCTCTTTTCTGCGCTCGTACTTGTACTCGGCGTGCAAGTCGCGGCGCTCGGCCTCGCTAACGTGCTCGTGCGCTGGGAGGCGATTCGCATCGACACCATGGCCAACGGTACACTCACAGTTGAAAGATTGAAAGAGTATCAATGTGTCGGCTAGGTGTCGCGTCAAAAGCGACGTTGGTCGACATTATCTTGCGCTGCTCGTTGCCCGTGTGCAGCCACTTTGGCGTGTGTGCCATGGTGTTCGGTGTCGTTGCGGGCCTCGACATGCTCCTGCAGTGGGATCTCTTTGCTTTGGCGTCCATCACGATATTTGTGCGGCAAGAACTGGGCATCCCGATCACAGTCCTCGCCGCCCTCTACATCGGTACGACCTTGGCTATCTACAAGTTGGATGCATATGATTCTTCTAGTCTTGCATTTGTATGGCGCCCCCGCGATCGCACATCTCCAACGACGTCGTATGAAGCGCTACATCGCGTGCCACGTCATCTTGCTCGTCATTGGTGTCGCACTCACGATTGTATTGGCCACCGTCAGTGACAACCTCGGCGCGTACTCGAACCTCCAATCGATTCTACAAACACGCTACCTCGGTCTGTCGGCGCAAGCCAAGCTCGAGCTCGAGACCAACTTGGGCTGCTGCGGCTTCAACGCGACGAGCCAGGGCACGTGTGCGACACCGACGACGGCGCCGCTTTGCGCCGAGCCGCTCACATTTGCGATCCGCCAGTTTGCAACGATCACGCAGGCGCGCCTGACGAGCTACCTTCTCTCCCAGTTTTGCCTCGTCTTCTTGACCGGCCTCTTTCTCACGATGCAGGCCGATGCGCCCGATGGGTCGGCCGCGTCCGTTAGCGTCACGAGCGCCAACGAGTTTACGGATCCCGTCAACCTCCTTCTACAGCGCATTTGCACGCAGTTTGTGCTCTTTGCGAGTCTGGTTGTTGCGTTTTGCGGCGCGATCCTCGTCGGCGTCGGCGTCGACGTCCTCCTTGAGACCAACATCGTTGCGATTGCGGCCGTTCTCACGGCCTTTAGCTACTACATTGGCACGTACGTCTGCCTTCTTGGTCTCCTTCTCTGCGCGGGGAGTGGTCTCGGTCTCTACGCAGGGCTGTCGCATGCCCGGCGCTGGCTCTGGCGCTTTGGTGCGCTTCTGCTGAGCGCGTGCGTTGCGTGCCTCGCGCTCTTTGCAACAGCGTACCGCGTTCAAAACCCGGTGGCCGCCGGCAGCGTCAACGCCACCATGTACCGAACGTGGCAGAGCTTTGTGCCCGCGACACGCAAGTTCATCCAGGACGCCTACAGCTGCTGCGGGTACACGAAACTCGGTGCCTCGACGTTTTCGCTCCCGTACACCGTCTCCGAGTGGCACACCGACCCCGTGTCGGGCGCAACGACGACGACGACGACCACGTCGTGCCCGGCCAGCGCCGTCGACGGCTGCGGTCCGTACATGCTCCAGACACTTCAAAACACCGCGCGCGCCGGCGTCTCGGGAACGGTGTTTTTAGCCACCGTGCTCTTTCTCTTGTTTGTGGCGACCACCGTCCTCTACTACCGCCAGGGCCGGAAGCGCGCGGTGACGTGGCGCGTCCTCGTGCTCCAATTCGTATTTTTGGTCGTGGCGACCGGTGTCGGCCTCGCGCTTCTGGGGCTGGCGCTTCTGGGCATCGACGTGGCCGCTGGCACGACGGTGTTTACGTCGAACGTCGTGCAAGTGCTCTTTGGCGCCCGCATCGGCGGCGCAGTCGTTGCGTCCGTCACGATCGGCCTTGCGTTGACGTCGTACGGTGTATACGGCGCCATCAACAAGACGCTTCACATCTTTGTCATGTACCTCAGCCTGGCGCTCGTGCTCGGTACGGTCGCGTGGAGCTGCACCGGCGTCGTCGCCACGTCGACAGTCAACGAGCAGTGGCAACACACCCTGGACGCCTACTTGGACAATATTTGGTCGAGTCTGAGCCCAGACGATTGGCTCTTCCTCGGGTCGAGCCGCAACTGCTGCGGGTACCACGATCCCGTGACCCTGCCGTCTGGAAAGCTGCAATTCGATCGCGCCATCTCGTCGGGGTCGAACCTGGCGTGTCCACCACTGGTGACGACCGGGTGCCGGACACCGTTGCTGTTGGATGCCTCGTCGCTTCTCAACCAGCTCTACAAGCTGCTCGCGGCGTACGCGACGCTACAGACGCTTCTCTGGCTCGTTGGCGCCGCGCTCCTCCATGGTCTCGTGCTACTGCATCCGGGCACGTGGGTCGCGCTGCGGAAGAAGATGCGACTCTGGGTCGCCAAGTACAAGGACGACGTGACGACAACGCACCTCGTCGTCTCGCTCTACTACGCGTACGACGCCAAGTTTACCCGTGCTCAACGTCTCACGTGTGTGCTCTGCGCCGTTGCTGCGGTGGCGGTCGTCGACGCGGCTGTATCGAGCCGCCACGGATGCACGCGCGACGGCCCCGTCCAGTGCGAATCCTTTACGGCTGGGCAACTCGTACGTCTTGGAGCCATCACATGTGGCGCGCATATGTAGATGTGTCACTACTAGGTGGGCTACGGACTTGTCTACTCGCTCGTGAGTCTCTCTGTGCAGCTGTGCTTTGCAGCACTCTTTCGGCACGTCAAACATCGCCAGGACGACGACGACGGCGCCAAAGTCGCCGAGCGCCGGCGCAAGGAAAAAGTCTACCTCCGCGAAGTCCTGCACCACAGCATCCAGGCGATTGCCGCCAAGCTCGGCCAGTTTGCCATGGCAACGTCCGAAGAACGCTTCTACAGGTGCGAATTGTATATCCATCGAGATGCACGGAACGAACTGCTTGTTTGGTCTAGCTGGCTTGCGGGCCACGTGGGTAGGACGACCATGGTACTCGGCTGGCTTCGATTGCTTTTGGCGGTGGCCATTGGTTCGATCTTCTACTGTTGTTGCAAGTTCTCATGGCGCTGGCGTAGGCGTGTACATGGGTCTGAGTCAGCTCGGGCTCGGGTTTTACATTTACAGCGTTCCTGTTCCGGGCGCCTGGGGCTTTGCGACAGTGCCATGCACACTCGTGGCCACGACGCTGGTCGTCGCTCTCAGTGGCCTCTTGAAGCGGCGCAAGCGCTTTGCGCGCCCTGCGTACGTGATGTACCTCGTCGCGGCGGGTGCGAGTCTCCTCCTCATTGGCTTCCTCGCGACGGTCATTTTCATGATCGTGCAAGCCATGGAAGAACCAACCGAGCCGCCCAACTGGACCCAGCGCAACGCGGTCGGAAAGCGTGTGGAGGCATCGTACTCATGGTACAAATGACATAGAACTTTAGTGTTGTCGCCAGCATCAAGACCATCTGGCGCAACGACACCGTCGGGTACAGCCGACGGCTGTGGCAGTCGCAACTGCAGTGCTGCGGCCTTCCCGAGTTTCCGCTACGACCGTGTCCCATGGGTTCGACTGAGCTCCAGAACGTCACAGCGCAGCGCGTCGACGGCTCGACAGTGGTCAAAACGGTCACGATTGTGCACGACCTCGGCGGGTGTCTCGACCCCATCCTCGCACAGATCCAGGGTGTCGCGCAGACCATCATCGGCCTCTTGATTGCCTTGGCGTACGCTCGTCTTCATCTCTTGCGTTGAAATGACGATGTCTGTAGGTTCTTGGAGCTCTTTTACGCCGCGTGCGCCTACTTTTTAGCCCGCGATCTCGTCATCTCGTGGGACTCGCAGCTACGTCGCGCCTCCATGCAGCCCAAGCTCGAGAGCAATGCTGCCCCACTTCTCCATGATGAAGCGCCCGCGTCCAAGACCGCGCCACCGCAGCGAGGTCGGATGCTGTCGAATCTTGTGCAAACCAGCATCAACAACGTGAGCAAGTCCGTGGCGCAGCTCTTGTCCAAGACGAACGCATCGCCCGCGACGCGGCCGAAACCTTCGTCCGCGGCGCGCCTCGCACTTCTCAAACTCCAGTTGCGACTGCGGTACCCCGCATGGATTCCACGCCTCATCTTTGGTGTCGCAATCCTCTTTGTCGGTGGCGCCTTTGCAGGCACGATCCTGCTCTGCCTTGCACTGGCCAATGATGGCGCGTGGCTCTGGCTTGGCGCGGCGCTCATCTCGCTCTTCCTGCACCTCGTTGTCGTCGAACCCAGTGTGCTCTTCGCGTACGTTGTGTCTCAAACACTCTCGTCGTGGTGGAAGTCGTCGTGGATGGCAATGCTAATTGGCGTCGGCCGCGCCATCTTGCACCTCGACGACGCGACGAGCTCGGACGCGCGGACGACCGCGCTCCTGGATCCGTTCACGCGCATTCGACACAATGCGGCGGTTGTCATCCAGCGCCGGTGGGTCGCCAAGCTCTGTCGCATGCGATACCTCATCATCCTGCGCGTGGCGCGCGAGAACCAACACAAGTCGTCGATCGAGGCGCGGCTGCGAACCATCAAAGCAGCCGTGAGCAGCTTCACGCGCGAAGAGACCGAGGCGTTCACGATGCTTTTCGCGATGCCGACTACGCCAAGACGGGCCTCGTGTCCTACAAGGTACTTGCTACCCGACGGTGCGATGTGGTATTTGATGTATGTAGGTGGTCTCGCACGCCGTGCACGCCCTCGGTGTGCAAGTGCCTGCGGCCGTCGTCAAGGAATACCTCGTGAGTCTGGACCCGGGTTTTGTCGAACTCATCGACATTGACTACTTCTTGTACGCCATGTCGTGCATTCGCGGGTACCACCAGGCGCAGCAAGAAGCCAATGCGACGGATGATGTGATTGTGATTCCGCACGCGTCGTCCCCCGAGGGGAAATTCCAAGTCAAGCGCCAAAACATTTTGCGGGAGCTCAAGGAAAAACGCGAGTCGGTCTCCAAGCACCTCATGACGAAGGTCAGAACAGCCTTTTTTTCCAATACCTTTTTCATGCGAAGCGATGTAGGTCGGAAAACTCGCGGCCCAGCTGCACAAGCACGGCGAAAGCCCCAAGGAAGACGAGGACCCGAAACCCTCTGGCGCGTACATTTTGCTCCACTCGAAAATGGGCCATCGGCCCGCGAGTGCGACGCCACGAGGAGGACCGTTACCAGCAACAGCAGCCGCGGCGGCGCCGGAGGCCGTTCAGGAACGCAGTGCAGAAGCCGTCGTCGCCCGACCCGACACGCGAGGCCAACTTTCGGTACGCGCTACCAAGGACATTGAGAAGGCGATGAAGGCCCTGAAAAACAAGCAAGACGGTAAAAAGCGCCGCAAGTAGACAGAGCTAACTATCTCCACTTCAATCTACATGTAAATACGGTATTATGTACATGACATGATCTTCCAACTCGAAACGAATAAAGTTGAAAACGACCCCGTCCAATGCGCCACTGCTGCCGACGCATTTACGTGAGCTGCTCAAACACTTGGCCCATTAGTGAAGAGTACGCGAGGCTCGGGAAGGCGGGCGGCGATGGAATGATCTCTTTTCTATCACACCACCTCGGCGCTCGAACGATCGATGTTCGTTCGCCAAGCCGAGAAAAAGTTGTCTTGTATTTAATTTAGTTTACAACACGAGGTTGTGCATATGGTACTCCAACATGGGCGCGTCATCGACGAGGCTGTCAGCATCTTCGCTCGTCGCCGAATGAATCTACGCACGCGCATATTCAGCCAATCGATACCACGAGCCATGAACTTGCCCATGGAAAGGCTGCGAAGAGGTGGTCCAGACTCTCTTGGAACCCAATGGCGTCGTTAAAGTGCACGACCGACTTGTGCAACGAGAGCGAGTACGAGTGCGCGAGGCGGAAAAAGTTGGGTGAAAATAGCACCGGTACGATGTGCTTCTCGCGGTTTTCCGCAAACGCAAGCTGATCGGAAAAGACGTCCGAGGCGCACGACGAAGCAGAAAAGATCGAAATGAACGCTTCGCACTTGAGGATCGCGTCATTGATGCTAATGCCCTCGTGATGGTTCTCAATGTACGCAATCACGCCTACCCCAATTGGGCTGACACTCTTTTGAAACTTTGAAACATCGCAGTACCTTGGTCCCAGAGCGCCGTTTGCAGTCGGCGCGCAAAGCTCAAGTGGCAATTGCCGTGGCTAATAAAGACAAATTTCGCGTGCATCGACTCGAAGGACGTAAGTCGCTGGCTCTGGAGTCGATGCAACAACTTTGGTCGAGAAACCACCTTGTCGTCGACGCGGTGCTTCTCAACTTCGTTGCGAAGGCCATCGAGAAGCGACGCGAGCTGCTGGCTGTAGATGACGTCGTCTACAATGAGGCTACGACCGTTGGTCGGTGACGCCGACACAATGGCGGGCCGAAAGTCCACGAGTTGGCGGCTCCAGAGGTACACTTGCAGCTCGTCCGTCATTTCGGTCGTTTGCGCCATGACTGCAACCACTAATGCACAGTTCGCATGCACCTCGAAATCGACCCAATCTAGAAAATGTAACTCTACCTGGGACGTTGTGGGCCTTGGCGAAAGCCAGTTCCTTCATGCACCATTGCGACGCCGGGTACGTCTCGCTCAGAATGCAGAGCACAACGGCAGCGTTCTGGATGCCGTTGGCAATCTCGTCGCGCCACACGGCACCGCCGCTGATGCCAGTTGGGTCCATCAAGTCCATCCACGTTGTCAAAAAGTTGTCTTCGAGCGACTGACGGAGCCGGAGCGCGAACGGCTGGAACGCGTGGCTAATAGCACGCACTTTAGACGCCACGGTACTCACGATGGGGTGGGTAATACCTGTAGCTGATCATGACGTCGCGCTGACCAGCTTCTTTCTTGATGATAAACTGGAGCTCCGTGGATGAGGTGCAGTCGATGGCTCGAACACCGTCGTGGTTGACGCTGGTCGTCGATGACCTAGCGCACTCGCCATCAGCCCTAGCCCTTGGGAAATCGCTCGACACAGACCCCGAGCGGACCAGCGCGATTGCTGTGGCTTCGTGCCCCGACTTCATTGCAATGTGCAGCGGTGTATCGCCGTTGGCGACGGTGCCAAAGTCTCCGAGGCCGTTCTCGCGCAGTAGACGAAAGATACGCGTGTCGATACCTGTCCACAGAGTGTGCATAGGACTGTGCGAAACCAGATTCCTTACCGTCGCGCGTTGCGCAGAGGCATGGAATGGTCTGGCCGAGGTGGTCGACGCTATTTAGCTTGGCATCCCAGAGCGTGACAAGTTCTTCGGCGAGTTCAACGTGGTTGAGATAGCACGCCCACGCCAGCGGCGTACGGCCGTAGGCATCAACGGCGTTGATGGTCGCGCCGTGCTGAAGCAGCACTCTCGCCGTGTCTACTTGGCCACGAATCGCAGCCCAATGCAACGACGTGCGCCGAAAGAGACCTATAATGTACATATTGTCGCATATGGCGGCGACAAGAAGCCAACAAACCTTTGGACTGCTCCCCAAGTGTGTTGACCGATTCTTCCGAGAGAAAGGGCAGAAGAAGGTCGGGATCGCCTTGGGCAGCGGCGTCGTGAAGCGGAGTGAGCGCAATGTCAGCCCCCCAGGTCTCCATGAGGTGCGCGATTGCGTGGCGCCCATGCAGCAGCGCGTCTTCGTAGGCGGTCAAGTAAAACCCATGCTTGGGCACGTGCCTGCATGAAACATCACAAGATCAAACATTGAATCCAAGACAAAAGCGCACGCACAGTTGGTTGGCGCCGTGCTCCAAGAGGAGCTTAGTCACGTCAGGGTGTGTCGCCCAAAAGAGCGGCGGTGTCGCGTACGTTGGCAGCGTCGATTGTGCTGGTACGTTGGGGTCGGCGCCAGACGCCAAAAGTTTCTGGACCATTGGCACGTCGCTGCGGGCGACGGCGACGTGAAGTGGCGTCAAGAGTGTGTGCTTGAACCAACCGCGCGGGCCATAGAGGCTCGGTGGCTCTTCAAAGTTGGGCGAAAAGAAGCAAAACACCTTGTCGTACACGTGTCGCAGGGCAAACTCGGACAGCTGCACCTTCTCGAGCGTATTGAGCCCAAACCCAACCTACCATATACAATACTATCAATCCAATAGTATAATCCATCAATGTCCTACGTCCAAGAGGTAGCACGTCATTTCGTGCTGGTGGGTCTTGAGCGCCAAGTGCAGCGGGTTGTGCTGGGATCTCGCAAAGCGCTTGCGGCACTGCAGCGTCGCACCGGGAAACCACGAGGTCGCAAACGCAAGGTCTATGGTAAGAGCTTTGGTCACGGCAGCGTGCAGCGCCTCCATGTCCTTCTCCTGCACGGCCATCCACATGCGGTGGCGCAAGATCTCATTCCGCGACCGGTTGAACGGACGGTCGTGCGCGAGGTGCGCGTCGCCAAACACACCGTGTTGCAAGAGCAAGTGCGTGCGGAGTTGGTGGAACATGACGAGGAAGTCCCACGTCGCGATATAGGCCCAGAGCGCGAAGACAAACGAAATGGCCATGAGAAAACCATGCAGCGTCGCGTCCATGTCTACCATCCACATCAGGCTATCCATATACACGTCGCGGGCAGGTGTACCAGAGGGGCAATCCCACGTCCAGCTCGGCTGCACCATACCGAGCGGGATGTACACGATCGTGAGTGCGAGCAGCACGATTTGCGCCAGCGCCACGACCTCGCAGAGCCGCAAAAAAGTGGTGCGCACCACGTGAAGCTGTTTTCGGGACGGCGGCTGCGACGACGTGTCCGTGTCGATTTGCGTGTCCGAGAGGCGGTGGCGCTTCCGCTTGGACGCACGGTCGTAGCGCACGTGGTAGAGCTTGAAGAGCTTGTGGCCCGTCGTGGGCAAGAAGAGGAGAAAGCTCGTGCCCCAGAGTACACTGCGCAGAAGGAGCCGCACCGTGTTGTAGCGCTCGCAAGTCGCGCTGTGGGTGATAGCCTCGCCGCGGTAGGCGTTGAAGAGCAGCGTCTGCGCAACGAGGACCATGTTGATGTAGCTCACGCGCGCCAGCTGCACGCGCATCGACTTGGAGACAAACACATTCTTCTTGCAAACGACAGCAGCCTTGTCGTCGAGCGACGAGTACGAGGTCGTCGATTGGTGCCGCAAGCCGAGGGACGCCGGGTGGTGCGTTGGCCACGGCCCATGACTGAGCTCACCCAAGCCATTCATGCTGCGGCTGCGGTTGGTCGATGGCCGTCCCGCCTAATGGTATTAATACGCCGTTCATTGCAGTTGGCGCCGCCGTTGAAAACACCATCGCATGTTGGACCTACAACCTGCTTGCAACGAGCCAATCATAGGCGTTGCAGACCGAAGGGGCCAATCCGATCGCGGTGCCATTGGCATGTCGCAGACGCTGTAACATGTGGACGGGCCAATCCACATCACCGCGCAGACTCTGCATCGAGCTCCGTGGACGACTCCGTCGACCGACGAAGCACTCGCCTCGAAGACGCGAAGAAGCCGATGGAAGGTGCTCGACAGTGCACAATGGTGTATGCTAGTCTGGTGAACTAGCCTCGTTGAGAAACGCGGCCGCAAGATGGGGCAAGCCAGGAAGCCTTTGTAGTAATAACGTTAGACGATGCTATCCGACGCATGCAGGACACGCGTCAGTGCGCTTGTAGCACACGTGTGCAGTAACACAATGATCGCTCCACCCAGTCTACTACGTCCACGCTACGGCTCTATTGACCCAGGTATCACAGCAACGAAGACGAGAACACACTTCTTATTTAAATCTTGGGGCACTCTTTCGCGGCTTCCGATCAATGGGAATCGCAGAGCAGAGAGGGTCGATGGTGCGCGGCGAGCTGTATATCGGCTGCGGCGTGTACTGAGCGTAGAAGGCGCGGCGGGCCGTCGACGTAGCATTCACAGCAGAGAAGTGCCAAATGTCGGACCGGAAGACGACCGCGGCGCCAGCAGCGACGGCCAGCGGGGCTGTTGCCGCCGATAAATCCAAGTCGGCAGGGTCTTCGACGCCGTCGGGGTGGTGTGTCCACGGAAGAAATCGGAGCGCGCCGTTCGTGGCCGTGATGTCGTCGAGCGCAACCCACGCAGAGAGGTACCACGGGATCGACGACCGATGCACACACATGCCGAGCTGCTCTGCGTCGTCCTACATACGTGTGTGTTGCCAGCGTGGTAGTACGCCATATATCCGAGGCGAACCTGATGCCATCGAAATTCAACGTTGGTTTCCGGCGGCTTGACCACATAGTGCTCGTTGAAGAAGTAGATGTCGCCTTCCGAGGGGCTAAAAAGAGGCGCGAGGGCTTGTGGGAGGTCCTGGAATAGAAGCGCCTCGATGCAATTGCCCTCGGACGTCTTGCGCGTCTGCTTGCGACGCATGGTCATGTACGCATCGCGCTGTGTTCGTGCGCTTCGCGTCATCTGTGTCATGGACGCAGTCATTAGCATTGAGCTCTCGATAGTATATCGATGTAAACGTACATGGGCGGTGGCGAACGGGTCGAGGACGCAGCCCTACAGAAGCACGCATGAGCGATGTATCCTTTCCGCGACGGGCATACGAGCTCCACGATGGCCTCGGGCGTCGTTGCCGCATACAAGTCATCGCACTCGACACGCAGCGCTTGAAGCTGCGCTTGCGTCAGGAAGCCATCGATGACGAGGAAGCCGTCGCGGGCGAACGCGTCCGTGTCGACTTGCGCTTCTGGCTGCTTGCGCTTCAGCATTTGATTTTCGATCGGACACTACTTTTGTTCACCGAAATAGTCTAAACAATTTGTGTAACACTATACTCTACTATACGGCAAATAGTGGTATGCGGAAAGTAGTGTACAGTAGGACGGCGTCGTTGGTGTCAACATGGCGGAGGCCAAGGACGGTGTGTGCACGGCCGCGCGCTTGACGGCGCAAGGACAACCCGGAGCTTCGCGCCCATGCTGCCGAGGCGTCGAATGACACGCGTAACTGCAATACCTCAACGCTTCTATGGGCCAGGCGCGACCATGGACAAACGCTGTTGACGCCAAGGGCAACTCCAACTAGAGCTCGTAGGGTCCATGGAGGCGTTGCCACGTCGCTGCGGGCTGCAAGTGTACTAGCTCGACGCTGCTGCTTCACCTGCCACTATCGCGCCGGGTGCGTGGGCCGCTTGTATCGTCGGAACGCGGGACAGATCGAGGACGGCGAATTCATTCATTTAGAAGACTCCAGGGATCTATGCTGCATGCATGGCGGATATATGATGATGATTTAGTTCGAATGAGGAGGACGCAATGGATTTACTCCGCCTTGCCCTGGCCCCACGACATGTTCCACCAGCCGCGGAGCGTCTGGGCCATACCGAGGCCGAAGAGGACGGCAGCGGCCGTGTTGACGGCCTTGTCGTTCGCGCCCTTCGTGTACGTCGGGTTCTCGGCGCCATGGAGGTTCGGGTGGGCGTTGAAGCGGGCCTGGAGCTCACGGACGCGGGACGGGTACTTGACGAGGTTGCGGATCATCTTGGCGGCGGCGAGAGGAAATTCGGAACTGACTACGCGTTCTGCCACCCAACCACCTCCCGAGCTCGATTTTTTTCTCCGAAGCTTGATGTTTGTATGCAATTTAAAGCCGTGCGCATATTATGGGGCCGGATAAATACGTGTTTTTGTGGCGAACGCGATAGAAAACCGGCAGCAGGCGTATCCGGACAACGACGGCGCAGCGCGGGAAGAGACATCCACCTGCCAAGGAGGCTTGAACTGCGAAGGGCTTGCTGTACAGCCAACGTCGCGCCCTTGGCCACAGGCGAGACGTCGCAAATCCTAGCTGCAAACGATGCGCAGCGAGGACTCTTAGCAAAAGAGATGGGAATCCTGCGACCGACATGGCATGCACCCGGCCAAGCGACTCAGTCGCTTGGCAGAAGTCATCGTGCTGCCACTACCGGAACTGTAGCCTAGCGGACGACTCGACATTCGCCTTGTGTAAAAACTGCTGGGCTGTTCTGCGATTCCAAGAAATGCTGGCGTATTTCGCCAAGGCGCAGGAAACGAGCTGCAAGTGGATTATGGTGAGTATGAAAAGACGATCACAAGACTAGAGGATGTGGGGTCCACGGGGCGTCACGACGATGATTTGGTCCTTGCGTGGGGCTTGCCGCGCAAGGCGAGCCTGCACGGCCTTCACGGTCAGAACCATCACCGCTGTGGCAGCGACGACGGCGCAAATGACGGCGATGCCTGTCAACGTCGACGCTGGTGGCACATTGGACGATGCGTTGGACGCCAACTGGGACGAGTACATTTGCGTGACGTTGACACCGGGGCACGGGAGCAAGTTTGTGCTCTGAGCAGAGACACGAAACTTGCAGAATTGGCAGCTAGGGCGCCACGGGTCACAGCCAATACCGCCATTCGCCGCGCAGGAGGGGTTGAGTGTGACGTCGATCCCAACGTTCAAGTCAGCCTGCGTCACAATGCAGGGTGCCGGTGCGTTGGCTGCCACGGGGCAATCCGCATACACCGTGTTCTACTCGCACATGAGATCATCGCGACATCAACTGCAGGAGCATTTTTACACGGGAGCCTGGCTGGCGGCACAGGCGGCAGCCGCGACGATAGACGTCACAACCGTCGGCTTGGATGTTGGTGACGCATACGGGGTCATAGATGCTGCCAAGGCCTTGTTGTAAGCCAGCGTTGTCGACCGCACACACGGGTGTGGGGCACGCATCAAACTGGCACGTCGCGTTCGCGAAGAGCACCATGCCGTTGGCGCAGACCATCGTTGTGTTGACGCACGGCGACGTCGCCGTGGCGATTGGCGGCGGGCACCCGACGTACGGCGCGCTCTGGGGCGTCCAAAACTGCCGACAAATGCGACAGTAGGCGTTGCGGCAGCCCATGGCCGCGCCTCCTTGGCCACAGATCGGGTCATTGTAGACCGAGAGACCCACGGCGATGTCGGCGCTCGACGCATTGCAATGGTCCATCTACACAAACACAGCTCAATGACCCTCGCCTCGCGATCATTGCGCGTACAGGCGGTACGGACGCCGGAAACACAAGTGCATTGAGCGAGGTCCACGGTTGCCCATCGATCTTCGTCGACCAGAGGCCGCCGAGCTGGGCAGCGATTGTGCGAGGGGTCATGGTGTCCGGTCCTGTAGGAACGCGTCATACACCACGCGTTCAAAAAGCCAAGTACCCGACGTCGCCGCGATGGAGAAGATACCAAAATGCTCTTCCGCAAAGTAGCCCAGTGGCAAGAACGGCCCGGGAGGGGCGTGAGCCATGTCATGCACGCCTGGGTTGGCTTCCTTCCACCACTCGTCCGAGTACTCGAAGACAAAGCCACCGACGAGCACCGGCATCTTGCTATCGTCGCGGCGCATAAAGTTGCTCTCGAGAAAATTCGCCATCGTCATAAGGTATCCCCCGACGTTCCATTGCGTTTGGTCTACATCCCTATGAGAAATGCACCACGACACAATACACTACCAAACACTTCGTACGCATTGCTGGCGTACGGGACACCGTACTCTATCGTATCCCATTTGAAGAGTCCGAGGACGCGACGTCGTCGTACCTGCAAAGATGATGGGCCGCTGAGTGATCCGGGCTGGGCTTGCACCTTGGCAGCGCTAAACCGGTTGTCGTAGACGTCAATGCCCCAGACATCGACAGTCGCGCCGTTTTGCTCGCCGTACGCAAGCGTCTGCCCATAATCGTCGATGAAGTTGCTCGTGATGATCTTGGTGTTGGCACAGCCCGCGATCGACATGCCCGTGCGCGTTGCCTGCGTGAGTGCGTTGAATTTCTGCCAAAAGAGCGACCCCGTCACGTCCTACAGCTCAACATTCGTGAGCGTTTGTTTGCAAACCGTGGGCGTACCGGGTAAAAGTTGATCTCGCCCGCGATGACAAAGCCCATCGTGCCCGGGTGACACGAGACCTCGGTTGCCATGGCCAAATACGCCGCCACGTACGTTTGGAAGAGGGGGCTGTCGAGTGGAACGCCCGCCTGCATGACGGTCGGAGGCACCCATACCGAGAACATGACGTAGAGCGGGTTGAAGCCCGCGTTGTAGGCTGCGTCGAGGAAGGCGACGTGCCCCAGCACATTTCCAGGTCTGTAATTGTAGACCTAGAGATGTGCAAACATCACGCATTGAACTGCGACAAGCGTAGATGTACTTTGACCGCGTTGGCGTTGAGGTTCCGAAGCAGCGGTAAATCCCGTCGCCAGAGGTGCGGCTCCAAGAGCAAGTCACCGCCGCCCCATTTGCCAATCGGCGTCGGCTGGTAGTTGATGCCGCGAATGAAGAAGACGGAGCCGTCCTTGAGCAGCGTCCGGCCACTCACGCTCCAGACCGTGTTGGGCATCTTTTGAACTCTGGCCCCCGAGAAAGGCAACGCATGAAATATGGACCGTTACGCCGCGCAACTGCTCCGCAACCCCCGACGCCCTGCGCTCTCGGTAGCACCTCTTCAACGATAAGAAATACATTTTCAAAAACAATCGAGAGCAAATTACTCGGAAGGAGATCGTTGACCACAGTTTGTGTTGTCATTTTGACCACTTTCATTGGTTACGAGGACGAGACCACCGATTCCTTTGGGAGTGGTACCACGCCCGTGTGATTGCGAGCTTCTAACACTGGAGGTTTTTCGTGCTCGCTGCCGTCGCTGTCCAAATCGAGTTCGACGTTGTCGTTGGCTTGAATCTAGGCAAAAGAAATGTAGTGGAAGCGAATAAATCTCGCAAATCAGAGGGTAAACGTACCCAGGGGTACGCTGCAAAGAGGTGGTCCAGACTTTCTTGGAACCCAATGGCTTCGTTAAAGTGCACGACCGACTTGTGCAACGAGAGCGAGTACAGGTGCGCGAGGCGGAAAAAGTTGGGTGAAAATAGCACCGGCACAATGCGCTTCTCGCGGTTTTCTGCAAACGAGAGTTGATCGGAGAAGACGTCCGAGACGCACGACGCTTCCGAGAAGATGGGGATGAACGCGTCGCACTTAAGGATCGCGTCATTGATGCTCAAGCCCGCGTGCTCGTGTTCAATGTAGGCAAAGATGCCTACCAGAAGATGGGTTGTTGATTGTTTGCAATATCAATTTTACCTTGGTCCCACAGCGCAGACTTGAGACGCCGCGCAAAATCGAGGTGGCAGTTGCCGTGGCTAATAAATACAAAGCGTGATGCAATGGCTTCAACCACGGGACGTCGCATGCTGGCTTGGCGCACGAGCAATGTCGACCGCCTCACGGACGCAGCAGGGCGATCCATGCGCCGGAGCTCGACTTCGTTGCGGAGGCCGTCGAGAAGCGACGCGAGCTGCTGGCTGTAAATGATGTTGTCGACAACGAGTGGCCCCTCGGAGGCCGACACAATGGCGGGCCGAAAGTCCACGAGTTGGCGGCTCCAGAGGTACACTTGCAGCTCGTCCGTCATTTCGGTCGTCTGCGCCATGACTGCAACCACTACAACACAGTTCGCATGCACCTCGAAATCGACCCAATCTAGAAATTGTAACTCTACCTGGGACGTTGTGGGCCTTGGCAAAGGCCAGTTCCTTCATGCACCACTGCGACGCCGGGTACGTCTCGCTCAGAATGCAGAGCACAACGGCAGCGTTCTGGATGCCGTTGGCAATCTCGTCGCGCCACACGGCACCGCCGCTGATGCCAGTTGGGTCCATCAAGTCCATCCACGTTGTCAAAAAGTTGTCTTCGAGCGACTGCCGGAGCCGGAGCGCGAACGGCTGGAACGCGTGGCTAATAGCACGCACTTTAGACGCCACGGTACTCACGATGGGGTGGGTAATACCTGTAGCTGATCATGACGTCGCGCTGACCAGCTTCTTTCTTGATGATAAACTGGAGCTCCGTGGACGAGGTGCAGTCGATGGCTCGAACACCGTCGTCGTTGACGCTGGTCGTCGATGACCTAGCGCACTCGCCATCAGCCCTAGCCCTTGGGAAATCGCTCGACACAGACCCCGAGCGGACCAGCGCGACGGCCGTCTTTTCGTGGCAGAGCTTCAACGCAATGTGCAGCGGCGAGTCTCCATTCTCTAACGTGCCAAAGTCGCCGAGGCCGTTCTCGCGCAGTAGACGGAAGATTGCCGTATCGATTCCTATCGCGTTTCTCGTACAGGTAAGAGACGACATCCGAGACGCTACCGTCGCGACTGGCGCAGAGACACGGAATCGACTGGCCGAGGTAGTCGACGACACTCGGGTCCGCGTGCCAATTGGTCAAAAGCTCCTCAACGAGCGGTGCGTGGTTGAGGTAGCACGCCCACGCCAACGGCGTGCGCCCCCACGTGTCGAACGCGTTGACACTCGCGCCGTTCTCCAAGAGCACGCGCGCGGTCTCCACTTGGCCGCGGATGGCCGCCCAGTGCAACGGCGTCCGGCGGAACAAGCCTAGTCCACCCTTTCTTCACGCGTCGATGATGCGTCGTCGAGCGTACCGTTGGACTGCTCGCCGAGTGTGTTGACGGAGGCGGGCGACAGAAACGGATCCATGCGCTCGGCTTCGCCCTGTGCGGCAGCGTCATGGAGCGGCGTGAGCGCAATGTCGCCGCCCCAGCTCTCGAGCAGCCGAACAATCGCGTGGCGTCCTTGGATCACCGCGTCTTCGTACGCGGTCATGTAGAAACCATATTTGGGCACAAACCTAGTCGGATTCTCTGTAAGTTGACGACACAAAATGCCACTGCCTCGGACGCACAGTTGGTTGGCGCCGTGTTCGAGCAGCGTCCTCGTCACGTCGACGTTGGTGGCCCAGAAGAGCGGCGGCGTCGCGTACATGGCGCTCGACGACTGCGCCGAGACGTTGGGGTCTGCGCCCGCGACCAAGAGGTCGGTCACGAGCTGGTGGTCGCTGCGGATGACCGCCACATGCAGCGGCGACAGCAGCGTGTGCTTGAACCAGCCGCGCGGGCCATACAAGCTCGGTGGTTCGCGGTAGCTGTGCGAGAAGAAGTAAAACACGTCTTGGTAGATGTTGCGGAGGCCAAACTCGGCCATCTGGACCTTCTCGAGCGCGTTCGGGTCAAAGCCCGACTAGGCAGTCATATGACCTCTCCACATGTGTAAGGACAACAACGCACACCTCGAGGAGGAAGGTGACGGCGGCAGCTTGGCGCGTCTTGATGGCAAAGTGCAGTGGATTGTGCTGCGAGCGCGCAAAAAACTTGAAGCAGCGGATCTTGGCGCCGCAAAACCACGTCTTTGCGAACGTCGGGTCCATCTCCTTGGCGCGCGCCACCGCAAGCTTAAGGGCGTCCAGGTTTTGGTCGCGGATCGCCATCCACATGCAGTGGCGAAGCACCTCCTTCGGCGACCGCCCAAACGGACCGTCGCGGGCGCGCTGCGCGTCGCCAAAGACGCAGTGCTGGAAGAGGAGGTGCGTGCGCAGCTGATGAAACATCACCAAAAAGTCCCACGTCACCATGTACGCCCAGATCGACAAGACAAACGACGAGGCGTGGAGGACGTACACGAGACCCCGCGGCAGCGCTACGCCGTTGTGAAGGATGCGACTACATCCTAGAGCGATCGGTCGTACCCGCGTAGCAGTTCCACGTCCACGAGCCTTCAAACATGCCAAGCGGAATGTACACCATCGTAAAGGCGAGGAGCGCGATCTGGCAGAGCGCCGTGACCTCGCAGAGGCGGAGAAAGGGGGTGCGCACAACGTACGGGCGCGCCGTCGGCGGCTTGGTCGGCGGCGTCGAGAGCGCGTGGAGGCGCTGGCAGAGACGCGACGTGAGCGACTCGTACCGGACGCGGTAGAGCTTGAACGGCTGGAGGCCCGTTGTTGGCAAGAACAAGATGGCGCTCGTGGCCCAGAGCACGACGCGCACGACGACGCGCACGTCATTGTACGTGAGGCAGGCAGCGAGGCCGTCGTTGTCGCCCGAGTAGTAGTCGTAGCTGTACATGTTGAAGAGGATGGCAGGCACGAGGAGGATGATGTTCATCCAGCCCACGTGCCGCAGCTGGATGCGCATGCGTTTGCTCACAAACGTGTTCTTTTGGCACACGCAGTGCTGGTCCGAGATGTCGACGAAGGCTGCGGGGCGCTCCATGCTGCTCTCGCGACGCGGTCGCCGTTGGCGCAGAAACGAGAAAGTACGGTCCATAGATAGCTCGACGTCTTCGGAGCGTTTCAGCGTGGCCGCCTCGTTGCTGGCCGACGGATGGAGGCTCGACGAGCGTCGTGTCACACACTATTGCGCCACGTTCATTGGGCGCAAGCGTCCAATCATGGCCTCGCACGATCGAAGCGCGCTGGATCGACGAGCGTAATCACGCGATTTGGCGTTGATCACATCGTGCTCGATTGCCGCACTTGGCGACAGCGTCATCTGCGCAGCGCATCAGCGCTCCCGAGGGCGCGCTGACAAGCGCAGTGGTGTACATTATGTACTACAATTGTATTGGCGTCTGCTTCGAGAAACAGATGCAGCGAGTCAGTCACATCGGTGTCCTAAAGCAGCACCGATGGCACGGACGTACTAGCAGTATGCAGCCACAGCTCGCACTGCTTCCATGGCGCTCAAAGGTCTCAACGATATCGACGTGGCTGCCTGTGGCTCAAGCTTGAAATTGCATTTCCGGATACCGTGCCTTCGAACTTCGATTTGTACAGCAAAAATTCCGCGGACGGTCCCGGCATAGTAGCGGCGATGACGACGGCCCTGCACCATGCGATCTGGGTACGCGCCTCGCCGTCGTATCCGACGACCGGCTCAGACTAGCCACATAGGACGGCGACCTCCATGCTATCGATGCGCTGCTTGAAGCGGGCGCGGCGAGCGAGCTTCTCGAGGCGCGGGATGCGTCGGGCAACACACCACTCATGCTCGCGCTGCGCTGCATACAGCCGACTCAACGGGCCATCGTCCGCCGTCTCCTCGTAGGCACATGCATTCCATTATCATCGTGACGAGCGACTGAGCGTAGCACCACGGCGCGTCGACGCATGCCAGAGACGCGCGCGGCTGGACGTGCATCCAGAATGCGGTGCTCTGCGACGATGACCGCCTCGTCGCCGAGGTGTTTGTCCACGGTACGACCCCACGATGCGATTGGCTCGTTGTTGTTGACGTACAATGACCGCGGTAGCCGAGAAGCAAACGCTAGCGCAGCTCACGGCGCGCTCGATCGCACTCTACAGCGTCTTGCTGTCGATCCCCGACTTTTACGTTGAAATTCGCGTCCGTGGCCGCCAGGACAATAGTGTACACTCAGCAAGCGTTGGTGTTAGGTGGAGCTCACGTCATGGGTGCCGCTCGTCTCCAAGGCGCTGCCATCCGACGTCTTGCGCATCTGGAAAAAAGGCCCGTTTATCCGCGTCGACTGCAGTCTCAAGGATTTCCAAAACACGTCGTGGAAGCGAGGGCACATGTCCCACCTCCTGCGCACGTCGCCCAACACGCGCGGTAGGCTCGAGGCTTGTTGAAGACTGCTCCAGTAAATCGTATGCTAGGCCACGTTGCGACCATTGATCGAGACGCGCACGAGATGTACGACGCAGCGCGGTCCATGGAAGACCCCTCGGTGGCTGACATTGAAACGGGTCTGCAGCTGCTCTACACGTGCAAGACATCGACGTTCACAAGCGATGTCGCCTCGGTACCTTGCGACCACTTGGAATCGCCGGTTGCATCGCCATGTAGATGGTCTTCCAACCCAAGAAGAAGCCGCTTTTGCATCTTCAAAAGGCCAAGCGACGCTGGCCCGGCGTGTACGTCGCCTATCGTCGATCGGTATGTCGAGGTTACATCCGTGCATTAGCAAGTACGAGATGCTCCACGCCCGCGTCCACCTCCGCCTGCGGGCGCCATTGCAGCCCCACTGGGAGCGTCCAACGACCGCACCGGACGACCGCTTTACGAAAGCCAACACCTTTTTCGCCAAGCTCCACCAGATCAAGAAAACGAAGAAGAAGACGATGGAGGCCAGCAACAAACTGATGCTGTCGGACCAGCCGATGGAGATGCACTTGCAGGTGCTCCCAGGCGACGTGGTGCATTGGCACTACGACACCAAGTCGGTGGCGTCAGTGGCGTTCCACGTCACCTTTTGTGCGGCCGAGTCCAGCGAGAAGAAGGTCGTCGCCGCCAACGCCCCCGACGGACAGCTACGGGCGACGCAAGCAGGACACGCTATTTTTTGTTGGGCACGCGCACCGTCGAGCAAAAAGAAAGCCGTCTCGGTCGTCTACTCCATCGACCACCAGCGCCCGGCACCGTCGCCCGCGTCCAGCGCTGCGGCAGCCTCCGACGTGAGCGAAAACGAGAGTGCGCTGGCGGTTTTCTCGCGGGTGCCTCAGCCCCGGCAGGAAACCACGTCGTTCCAAGCGTACTTTCCGACAGCCGACATGGCGCCGCATGCCCAGCACCGGGCGCTTACGGTGCTTCCGCCCGAGTCGCACATGACGAAGGACATTCAGGCGACTGTGACAATGGCAGAAGCGTTCCCGTTCACGGTAAGCTACGGCTGCTGAAGGAAGCTCACGCGTGCGCAGGTGCAAGATTTCTTGCCGGTTGCGCAGTTTCTCTCGACCCGGGCCGAGCATTTTGAGAGCCTCCGCGACTTTTTCGAGCTGGTACCAAACTGCATTGGACCGTTTGTCTTATATGGTGCTAGAAACTACCGCCGGGGTTCCCCACCAAGTTTCAAGTCCCGATTCTACTCAGCGTGCGCGCGTCCTACACTTTTGAGAAAGCCGAGGCGTGCACGGTTGACGACAGCCACTTTGATTTGATCTAACTCATTTTTGTCTTAATACCGATTGCGATACGTGCAACGCACGCGACGGGGTGAGCCAGGACTCGAAGTGGTGACGCAGTACGCAGGTTGTTGCCTCTTGTCGTCTTCCAAGCTAATGCACGGATTCCTCGCTGCTACGCTCTGAACAACTAGTGCTGTTGTGCAAGTATGTACTAATTGGACAAAATTTGTGGTATTAATCGGGATTAGCAAGTCTCTACGATTACGGAATCGTCGCCGGTGACTCGGCGGCAATGGCGGCTTCGTCGTCGGCAAGACGCAGGCGAAGCAGCTCCATTTCATGCTCCATGGCTTGGAGCTTCTTCGCCATCTCTTCAGCGTCAAACTTAACGTCCTTCGTCGACGCGTTGTGCGACGCCGCCGAGCCAACGTGCGCGGTCTCTGCCTCCTCCTGAACGGTCGCAGTCTCCTCTTCACCCGTCGATTTCGAGGGGCTGCGTGGTGCAGCATAGTCTTGTACGCAGCTTTGCATGCCTCGGACGCATGCTCGAGCACAAAGTGGTCGCCAGGATGCAACGCGCTCACTTCAGCAGCGCACTCGTCCGGGTACGGCTTGCCGTGGTGTACCAAGTGCGTCGTCTGCGTACTCACTGGCGCTTTCGGGGCAACGGTCGCGACGACGACGTGGGTCGTCGAGGGCGCAGTTGTCGGCGGCGCATACGTCTCCGAATGATCAGGTTCTCGTGTTGTGGTCGTAGCTGTGGCGGCGACCGTCTGAGGCTTGACTTCGTCGAGCGGTGCGGAGGTCACGGCCGAGAGACCTTGGTTGGCCGGCGACGAGAGCTCGGAGCGTAGGCTTGGTGGCGGCGAGCTCAGCTCGACCCGCGATGGCCAGGCCACAAAGGGTACGAGCCCGACGCAAACAATGAGCACCGTGACGGCGAGCATCTTGAGGTGGCGCGAACTTTGGTAGTACGACGTCGGCGTGACGCTGTCGGAGAGGAGTCCGCGGCCGAGCACGGTCTTGTCGTCCGAGTAGCCGGAGTAGTCTTCGTCGAGCGAGGCTGACGACCCTGTGAGTAGAGAGCGCATCTTGTTGTTGCTTTGTGGTAGGTTGGGAAATAAGCTGCCCTGAGAAGTAAAGGACGGCGCCGATTCGAAAGATTTGGATCGAAGACGCGCGAAATCGAAGGCGATATCTTCCGTCGAAATCTTGAAACCGCAGAACAACCAACCGTGGAAATCTTTACGGTTGGATCGCTATAAGCAACAGAAGTTTAAGCTTGTATTGCTCTGGCGCTGGGCGATGCGGTAAGATTCCATTGCTCAAAATCGTTGCTTCGATTTTCGACCGACTTGAGACCCATGACGGCATGTAGCAGAGAGCGATGGCGACAATCTGTGAGTGCGAGACTCTCACTCGCAGCAAATAGATTACTCTCACTGACAGTCGTCTCGCATTCGCTTCAGCAGTCAAAATGTTCAGCAGTAGTAGAGCGTCAGCCACCGTCGCATTCACAGTGTAAGTGGTATTCATATGCTTCCGGCATGCGATCCCGACTAAAAGAAAACCAAAAAATCCACACTCAACATCACACAAAACAATGGATTTTTCAGGGGATTTACACACTTCACGACTGCGATGTCCAGCCACGCGCCTCGAATGCATTGGACAACTATCTTGCAGACTTAGCACGCCGGGTTCGGCGTCGGCGCAACAGTCGGTGCAGCCGTAGGCGCGTCCGTCGGCTTGGGCGTCGGCGCGACCGTCGGTGCAGCTGTCGGTGCATCTGTTGGCTTGGGCGTCGGCGCCGACGTTGGCGTATAGTACGCCGTCCACGTCTGGATCGACGTGTCGAACGGAATCGTACCGGCGTAATCCGTCGACAAGTCAGCTCCCGCCTGGTGCAGCATGCACGGCGGCTTGACCGTGAGCATAAAGTTGGTGACGGTCTTGTAAAAGTTCTTGCAGTTGCTTGACTTGGCAAAGTCCTTGACCATTTGGAGGTTCTTGGGGATCCAGTTGGGGTTCATCATGGCCGAGACGGGCTCGTTGATGTCCTTGCTGCACGTGGCGAAGACGCCGTTGCCGTCCATCGCGATGGGCAAGAGACCCGCAAAGTTGGCGACGGAGCAGTCGGGGACAGCGGCGGCGGCCGCAGACGCGACGACGAGGGCGGCGACAAAGGTCTTCATAGCCTGAGAGAGGGAATGCGCTGGACGAGGCAAATGAGAGAATGAAAGGATATCGTGCTAGCCGACGAAGTGCAGGGCGCTGCAGCCAAGTCGTTGTCATTCGTCCGTGGCTTTTTATGCACAAGGCGAGTCGCGTGTCTGGGTTCAAAGTATACCAAGTCAGCAGCCAAGTCAGTGGCTTTCGTGCAACGTTATCCGAAGTGATACATGTGTTTTGGACCTGGTCCACGCAGGCATTTTGAGAATATGGCCCCTGACACATCCGCATCATGACCTCTCTTCGCAACGAGTAGTACAAATCAGCTATACCACGGACTACCACTTCAGGACTGCAAGTCAGCGTATCATCGATCTTGATAGGAATGCAGAAAGGAATGCATGTGCCTTCTTCATACGGGGGTAAACGACTAGTTTAGATTGTGTGGCACACTCGCGGTGCACCGCTGGGGAGCTCAACATTGCTTGGGCCAAGTCCGATCTCCATGGCACGTCGTAGACAGCCTCTGGCACCCATGTATGCCCCTAATGACCCAATTACCGGCTCTGTGAGCATGTTCAGAAGGATGCAACGCATCGCCTGTCGCTCTGATTCTTCGCCACTCGGACCGACATAGCGCCGACCGTTTGTGTGGCGTGAAACCAAGATCCCTCACCTGGTCAGGCCAAACGAGCGCGTGCCTCGCCGACGTCAGCAGTCCGCTTCGATTGAAAATGGCACATTCAAGTGCCCTTTCCACACGTGGATTTTTCGTTGAAAAGTGATCACGGAGCAATACTGTACTGTACATATGTGTTGCTCGTGGTTCAAACCTTACTTCCATATGTGTAGGTCGTGAGCCCGAAACGAAGCTCTGGCAGCCAGAGCTTCGAGCGCACGTGGCCGGGCAATGAAAAAGCGACTGGTCCGAGCTTCAGAGATGCCATGCAATGCTTCAGCTCGATTCGACTTATCTGTCATTTGCTCGACACGAATTTGTTCATGTCAAGGAAATGCTCTACACGTGGTCGATGGGTGGTGCTCTAAAAGCTTGTGTTTCACACTATTTAACATGTCTGTCGTCTACGACCCCACGACGCTTGCTCCACAAACCCACGACCTCTCGACGCTGAGGCCGTTGCACCTGTGGTACTGCAACTTGGGTGTAGCACAAAAAACATGCAGCAAAGTAGGCTTGCCCACGTCACCTGCCCACGTCTGGATCGACGAGCCCCATCGTGTTGCTCGTTGCTCGCACGGTGATCATCACAAAAGGAGCCCTCCTCCGCTTCTCCATATTTCCTTTTGACTCGCATCTACCAAGTCAGTTCCACCATGAAGGCCTTCCTTGCACTATTTGCGAGTACGATCTTGGCGTCCGTGTCCGCGGCGCCCGAGTGCAAAGCGCTCCAATTCGCGGCCTTCCTTCCCTCGGCTGTCAACCCGCTCGGGCCCATGGTCAAGTGCTCGATTGACATCAAGGAGAACCCGTTCAAGATGCTCAACCCGGCGTGGATCCCGCCGAGCACGCAGAGCGTCGACAAGTTTGCGGCGTCGGCCAACTGCAAGAAATTCTACGCCTCCGCGACGGCATACATGAAGACGATCAAGCCGCCGTGTGTCGTCGAGTACATCAACGGCGCGCCCATCACGACGGACGTCGCGGCGTCGATCCCGTTCGAGATGGCCATCATGACGTGGAAGGCGCTGTACGCGGCGGGTGCGATCCGCCCGCCAGAGTGCACGACGCTGCAGTTCCTCCCGATCGCGCCCGTGCTTCTCAATCCCGTCGGACCGCTTCTCACGTGCGCCGTCGACATCAAGGAAAACCCGGTGAAGATGTTCAACCCGGCCTGGGTCCCCAAGAACCTACCGATGGTCAATGCGTTTGCGGCTTCGGGGCTCTGCAAGGAGTTTTACGCGGTCGTGACGAGCCAAATGGGCAAGATCCCATCGCCGTGCATCGTCATGTACCTCAACGGCGTGCCCGTGACGTCGGACGTCGCGGCCAAGATTCCCTTTGACATGGCCATCCTCACGTGGCAGTCGCTCTACCCGAACGGAAAGGAGGTCGCCGAGGTCACGCCATCCCTCCGCGCGTAAGTGGTGCCGTAGTGTGGTCTCCGCTCCAACGATTCTTGTCGCCACGACAACTTGTCTTGTCTACGTGTAACTCAAATCCCACATGTTGTGATTGTTTAGAGGGCGTACTCAGTAGTACTGTAACTCAGTAGTACTGTACAACGCACTTGGGCAGCCGACAACGCTCCTTGGGATGGGATGGCCCTGGTCGCAGCGGCGAAGTAGAATACGGAGAAACCCATAAGTAGACCGAAGAATGGACAGAATTCGGTGGACAACAACTCGGTGCTGGTAATGTGTAATTTCACAGCTACATTGTACCAACCGAGTAAGCGCAGGGTTCATGGTTCATAGGTGCAACTTGAAGTGGTAATTAATGCGCCGGCTCCCTGCGTTAGGGCGTGCGTGTCAGCGCCACTTCTTTCATTCAAGCACCAACCCTAACCCTCGACGACGCTGATAGAGAATGGTGTAGAACCGTCGTAAATTTTCCAGCTATTAACACTTCGTTCTCTCGCGACTGATGTGCCCGGGATACGTGATGTTATTCAAAGGCTCAGCAGATAGTCCAGTGTTTTGATCGCTGCAAGCATTCACTTTTAACACTATTTACATTGTTGATGCAACGACAAGCAGCGTCGCGACACAAAAGTATGTTGCATCGTGGACCTCCATCGGGATATTGGGTGGGTTGCTGCAGCATGCTCTTGCGATCTTCACAGCAGCAACTGCAATTGTGGTTGCACAGACAGTCTTTTGACTGGGGTTTCAATGGCTCCCGCGTCGTACTGGCTTCCACGAGTCGTTGGGTCGCTGTCGACTCGACGCGACCGCAAGATACCTTGCATGTCGGACCTTCCCGCGCGGCGTCGTTGGCTCGTATCCTCGTTCTGATCCGTGGGACTCGACACATTACTGCATATGGTCTGGACGCATACACGGGCACCCAGAGCCGTCGATAGACACTGGACCAGACGACCATGCAGCAACCACTTCGACCCCTTTTCCTTGTGCAACTATTGCATAAATAGGATATCCAAGACTAAAGAGTTGTAGGTAATAATCAATCATACACAAACATTATAGCAACCATTGCTTTAGTTGTCAAGTCTTCAAGTCTGCGAACCTCGCGATAATCCTGCACCTCTGGAAAGCAGCGCTGCCAGCAGATAGCACCTCACCCAGGTTAAATTGCCCAGGATCAGTCCCAGAGGGGACGACCCAACACCCCCGAAGAGAGCCTGTCGTGTGAAAAGCCACACAAGCTACGCCAGCATTGGTATCGCGTAGGAGCAATAAAAGGGTGCTTTTGTATTCACAACCACATGCTGCTCCGACAAGGTTCCAAAGCTATGCTTGAAATTATTTACAAGAACACGGCTTAGACAGGCTAAATGTCTCCGAACACATCCATTTTCATTCACCCAACGCCACGAGATATCAGTGCAATGGCCGTGGGCCGCGGGCGTGTGAACGTGGTTTCTTGTGCAATTTGTTTCCTAGGAGTCCATTCATTCTCTCATTTGCCTCGTCCAGCGCATTCCCTCTCTCAGGCTATGAAGATCTTTGTCGCCGCCCTCGTCGTCGCGTCTGCGGCCGCCGCCGCTGTCCCCGACTGCTCCGTCGCCAACTTTGCGGGTCTCTTGCCCATCGCGATGGACGGCAACGGCGTCTTCGCCACGTGCAGCAAGGACATCAACGAGCCCGTCTCGGCCATGATGAACCCCAACTGGATCCCCAAGAACCTCCAAATGGTCAAGGACTTTGCCAAGTCAAGCAACTGCAAGAACTTCTACAAGACCGTCACCGACTTTATGCTCACGGTCAAGCCGCCGTGCATGCTGCACCAGGCGGGAGCTGACTTGTCGACGGATTACGCCGGTACGATTCCGTTCGACACGTCGATCCAGACGTGGACGGCGTACTATACGCCAACGTCGGCGCCGACGCCCAAGCCAACAGATGCACCGACAGCTGCACCGACGGTCGCGCCGACGCTCAAGCCGACGGACGCGCCTACGGCTGCACCGACTGTTGCGCCGACGCCGAACCCGGCGTGCTAAGTCTGCAAGATAGTTGTCCAATGCATTCGAGGCGCGTGGCTGGACATCGCAGTCGTGAAGTGTGTAAATCCCCTGAAAAATCCATTGTTTTGTGTGATGTTGAGTGTGGATTTTGAGTCTCTTTCAAGTTCATTAGAAGAAAAGATATATGTAAAAGTGAGGTGGGGTCAGTTCGTTTTCGGTCAGGGTTGTAACAAGGTATAAATCCCACCGTCTCAGCAACAGCTGTTCAACGATCATCATTTGGGAAAGAACTTCATATGGAAGAATTTTCCCACACCTAATCTATCGCTGGAATCCGAATCGGGGATTGCTACAAAATGTTTTTTGTGAATTGCGTTCCCCACGTACGTTTATCTCGTACCGGATACTATCCGGATTTGTTCACGGTCTTTCTTGCTGGCAGAGCGACGACCATAGCAACCATGACCTTCGACGACTGGCTCTGTAAGCGCCTGGACGAGCTCGCGATCGACGGCGAGGTATACGCAGATATGGCCATGATAGGAAGAGGAGAAGACGATACGCATGTAGGTGTACGGCGAGTACGTGCGTGGGATCGTCGCCGACGAAGATACGGACCTCGACGAGCGTTGCCAGACCGCGGTCGACGTCCTCCGCGCTGTCGTCGAGGACGACGCAGGCCTAGCCGGCCTCGATGCGCAGATCAAGGCAAAGTGGCTGGAGCAGGAAGACGCGGCAGCGAAGAAGGCCGCGCAGAGCTTGGAGCAGGCCAAACTCGAGCTCGAGGAGAAGAAGAAGGCTGAGCTCAAGCTTGTCGAAGAGAACGAGCGCAAAGAAGCCGAGAAGGCCCAAGCTCGACAGCACATGTAAGACGCGCTGTCTCTCCTCAGTGGCTCATCAATATGGTAGGACGCGCGAGGAAATGCTGCAGCGTGAGAAGATCCTCAATGAGTACGGCGCGGCCGACTCGTCGTTCCTGGACGAAGACGGCAACGTGATTGTGCGTGAAACCAAGGTGCGCCGTGTGCTTCGACGATACCAATATGCTCATGCAGTGTTATGGAGTATAGAAGACCGAGGAGAGTGGCCCCGTCAACACCAACAAGACGCAGGCCAAGGAGCACCAGCAGGCGATCCGCGACAAGATGAAGAAGGAGCACGACAGCAAGGTCAAGCGCGATAAGGAGCTCCTCGAAGCCGACCGTCTCCGCAAGGAAAAGGCCAAGCGACGGACGCAGAAGAAGGAGAAGCAGCGCGGCGCTGGCTAGACGGCGTCGGACCATTTTGAATTCGTTTCATTCTGTCTTCTGCCGTGCCTTGGGCGTACTGTCAAGAAGCGTATTCCGCAAAACCACCGCCACATGCATAGTACCGGTAGCGGCGTCGGTGAGCGTCTTGTTTCTCGGCGGTAGTACTACTAGTGAATAGAATCAAGGGTTCCGCTATGGGTGGACTGCGCCGTCATGGAGCCACCGCGCTTCCTCGACATGTCTTTTTTCATTTGTTGCAAGACCGTTGGTAAGAAAGACGTCACGCCCGCGACAGGGGCTTTGAAGTCGCAGTGCGCTGCAACGTACACTGCGCATGAGCTCGCAGAGCTAAGCGATGGCATTGCACAGTGTTGGAAGGTTGCTACCTTTAGGTTGTCTGAGCTACATTCGTCAAGCCCACTCGACTCAGCTGCATTAGACTGGGCCAACGGTTGGAATGATGAGCCGGCAAGCCACGCAGCTCCACGGCGGTATCCGGTGCATCCGGATACGACGCCACGATGGCCGACGCCCAGCCGCGCCGGCCCAAGGCGACGTTCGTGCAGCTGCTGCGCGATGCGCTCGCGACCGTCGGCATCGAGTACCTCACGCCCGAGGACATTCGGCGGGCCAAGACGAGCAGCGTGAGCGCGACCGAGTTTGACGACAGCCACGCGCTCCTGGTACAGCTCATGAGCTCATGATTGCACCACTCGTCGTCCTTTCTGCAGCGAGCATGTCCTCTTAGTGCATTCCTTTCTGGCGTGCGCTGCACGACCTCTGCCTCGTGATTCTCGCTGATTTTAACGTGGACGCCATGGCGGTCGCAGCGCAGTCCCGCGCGCTCTTTGACGAGCCCGACGGGTTTGACGTACGTACAAAGTTCTTTGATCTGCTTGGACGACACCCACTCGAGCCGCGTTCGTTTAGGTCTGCGTCGAGGTCGCGCGCTACCATCTCTACGAGTGGGGCTTTCTCTGCCACGAATTCTACACGACGCAGAGTCCATTGACACTGCCGGGCCCAATTCTTCTGGCAGCGCTCGTCTTCCTCTTTGGCCAAAGTCACTTGTTTTCGCGCCAAGCGACGGCGATCGTGCGGCGACAGCTCGGACAGAGCCATGTCCACTTGCCTCCGTACCCCGACGTACGGCTTGCATCCATGGCTTGACTGTCGAGGGCGGTGGCTGCACGGTTGTTGATGATGTAGGCACCGCCATTGATTGCATCGCACGTTCAAGATACGTTTGCGATGGCCGCGCGGCGCACCTCGCACATTCGGGCCCCGTGCTCGGTACGCATGCCATCCAAGGATGCTCGTTCGAGCTGCCTCTGTCCTATAGTCGTCGACACCATTGCTGCATACGGTCCACGCCGTTCACTTTGCGTACGGCAAATTGCAGTCGCAACTCAAGGCACGTCGCCATCGACCGCATGCGATAAGGCCGACGTTTGGCTTGGGAGCGTAGGAGTGGCATGCGCTGCAGAAAGCGCACAAGACGCTTCTCACTCGGATTCGAACGTCGCAGCTCGCACAACTGGGTGCGTCGGAGCGATGAGAGCTTCTGCTGCTAAGAACTACACGTGTAGGCACCAGCAAAGTGTTGATGGACGACGAAGGCATCGCGGCGAGTGTGCTCAGTCCATACGAGCTCTGGCTTCTGCAGCACCCAGAGGAGCTGAGGCTGCACCGCGCCGCGCTCGACCAACGGTGGGTCTCGCTCTCTCGGAATACAGTCACCTTACGACCGACCATCCATGAGACTACAAAATTATGCGGATGAAAAGCAATTTTACCAGTGGGCGATCGCTGCCGTGACCCAAGGACTCAAGGTGCTTCCACCGTACGACGAGGATTCTCGAGGGGTACAGATTGTGAAGAAAATGATGCTAGAGTCGGTGAGCGTGAAGAGCCTCCCCCGCCACAGGCGTTCGAGGCCGTCGTGGCGTCGGCCACTGCGACCAATGCTGCGTGGAAAGCGCGCCTACCATTGTACAAGACCGTGTGCTTGCACTGGAAGAGCGGCATCTCGGCCAAGGAGAAAGCCAAATTCAAAACCAAGATCGAGGCCGCGACTGCTAAAATGACGGACGAGCTGCCAGTGGTGGGCCTCCTCTTCACGCCTATCAAGCCCAAACCAATCCAAGCAGCGTGCGCTCTTCGTACAGAGCCTCATTCACCCTACAAGCTCCAGACAGACATACCCAAACGATACCTCCAAGGCGAAGTGCAGCGACTCGTGTCCTTGCTGGACAAAAGTGGCGCGTCCAGTTGGTCTAATCTAATGTTGTGCGTTGAGCGATTCTAGTACAACGACACTTAGTAGACTCTTGTGTAAAGAATTCGTCATTTGGCGCGTCCTCTGCATCACACTGCATCGATGTGTCCAGCGACGCCCCTTGCGGAGAGATCAGCAGAATGATATGTGGCCACGTTTACCAGATTCGGCGCCGAGTGCGTTCTGAGTGGCTGACCGCTGCTGGAGCGCAATGGCAGCGGTTGTTTGTGCCCAACAATATTTAGATAAAACAGTCTTGGAGTCTTTGCTCGTGCTGGCTAGAGTTTGCCTTCACCCCTATGCGCTGCAAGCTCATGTCCTTGCCACTGCCGATCGATTGACGTAAGCTCATTCATTATATTTGAGCTACCACAACCGTCGAGTCAATGACGACAGGTTTCACCGTGTACATTTCTCAGATCTTGTGAGGTCCGAATCTTGCCATTCTTGTCGGTGGCCCAGCCGCTGTGCAAATAGCTCCCACTACTCGCACCACGTGCCCATTAGCAGTCTACTGGTGAGGTCGACGAGACGAATGCAAGATCTCATTGACGACGCTGCGTGGCTCGTCGACGTCGCGACATCGCGAACCGTCTCTTCCTGTCAATGAATCGAGCCTGAAATCGCCGGTAGTATCGGATCGCTGCCATAGCCTCGTCGCCACAGCGCTGGCGTCAGTGGGCGCCTGTAGCACAGCGGTATAGTACGGTACTGTACACCATTGACTGTACACGTGACCGCTGCCTCAAGCGCGCCGTCACTGATTGGCTTGACCTGTGCATAGGAGGGCCGCGGTTTCATTTGGTCGTTCTATGCGCATACAAACATCAAGCTTGGCGGAGGCAGGATTTGGGTTGACGGCAGTTTGCCATTTTTGCCAATGAGCACGACGAGCAGCAGCAGCAACGCCTCGTTCGTGGGCAAGCCCGACGGCAAGGCGGCGGCGCCCAAGCAAAAGGTACGCGATCTGCAGCATGCAGTGGCTCGAGACGGCCATGCTAGATCCGCGGGTCGCCACCGACGTCGGCGCCCGAGCTCTCGCAGCTCGGCACGAAGGCCGGGTTTCTGCGCAAGGAGGCGGACAACGAGAAGGGCCACTGGACGCCCTACTACTTTGTCGTCAAGCCGTCGACGTTCTTGTACTATTATCGCACGCCGACTGACGAGTACCCGCGTGGTGTCATCGACCTCGAGTACATGACGGACGTCCGCCTCAACTCGCAGTGCATCAAGCGCAGCATTGGCGGCTCGGCCCACAGCTTCCGCGTCGCCGCCGACGTCAAGACGACGGAGCAGAAGAAGATTCGCCCGCTGTACCTCGACATTGCACCCGACGATGCTGTATGTCGTCGTCCTGCCGTCGATATGCCTCATGAACGAGACATCATGTAGGTCGACGAGATTGCAGGCGAGACGCCGGCCCAGCGCCAGGCGCGCATGGAAGCCCACGCAGTCGAGTGGATGAAGGCGCTGCAGGGCCACCGGTACAAGACGATCGACTCGGAGAAGGAGATCCTCCAAGAGGAAGTCCGGACGCTCAAGGAGAAGTGCGAGAAGACGCAAGAGGCCATTGTGCGCCTCACGGAGCAGCTCGACCACATTACGCGCCGCTCCAAGTACGTTGTGAAGGAAGCCATGGCGGCCACGCAGGCTGCTTGCGGCGCTGCGGCCGAGCCCGGGTCGTATGATGCCCTCGCACCGTCTCTCGATGCGCTTGGCTCGATCGCCAAACTCGGGGCGCTCGTCGAAGAGCTTGCATCGCATGTGCACGCCCGGAACGACGCTGTCAAAGTGCTCCAAGTAGAGCTCGAGGTGCGCGACGATGCAGCCTGCGGTAAACTTACGAGACACGTAGGATGAGCGCGAGAAGCATGCGCCCGTCCCAAGCTCGCCCATTGACGACGACGACGAGCCCGCGGACGAACTTAACCACGAAATCCTCGAACAAGTCCTCGACGACTCGCAAGGCACGATCAGTAGCAAGCAGTTTTCGGCCATGCGCAACAAGTACGTGCCCACGGATTGCTCCCCGAAAATCTCAATTGTGCGCTTGTGTAGGGGCCGCGGCTTCTCGGGCAATGCGTCATCGACGCAGATGCTCAGCGCAGCGGGCTCGGCCTTCAACCTCGGCTTCAGCAAGGCCAAGGCGGTCACGAGCCGTCTCGCGATTGGCTCGAAGCTCAAGCGCCAGCTCACGACGGCGCCACAGACGCCAACGAAAGCGGCCGCCAACCTTCCGAAGGGCTGGATCGCCCGCGAGAGCTCGTCGACGCCAGGGACGTTCTATTATGTAAACGAAGCGACGGGCGAGACGTCGTGGGACGTTCCCGTTGCGCTGGGGTCGCCGACCGTGCCGGAAGGGGACGAAGACTGCAACAATGACGACGACACAATGGCCTCGGAGCCGCTTGATGGCGACAACAATGGCGACAATAAGACCAAGTGGAAGCTCAACAAGCCCGCGTTCTCGCGCACGTTTTCGCTCAAGCCCAATGCGGACGGCGCCGTCAAGGAGATTGACCGTTCGCACCACCAGTTTTAGCAGCGTCAACGGTCTGGGATGTGTAGTAGTGGCACACGTAGTGATGTATAAATCCCACCCGTTCACGCTGCGTCCTCGTCATGCGCTGTGCATTCCTGCGGCTCGGCGGATTGGGCCTCGCTGATGGGCCCAACACGGGCGCGACGACGCACGCGATGGGCACATCCCATTGACAGCTAGGCTACGGTGGTCGCGCAATCCGCGTAGGAGGACGTTGCACAGGCTGGCGCCGTCCGTCATCGACGGAGCTTGGACTCACTGAAAAAGACGCGATGGCTACAGCGGCGGAGCTAGGACACACAAGGTATGCATGTATAGAATCACAGGACGTGCTATACACGGTTGTTTACGAAGCGGCGCGGACTGAGGCTTTACTCTTCTTGCGTGGCCGGGAGGTGGCTGTAGGTCGTCTTGTGCTTGGTGGCGAACGAGGCCATGGGCACGATGAGGAGGCCGAGCACGCCGACGAGGACGCCCGTGCGCGTCTTCCAGTTCTTCGGCTCGTTCCACCAGCCACCGGCCGGCGACCACGTGTGCTTGGGGTACGGAAACTTGCTCACGGCGCCCATGTTGGTCTCACAAATTGACTTTCCGTGGCCACAATGCTTTGCCGCGACCTTCCAAAACAAATATATTCGCATATCTATATTGACAGGTTTATCCGGAAATGATCGTACCGGTACAGTACCAGTTTGAACCCGCTGACTCGAGTAGAACACGGTACTAGCTCTGATCGAGATGGGCAGCGGCAGCAACGCTGACACCTGACGGTGCTCAGCGAGCGCCGTTGAATCTAGGAATCTCTGGAATCTTCTACCGTACTAGGCAACTCTTCCCAAACCATATATCGTGTATAAATACATACTATATATTTATTATGGGAGGAGTATCTCAAGCTGGTATCTTTCGCCTCAAGCACAGAGGCAATGCTATCGCTATGCATAGCATGGTGCTTGCGACGGGTGTAATGCATGGTCGAATATGGTAGACGCATCGAGTCGGCTGCTACCTACGGCAAGTTCGACGGTCGCGTGCGGCGGTATAACCTCTAAGAGTGGATAAGATGCCAGAGGTCTTTGCCCGTCCACCCCAAACCATCAATGGGATTATCCGGTCATTCGGATAACGCGCCACGAGACATTCATTTGTTCAACATGCTCTTCACGGCCAAGAAGTCGCTCGTCGCTTGCGCGTATGGCCAAGCCATCTTCATCTACAAGTACGTTCTCATCTACCTGGCCACCGCGCGAAGCTCATGACGCTTCCTCGTTCTGCGTAGCGGTGCGTCGTCCTTCCTTCTCTCGACGGCGTCGCAGGTCGTGGCCATCGCCTTGAACGCCGAGGCGACCTTGCTCTCGGTCGTCACGCAGGACAAGAAGCTCACGGTGTACGAGATGAACTCGACGCGCGGCGAAGTCGTCTCTACGCGCGAAGTGCCGCGCAACACGACGAGCATGGTCGCGGCCGCGTACGGCGGCAAGGAAGCCATCCTCGTGGGCGGCAACGCCGGCGAGGTCAACGCGTACCCGCTGCCGGACGTGACGGCGGGCGAGAAGAGCCTCCTTCAGCACACAACGTCGATCATCACGGACGTCGCGATGAGCGTCGACGGCAAGTACCTTCTCACGGCGGACCGCGACGAGAAGGTCCGCGTCTCCCACTTTCCGGCGACGACGCTCGTGCAAAACTACTGCTTGGGCCACCGCCAATGCGTGCGTCAGATTGCGACGTGCACCGTGACGCCGTCGCTCTTTGTACGTCCGATCAGTATGGATATGGATGTAGATGCAACTCTGTACTAGGTCTCGGTCGGCCTCGACGACGCGTTGCACCTCTGGGACGTCGAGACGGGCGCGCTCCTCGATGCCTTTGCGCTCGACACGTCCGACACGAAGCACTGCGGTCTCTCGGTGTGCCCGCTCACGAACCGCATCGCGCTCGTCCGCAACACCGACATGGCTGTGCGCTTCTTTAGCATCAACGCGGACAAGAAGATCGTCGCGTTGCCGTTGATGCTCCCTGAGTAGGCTTGCATGCGCGACCCTTTTCTGTATAGTCTCATTCGCACGTAGAGCGAGCCAACCCTCGAACGTCATCTTCAACGAGAGCGGCCACGTGCTCGTCGGCTACAAGGCAGCGCCGTTTTTGCAGCAGTTTGATATTGCCGGCGAGACGCCCGCGCTCAAGTCGATTGCTGGTGTCGATGCGTTCGCTGCGATCGCCGAGACGACCGTCCTTGGTACGACGACACGATGCTTATCTGAGCTCATTGTGTGCGCAGGCGACGTGGACGAGGAAGACGGCGACTCGGACGACGGCGAGCTGCGCAAGAAGAAGCTCAAGCCTTCCCACTGGAAGAGCAAGATGCCGGGCCATAAGGGCAAGGAGACGACGACCGAATAGAGTGCTATATTGACCTTGTACCTCGTTGCAGGATGCAGTTGGGCGCGTGGGCCCAGGTGCAGGATTACTCCGGTAGCCTCGGAAGCAAGGGGCGTCCCTTCCTCAGTAGTCCTATGGTTGGACTGACGAATGGCGCCTGCCACACACCAATCACGTTGCAGGTGGAAGCCGTATTTGGCCAATCATCAAATCACAATTATTTTGTCCAATCAAAAGTGGCAAATTGCGCGTAGCGATCTTGCATCATTTTCGATTTTCACACGTGATGGCCAGCCGCACGATGAGCCGCGACGTGAGCACGCCGACGGCGTACCAGCGCGGTGTCCGCGACGGCGCCCTGGCTGGCATCAGCCTCAGCATCGGCGTCTCGCTCCTCACGGCCGTGGGCGCGGGCGCCGCCGTCGCGCTCTGGAAGTACGTCAAGAAGCAGCGCAACCTCTTTGACGCCGACGAGCTCATTGCCAAGCGCCGGTCGATCTTCCCGCGGGACTATGACACGTCGCGCGTCGTGCCCGAGAGCGTCTTGATGAAGATGCTTGAGAGCGCCAACTGGGCGCCGACGCACGGCAAGACCGAGCCGTGGCGCTTTGTCGTGTTTGCTGGCGACGCCCGTCGTCGCCTCGGCGAGAAGGACGCGGCCATCTACAAGGCCAAGACGCCCGAGGACAAGTTCTTCCCCAAGAAGTATACCAACAAGCTCCAGAGCAAGCTCGACTCGTCGTATGTGATTGCGATCGTCATGAAGCGCCAGGAGAGCAAGAAGATCCCGGAGATTGAAGAGATTGAGGCGGTTGCGTGCGCCGTCCAGAACATGCACTTGTCGGCGACGGCCCACGGTGTCGGCGGCTACTGGAGCTCGGGCGGCTCGTTCGACGACGACATGAAGGCCTTCCTTGGCCTTGGCGCCGAAGACATTTGCCTCGGCCTGTTCTATGTCGGGTACCCCAAGCCTGGCTTTGTGCACCCCAAGGGCGCCCGCCGCCCGATCCAAGACAAGGTCACGTTCGTGCGCGAGTAGATGTGTAGTACATGTTGAGCATACTATGTAACAAGACGATAGTCGATAGACCTAACGGCTTCAGGTGATCCGGAGTGCTGGGGCTTGCACGGAAGCGCATCGGGGGCACTCCACGACAGAGGTTGGTCCCAGGCCTACGTAGCCTTGCTCATAAGCTACCTTTACTGCCCTATGTATGGTGTCTCTTGGCTGCACGTGGATTGGTGTTGCTGTGGTGGCCTCGAGATTTGACTGGTTCGACGGGCTTGCACCATGACATAATAGCACTGGCCATAAAGGTCGAGCCTACAGCACTAGCTTGAACTTGGTCGGCAACGCAAGAGACTAGGCATAGGATATGTATTACAAGAAAGCGTCGCCTTAGATGCTGCCGACGCCGACGCCTTCCATGTGGCTGCCTGCGTGCAGACCAATGTCGTCGACGGCGTCGTCAAGGACGTTCGACTTCTTCTTGGACGACGACTTGGCGCTCGTCTTCTTGAGCTCCTTGGGCGCTTTGAACGCGATGCCCATGGTCTTGCAGAGCGCGGCCGCTTCGTCGGCCTCGAGCACGCCGTACTCGATGCACCACTTCTTGGCCATCTTACTCTCGGGGTTCTGACGCAGCAGGCTCTCGTAGAAGACGCGGTCCGCAAAGCCTGGCGACGGCGTCGGGTGCTTCTGCCCCGGCTTCCGGTTCGCCTCCAGCTCCTTCGACCACTCCTCCTCGTCCATCGTCGTTGTGGTTGTGGCAGGGTCCAAGGCGTTCGGATACGTTGCCACCTGTATCCGGATTATCGAACCGACGCGGTGGACAAATCGTTCTGACGTTAGAATTGAAGTTGGCTTTAGAAAGTCTGATTGAAAGTCTCGAAGTTGCTTTTCAATTCGAGTCTGAGCGATATAACAGCACGCGACTCGTTCACGATATTGAAACAACAGCCAACGTTGGTGAAAGCACAACTCTTGCACTAACCACCAACCTCAATGTAGTACTACGACCAGCTTGGTTGCTACTCCGTTGAGATGGTATCGCTTACTCCATGGGCCCTGGTTTCATGTGTATTTCGACCTCCAGTAGCCTTGCCGATACCACAGGCTGCGCTGGTCGGCGGTGTCGATCACTGGTATCCACTCGCTGGCTGGGCGTCGCGAACCCACGTCTTCCATGGACCGAATGAGTCGCTGCTTCTCTTCGAGGAGGTGGGCGCCCGAGGGTGCAGTCTCGGGCAATGGGGTCTCTGGCGCCGGATTGTAGTCGCGTACGTGGCTGGATCGCGGTGCCGGTGTCGTTGACGCTTCAAAAAGCTGCTGGAACTGGGCGTGGAGAACGCCGAGCTGGTGCTGAAGGTGCGACGAGAGCTGTGGGTCCGTCGCTACATTGGTGGGCGCGGGGTTCTGCGACACGACCTGCGGCGGTGGTGGGAACGTGCCGTGCAGCGGCCGCTGCGTCAAGTACACTCGAATCGTATGGAGCTGTTCCTGTATCCATCCATCGTGCGTCAAGGTTCCCTTTATAGAGCACCAATGATATACCATGAGGTGTTTGTTGTTGTCTTCGAGACGCGAGATTTCCTTGGAGAAAAAGTCCTTCTCGGACGCGAACGTTTGTATCTGGCGCAGGAGGTCGCGCTTGGCTTCGTGCCAATGGGCTTCCCGCGTCGTTGTTTGTTGCCGCTCTTGAAGCCAACTATCTTGGTACTCGGCCTTGATCTTCTCGACCATGTCGTCGCACCGTTTCTTCCACTCGTCGCTCGCCCTAGCTCCAATGCATTGAGAACGCAGCACCAAGCAACGTCATAATGTACCGCTGTGTGGCGGCGGCGGCAAGCTGCGGGATCTGCGCAGCCCACTGCTTCTTCGCGTTATCCGTTTCCGCTGCCCAGAGACGCTCGGCCTGGGTCTTGGCCGACACTTCGTTGGCCAGCGCACGCTCGAGCTCGATAATCTTTTGCTCGAGGAGCTTGGTTTGGCCCCGAAGCTCGTTGATCAAATGGTGGTTCTCGCCTTCAATGTTGCGGGCTTTTGCACGACCGAGCTCTTCCTTACTATACAAGATATAGACAAATTGTATTCGTGTATCGAAGACATCTTCTCCACAGATGCACGTACGTACATTTCCAAGAGCTCCGTGTCCCGCTGCTCGACGCGGCTCACTTCTTTGAGGCGCCACTTTTCCGCCGTCGAAAACTTTTCTTCGGCCCGAGAAATGTCATACTCCAGTCTATATGCAGGATGATTCGTCATCATCGAAGACAAAATCAAAGACAATATTGTCATGCAACAAAGCATGATAGAGAGACATCAAGGATTCCTACCGTGCGTTTTGGCTTTCGAGCTCGCGGATCCGGTATAAATACTTGTCGAGGTCGGTCCGGTGCTACAGATTTTTAGTTGAAAGGATTGAAAACGGACGATGGATCGATTGTACCTCGGCTCGAAGCGTCTGAATCTGGGCTTCCATGGCCCCAATCTTCTTTTCGACGCTGGCTTTTTCACCCGCGAGCATCTCGAACCGCTGCTTTTCCATGAACTCTTTGCGGGCATACTCCTCGATTTGCACTATAGTACGTCATGAGACACCTGTCTATATGTAGTTTGTGACCTTTGTACTGCATGAGCTGGGACGTGTCGACTGACTGCGCTTGCTTGAGGTTCCGAAGCTCAAACTCCAACGTTGCTTTTTGATCACGAACGCGACCCAGGTCCAGATTGAGGATTTCGTTGTCCTTCTTTAGCGTTTGGACTTCGCCAAACTGACCCATCGCGCGCTCCTTCTCCCGCCGCATCTGGGGACAAAAGGCATGCTCAAGACGCGACAAAACAAGGGCACGAACCTCGTTGAGAGCGTCGTTGGCGACCGAGAGCGCGTGGGCGTGGGCCTCCTTTTCTGCTTTTGCAGCGACTCCAAGTGTCTCCAGCTCGCGCTGTACAGCTTGTAGTCGGTCTTGCCTACACTCATGTTGTACGCGTATCTTGCATTACGTACAATAGGTAGTACCAGGATTTCGCACTCTGTTCCAAAAGCCGCTTTTCATCAGCGAAGGCCATTGCTGTCGATCGTTCCTTGTCTTCGAGTCGGCGCACATGCAGGGCCTGTGCCAGAACGTGGTGATCAAAATTGCTTTGTGTAATGCTGAACGTCACCAGCTCGTCACTCTGCGCAGTCGCGGTACGCCATTTGTCCTTGGTGTCTTGCAGCTGGCGCTCTACGTCTCCAAGCTGCTGCGACAGGTCGTCGGCCGCTTTGGCCTGAAGCTTGAGCTTGGCCTGGAGCTGACTCGTTTGCGCGTCAAGCTCGTCGCGTTGCGAAGCTTGTGCAGCGTCTGCGTCGCTGCATTTCTTTTGAGCTAGCGCCAGGGCTGCTAGCGCCTCGGCGTGTGCAGCTTTCTACACTAGAGCATCAGCGATGACAGTGCAAGCCATTGGCGCACATGCTCCTCGATGGCTTTCGCGTGGTCTTGTGCGGATTTGAGGGCGTCGTCTTCGAGCTCCGAAATGCGCTTCTTTAGCTTCTCGAGCTCGCCCGTCGAATGCTGTAGTGTAATGTTGGTGGCCTGGCGCAGCAAGAGCTGCTCCTGGAGCGCTTCCACCTACCCGATCGGTTCAACCTTGTTGTGGAGACGACCCGATCTACCTCGATGGCATGCTCCTTCTTGAGCGCTGCGAGCGAGTCATCGCGCTTTTGGATTGCACGACTGTGCTCGTCTTTGGCTGTCTCTAGCTGCGTCTGCGCCTCGGCTATCTCTTTGGTCTTGGCGTCCACGTCAGCGCGAAGGGCATCCAGGGCACGGGTCGCGTCCGGATCGCCCTTTGTGGCCTGCGCCTCAAGCGTCGAGACTTTGGTTTTGAGCTCATTGATCTTCATACGCAGATAGTTGGCTTCCTTCGCCTCCGTCTCGGCAGCCTCCTTTCCCCGACGCAGCGTCTCCATTTCTTGGCTGAGTTTGTCTCGCGCAGTCTTGGCTTGCTTCTCGGCCGTCTCGTGGCTCTTCTTGAGTTGCGTGATCTCGGCGCGAAGCGTGTCGATCTGCTTCTCGGCCTCCTTGTTGTTACTGGAAGATGTGGCCGTCGACATGGCGCTGCCCATTGACTTTATCGCGGTCGTTGCAGTCGTTGTCGGTGGCACGGGCGTCGAGAGCAGTGGTGTCGGCGTCGGCAGCGTTTTCGACACCACCGGATGCTCCTCTGTCTTTTTGATGGACGACACGATGCTAAAGCTCTTGGGCATCGGCGTTGGCGACGGCTAAATGATGTTACATGAGCACTAAACTGCATTTTGGCGAGTGGAAGTACCACGTCAAAGTCGTCTTCGTCGTCGAGGAGCCACGCTTTCGAGTCTTTCCCGAACGCGGATCCGGCGCTCGTGAGCGGCGCTGGCTTGTTGGAAGACATGTCTTCGATCGTGTCGACCATGTCGAACTCATGCACCGACGTCTGGCGCCGGCCCAGGTCCTTCTTGGGCGCCGAGTTGAACGCGAGCTTCTTTGCATCCTCTTCCTTTTTCTTGGCAATCATGTCCTTGTAATGGCTGTCCATCGGGTGCTCCCAAATGCTCTCTTCGCTGTTGACGTTGAAGTAGTAGATCGTGCCATCGTCCGTCTCGCCTACCACCACAGACGTGAATCTGTCGTCGATCGCGACGACCACGGCAAACCTTGCTCCCAGTCGTCTGGTAGCGGCGCCGTCAGCGCTTCCTCAACGATCCAGAGGTACTGTGCTTCTTGGACCGGGTCCAGTCCCAGCGTTCGCGCATGTTCGTGCAGCGCCTCCTTGTACTCGGGGCTCGACTTGTCCATGGCCCCGCAGGAGCTGCCTAAACATAGGCGACAGTTTCCTTGCCGCAGTAGCGTGCAAGCTTTCGCCGCCTGTTTAGTAGTTGCTCGGCACTCGTTCAGGCTGTTTCGATCTACGCGCTCACTTCGCTGTGGGCACAAGCTCGGCGACAGCAAGAAAGCGCACTCTTGGCAAGAGTAGACCGGCACAGTCTCCGCTTCAACGTCAAGAAATACTGACGGTCTCTGTTAACGGTACACTGTTTTATTTGGTGCCGAGACATGCTGCCCTGCCTCGCACCGAAAGCTCTTGAGTCGCGCGGACCATCGCTTGCGCACACGGATGCGCATATCGACGATGAAGTCACTCGCTTGCGCAGCTTGCACATCGCCGACGTTCCGCGCATGCGCGATCTCACCGTCTTCCGCGTTCGCCGTGACACCCTCGGTACGAGTTCGGCCCTGCAAGGATGATGCTTCCACCTCCACGATAGATGTCCGTGCGACGGGACGCTCGACGCTCTATACGCTGCAAAAAGCTCGCTTCGAGATGGAGCGGCGACGACCTGCTTCGTTTGCGTTTGCTTTGCCGCCCACCGTTTTGGAGCCAGCGCCTCGTCCCTCTGCACGCCTTGTGGCGCCCGTTGTAGTATCACCGACACCACGCGCACCGAGGGTGTCTGAAGACAAGCTCGGCAACAACGCCAGTCCCCGAAGGCAGCGCTATCCAGTGATGTACCGGAGCCGCGAGACAGAGAGCGCTGGCGTAAAGAATGACGCAGGACGCAGCAACAACGACACGGAACGGCAGCGTCCTCGGCGAAGACGACATGTCCCGTCGACGCGACAGCCGCAGTTGTCGTGCCCGCTACCGATCAACCCGATCAACCCGCGGGATCGACTACTGCAGCACCACGACATTTCCGAGTTTGACTTGCGCGTGTGCCACTCGCCGCGGGCCGTGACCGCGTACCACGGGCACCTGAGCGACTACAACCTCGAGGAGCTCATGGCCAAAACGGGTTTTACGCGCCTTGAGCTCTACACGCTCTGGAGCCGCTTCAAAGCGCTCTGCTCGCTTTCGCGGTCCCCGCCGGCGTCGACCAGGCCACGTTTCGGCGCGCCGTGCCGCTGCTGTCCGTGGAGGACGAGATGTTTGTGGACCGCGTCTTTGCCATCTTGGACGACGACTACTCGGGCGTCATCGAGTGGCGCGAGTTCATTCGCGCCATGGCGGCGCTCGAGAAGGGCGACTTGCGCGCGCGGATTGTGTTTTTGTTTGAAGTCTACGATCTGAATGGCGACGGAAAGCTCAGTCGGAGCGAACTCATCGCGTTCTTCATTTCCGGGCTCATGGTTTCCGCCAATGACAAGAACGTGCAGGACATGGCGCAGCACTTTGCAGACGAAATTCTGTTGGCGCTGGGCGTCACGCCGACGGAAGGCGCGACGATTTCGGTTCCAGAAGTCGCGACGTTCATCGAGAAGGCCGAGATGGAGGACATCTACTCGATCTTTGGGCGCACCATGCTCAACGAGCTCGACAAGCAAACGCCGAAACCCGACGCGGACTTGGCTTTGGTCGACGAGACGCTCGAGACGACCTCGATTGTGTACCGCATGTCGCACACGATGCGCATGGACAATATTTGACCATTCTACTGTAGTACGACCCACTGACTCACGTCTAAAGGTCGCTGGTATCAATTCCTTGTTCACTCGAAATGTGCGAACATCTTTGACGCCAGATAAAGAATATACAACTTGGGTGTCCAGACCGTACTCAGGAATGACTCAGTGCGATCACCTTCTGCGATCCGCTGCTGATCGGGCGTCGATTACTTGCCGCGCCTCGTAGAAGCCGTTGAAGAAGCATGGCTACTCGGCGATGGGTACTGTAGATGCCCTCGACCACTTGCGGCTTGGTCGTGTGAGAGGTCACCCAAGCCAGGCAAGGCAGCGGTGGTCGGACAGGCCGGGTGGCCAGATGCCGTCGTCGCTACCAAGAGAAGGGCGGCAAAATCTGGCCCGTTGCAAGGGGACGCAACCACCGTTGGTGACGCAATCTCCCGCGTGGCTGCCTCGAACGTGACGTCGACACACGCCAGACAAGGGCTACGCTGCTAGTACAGCTAACAGCATGCGCGGTCCTTATCATCGAGCGGTGGCCTTGATCGGTTGGTGGTCGGCGGAAACGAGACAGGCGACCGCTTCACGCAGACGGCACGAGCTTCAACTTGAATATCAGCGCCGCTTGCAGCCAATTGCCGTTTTTGCGCTGTCGTCGCTTTCTGATTGGCCTCTTGGAAGGTATTTTATCCAATCGTATGGCGGTTCCGAGATCTTTCCCTGAACAAACGAACCCATGTCACACTCACAGAATTCAACCGTCGATGACGACCTACGGCAGCATCGCCCTCAACGCGCCGGACGCCACGCGCAGCCAGCGCCAGCGGCTCGCCGTCGCCGCCACAGGCCTCGTCGCGCTCACAGCTGCGGGCGCGCTCGTCGCATGGAGCCTCGCGCCGGCGCCAGCGGCTTGGGACGTCGTCGTTGTCGGTGGCGGCCCCGCCGGCCTCGTCGCCGCCGAGTACTTGTCACGCGACCCCAGCGTCTCGGTGCTGCTCCTCGAAGCCGGTGGTCCCAGCCTCCAGGTATTTTTCATTGCTCTGGCTGCACGACTCAGCGCGATGGTTGCTAGTGTACGGGGGGCACCATGGTACCCGAGTACGCCGCCTCGACAGGCTGGACGCTCTTTGACATCCCTGGTGCGTCTATCCATCGGAGGATTGCATTGGTGCCCACCGTGCAGCGACACATACATAGGTGAGTACGCGCATGTGGCGTTCGGCTTGCCAAAGTCGGTGATGGACGTCTGGCGCATCGACGAGCTGTCCTCGCCGCAGAACCACCTCGCCAATATCCTTGGCGGCTCGTCGTCCATCAACGCAGCGCTGTACTTTCGCACGCCCGACGACTACGTCGATGAGATCGACTGGCCCGTCTCGGCAAGTGCCGTCCGCAACGGGCACGTCCTCGCAACACCCCATTCCAGGGTTGAACTAGTATGAGTTAGCTTTGCAGCGATCGAGCGCTTCTTTGGGTGGACAGACACACCGTCCGTCGACGGACGTCGGTACGCACAAGGCGTCTACAACACGCTCGCGTCGGCCTTGCAGCTGGCCAACTACTCGGAACATGACCTGAACCGCGACTCGAACGCAAAGCACCGAGTGTACGGACATCCTCCATTTACGGTCAAAGACGGGTCCGACTCCCACGCCACTCGTGGGTGCTAATGCTAGACGTAGGTTGCGTGACTCGCCCGCCAAGACCTTTTTGGGCGCGATGGCGCACCGACCGAACTTTGAGCTGCGTCTCGGCGCACGCGTCGAGCAAATCGTGCATGTTGACGGCAAGGCCACCCACGTGCTGTACAAGGAAGACGCTGCGAACGCGACATCGGTACACGCAGTCGTTTTCCCACACAAAAGCAGTTTGTGCGACCTTTATTTAGGTGGTTCATGAGGCCGTGCTCAGTGCACGCGGCGCCGTCATCGTGGCAACCGGCGCGCTCTTGTCGCCGCGCTTGCTCATGCAATCGGGCATTGGTCCTCTCAGCCAACGCGATCTCGTGTGCCTTTTCCTCCATGCAAATGAGTGTGTGACGGAGCGCGCATAGGTGACGACGCGGCCGCTGCCGTCGCCGCTTCGTGCCGACGCATGGATCCAGAACGAGAATGTGGGCGCCCACATCTTTGACGCGCACCAAGTGGCCCTGACGTTTCGCACGTCGCACGTCGCGAACACGTCGGGCTTTGGCTTTGACTACATGCGTCCGTCGGCCGACGATTTGCGTCAGTTTGTGACGACGCGGTCGGGCCCGATGGCGAGCGCCAACCCCGTTCTCATCGCGTACGAGACGCTCGCCGATGCCTCCTCGGGCCACGCGTATCAGTTTCAGCTCTCTATCTTTCCGCACGTCATGCCGAATCTCGACTTGTCGCCGCCCGCGAACGACCACGAAATGGACTGGACGATTGTTTTACGCTCAACAACCCGCTCTCGCGGGACCGCGCGGGCTTCTTTCCCAACGGAAGTTACTCGGGCGCGATGGCCGGGCACCTCTACTGGTCGCACCCATCCGACGCGCGCATGATGGCGACGTTCATCCAGAGCACCATCGACCGCATTGTGGCCGACTCCAAGCAGGCGACAGTGCCCGTCTTTCCAGCGCCGTCGGTACGCAATAATTGTTGATGTTCGATGTCGCCATTGCCCGTGTCGATAGGCGCTGCAGTGGGCGACGTGGGCGACCAATCGGACGTCGTGGATCGTGCAGCACACGCTCATTACGGATCACTTTGGCGGCGCCTGCATCGTCGCGTCCAATCGCAGCAGCGACCGGTGCGCGGACGAGACCTTCCGCGTGCTCGGGACGTCCAACGTGTTTGTCGGCGACGGTAGCGTCGTCAAGAGCGGCAACGTCAACCCGTACGGCTTTGTCATGTACACGGGGTACGAGGCGGCTACCCACGTACACGCTTTTCTGCGCTCGTAATCGACTAGACTTTGCATTAAAATGAATAGATACCGACGATTTAGATATCGGTATCAATGTATCGAGTGCGCCAGGACATACAGCAGTGTATTGGCCATCAACTCGCGCGCTGGGAAATGCCATGCGGCGTCCAGTACCGAGTGGATGTACGCGGTATGCAGACGAGGAGGCTGTCCCTAGTCTTTCTTTCCGAGACAAGACATCGAAGCGAACGGGTCCAGAGCAGGTAGGGTTAGGTCAAACGGTCAACAGAATATCTGGAAATCACTATTGCCAGAGTACGTTACGTGGCTTCGAGGTCCGACTCGGAGAGCTAGAGACTCAACTTCGGTTCCTGTCACGCCGACGAGAGCCATACCTGCAGCGTGCGGGCGATGGCCTCGGAAAAATTGAAGCGGGTGCGCGCCGGAGGCTTCCCGCGCACGCGCGTGCCAGCTTGTTTCCTCTGCCCTCCCAAATGTAGATCAGTGTCGAAAGACTTGCGAAGGTACACACCACTTGGTTGGCTTTCACGGGGCTTGTGGATGCGGTCGGCAGCGTCACGGGCAGCGATGGAGACCCCAGTGGTTTCTACGTTTCCGTGACGACCCATGTTATCCAAAAGTCGCACCAGTGGCTTGATGGGGGAGAGCGGCAATGGCGGCAACGATGTCGATGCGGCAGGTCTACCCACCAGCATGATCATCCCTGTGGTACCACTCTATTTGCGAACGTGGAAGGTTCCTCTTTCAGGGTCGGCTCGTCCGTCGTTGCCTACGCCAGCGACTGAATTCCATAGAGCACGCCACACGCATTACGTTGTAGTTGTGGGCTTTGAGGCGCGAGTGGCGACTCGGTATTCGCTTGCTGCCGTGCTTGACACCTCTCCTGGGTACACGACCTTGACGCCAACTTCGATGCGCCCCGTTTCGATCTGCGGCAAGTGAAACAGCGGCAGCGGCTCGACCGCCGCTGGCTTCTCGACAGACGGCTACGCAACCGCGCGTCTCGGAACGATAACTACAAGCAACGCTACCTCTGCGACGTCGGCACGCCCGGCCACCTGGGACGGACGCCGGTGCTTTGGCGACGGTTTGATCGACGGCGACCGGTGGACCTCGGGCGGCGCAGCGTCGGGTGTTGCAATGTTGAACGGGAGATTGAGTGTCAAATGCAGCGGCAGATTCGGCAATGGCGCGGCCGCCGTCGAGATGTGGCCGCCGTCGCCGTCGTGGTGAGGCCGTTCGAGGAGCGCCTTCTTGCGCTTGGCCACGAGCTCGTCGTGCTGGCGCGTCGCTTCGATGCCCTCGAGGTACGCGAGAATGTCCCGTCGGCGCGCGAGCTCTCGTGGCGACAGCTGCCGCGGTGTGCCGAGCGAGAAAATATTGGAAAACGTCGTGCTGTCCGAGGCGCGGTCGTCCCGCGTTGCGTCGAGCTTGATCTCGACGTCGTCCAACGTCAGCTTGTTGGAGACGATCCCGGCAGCGATCGCGATGCGGCCGCCACGACCTACAAACGTGCCGCGGACCGTCGACTGTTTGTTGTTGTCGGGCGACACGGGCGGCGGCTGCGGGCGGGCGGGCACTTCATGCGGCGTGTGCACGTCCATGGGGTAGCTCTTTGGCTCGACGGGGCACGCAAAGGCGACGGAGCTGCTCGCGCGCACGGAGCTTTTGACCTGTTTCTCGGCTGCCTTGAGTGCTTTGGCGCAGACTTTGGCCAATTCCGGCGCCGTGATCGACTGCCCATGGGCGTGCGCGGCCATGAATTGCACCTAGCGTTTCGCGTAGAGCGCCTGTTGCACATGAGAGGCAGCACCTCGACTGGTGTCAAGAAGAGCGGGAGCGACCCGAGCACGGACGCAAACTCGACATCGCCGCAGACGTGCCCGTCACCGTCGATGCTCACGGTGGCGACGATCTTCTGGACACTTGTCGGGTTCTGCTGGCAGTAGGAGAGCGTTCGCTGAATGGCATGGACCAATGGCGCGGTATCGGTCGCCGCGTGAACTATCGTGGACGCTGGTCCGTCGGCACACGCATCAAAGCTTGCTGAGCTTGCGATGGCGATCATGGCTTGAATGTCAAACACCTCTTGCACAAGGCGCTGGCTCACACGGCGGAGCTACAGAACACCAACGTCCATCGTAATCGCAAGAAGCCGAGTACGTACAACTGCCGCGGTGAGCGCCGTTGCACGAGAGATGACGCCAACGTGGTCGATGACATCGGTTAGCACCTCCATGGCCACGTCGTCGCTCGCTTCAAGGCACAATGGCTTACGCTCGTCTGGCGTCGGCGCCTCCGTGGTCGCGTCGGCGTCCATCGTCGGCGTGCCAGTACACCGGCGTCGGGGGCTATTTCAGTTGCTGCGACGGAAACGCCAGCGACTAAAAGCGGACGACGAGGAAAGTGCAATCTCGCCAAGTCAAAATCTGATAGTTTGCTGCATTTTGCCCGCGAATAGGTGTCCACCACGATTTAGACGCACTAGACGACTACGGTTCACACACACTGTCAATGAATACTAGTATGGATGATCGCTTGCTACATGACGTGTGCTTGGAGATGGGAATGTGCACGCACACGCTGCGCTGCTCTTGCTCCGGGCGCAACGGGCTTATCCACCAAGCGGCTTGCCTTGTCGCCGCATCCCCGTCGCCACGCCCATGTCTCCAAGCGACGCGACGACAATGGGAAGGTCGATACGGGGTCGCTGTATATCGAATCAAAGCTGGATCCACCACTCGTCGTCACTGACTCTAGGTGTTGTGATCGCGCAGTGCTTAGCCAGAGCTCAGGGGGAAGCGCATGTTGTCGGTCTGGGACAGAGGCAGCGCATGGACTTCGTAAGCTTTCGTTGCGGCGATGATCGCCACCGAAGTCCATTTGCAATGGAACACCGGGCCGGCCCACGACTGGCCTCCTCGCTGTCGTCGTCGTCTCCACGCAATTCGCCCACGGAGGACGGTGACGCGGCTATGGCTCGACACTCTTTTGATATCATCATCCGGCGGCGTGTTGAAGCGATGGTCAACGCCGCCCCGAATGTAGGTACCTTGCGTCGTACATTGCCATTGTCTTCAACGGCCACATCGCCAACGCTGACGCCTCCGTGCGATGGCGCGGACGCGGTCGCGAGGTACGAATTACCGAGCTAATTCGTCGTACGCGGTCGAAAAGGCCGCCAATTCCGGCGCGCGCGGCAACTGCGGGGCCGGTCGCACTCGACATTCCTTGGCATTCGTTGCCATTAAATTGTCGCTTGAAGATATTTTAATGTCGTATGAAATGTGTTTTAATTGAATGCACATACAAACACCAAGTAAAATGTATTTGAAAGCGGTTTGATTGGGTGTATATTTTTATTCTGCGCCACCCCACCGTCATATTATTCTGTTTTTCAGCAATCTCGAAAAATTAAAATAAACTTGCGATCTATACATGTCATTTGTATTATCCAAAAAAGATTTGAATAATAATGCGGCGGCCCATTGAAAAAAGGCCGACGACCACACAAATCCCGGCAGGCGTCAGTTGGTATTTTCCAGTCGTAGCTGATGTTGCAAGCCACTTCCAAGGCCAAGGCCGCAATCTCGCGCGCCCTGAAGACCACGGGCGCCCGCGCCGCCTCCACGAAGGGCGGCTACACCATCGTCGACCACGAGTTCGACGCGGTCGTCGTCGGCGCGGGTGGCGCCGGCCTCCGCGCGGCCATGGGCTGCGCCGAAGCCGGCCTCAAGACGGCATGCATCACCAAGCTCTTCCCGACCCGCTCGCACACGGTCGCGGCGCAGGGTGGCATCAACGCTGCGCTGGCCAACATGACCGAGGACGACTGGCGGTGGCACATGTACGACACGGTCAAGGGCTCGGATTGGCTCGGTGACCAGGACGCCATCCACTACATGTGCAAGGAAGCGCCCCGCGCTGTGCTCGAACTCGAGGCCTACGGTCTCCCGTTCTCGCGCACGGACGACGGCAAGATCTACCAGCGCGCCTTCGGTGGTCAGTCGCTCGACTACGGCAAGGGTGGCCAGGCCTACCGTTGCGCGTGCGCCGCCGATCGTACCGGCCACGCCATGTTGCACACGCTCTACGGTCGCTCGTTGGCGTTCGACACGTCGTACTTCATCGAGTACTTCGCCTTGGACCTGATCATGAACGACGCCGGCGAGTGCTGCGGTGTCATTGCCATGAACATGGAAGACGGCAGCATCCACCGCTTCCACACCAACAACACGGTACGCAGCCTCAATCGCACTTATGTCTTGGCTCATCAAGCACGTTCGTAGGTGCTTGCCACGGGTGGTTACGGTCGTGCGTACTTCTCGTGCACGTCGGCGCACACGTGCACGGGTGATGGTACCGGTATGGCGATCCGTGCCGGCATCCCGCTCCAGGACCCCGAGTTTGTCCAGTTCCACCCCACGGGTATCTACGGCGCTGGTTGCTTGATCACGGAGGGCTCGCGTGGTGAGGGCGGTATCCTCCGCAACTCGGAGGGCGAGCGCTTCATGGAGCGTTACGCGCCGAGCGCCAAGGACTTGGCCTCGCGTGATGTCGTCTCGCGTGCCATGACGATGGAGATCCGCGAAGGCCGCGGTGTCGGCAATGAGAAGGACCACATCTACCTCCACCTCGACCACCTCCCGGCCGAGCTCCTCGCCGAGCGTCTTCCCGGTATCTCGGAGACGGCGGCCATCTTCGCCGGCGTGGACGTCACGAAGGAACCGATCCCGGTCCTCCCGACGGTGCACTACAACATGGGCGGTATCCCGACCAACCACTTCGGTGAAGTCGTCATCCCGGACACGACGGGCCTCCCGGATGCCAACCAGATGTACCCGGACAAGGTCGTCAAGGGTCTTTTCGCCGCCGGTGAAGCCGCGTGCGCGTCGGTCCACGGTGCCAACCGTCTCGGCGCCAACTCGCTCCTCGATATTGTCGTGTTTGGCCGTGCGTGCGCCCTTCGCATCGCCGAGATCTCGAAGCCCGGGGAGGCCAAGCGCCCGATGCCCGCCAACGCTGGCGAAGCCTCGCTTTCGATGGTCGACTCTCTTCGCTACGCGAACGGCGCGATCCCGACCGCGGACCTCCGCCTCGAGATGCAGAAGACGATGCAGAACGACGCCGCTGTCTACCGCACGCAGGAGACGCTCGCGGAGGGTGTCCAGAAGATTGACAAGATTGTGCCCAAGTTCAAGGACATCAAGGTCACGGACCGCTCGCTCATCTGGAACACGGACCTCATCGAGACGATTGAGCTCAAGAACTTGCTCGCGTGCGCGTCGGCCACCATGCACGGCGCCGAGGCCCGCAAGGAGTCGCGTGGCGCGCACGCCCGCGAAGACTTCTCGACGCGCGACGACGTCAACTGGATGAAGCACACGCTCGCGTACCACAACACGGAGGAGGGCACGACGCACATTGCGTACCGGCCGGTGCACTACCACACGCTCGACGAGGAAGAGTGCAAGACGGTCGCGCCGGTCGCCCGCGTCTACTAAGCGTAACCACGTCCTACTAATCGATTCTTCATCTTTCTTGTGCACATCAATAAATAAGCGCACCCAAAACAACTTCCATGGCGACCGACGACAAGTAGCCCAATGCACCCGTAGACTGGGTTCGCGGCGCATTAGGAAACAGCAGTGTCGAGACGAGGATGGGACGATGCAGGGAAGAGCTAATAGCTACAAGCATCATAACGTCGTGCAAGATCGTACCGTAGGTAAATGGATATGGGCCGAGCACGAGCGATGCTTGTGGCGCGCGTCCGTCGCATCGCAGGTTGAGGCCATGGCCGCGGGTTTATTAAGGTATTCTAGGTGGGTTGCTACTATGTACTAAAAGCAGTCGGTCGATTCGACGACTAGGTATCTTCTTCGTGATCGGTCTTCGCGTTGGATCATGTTTCCATGTCGACGTCGTCGGGGGTCGGCTCGGCGTCGGGCGACGGCAGGACCTGGACGCGGAAGACGCCGCATTTCGGGCACTTTCTTGTCTTGTCGCACTTGACTTCGTCGCAGTCGTACTGCTTGAGGAACGTGTCGTGGAGCTTGTGCAGGACGTGGAAGAGCACGTCGACCTCGAGGGGCGCGAGGCCCGAGGCGTCGATGGTGCCCGTGGTCGCGTACGACTGCACGCGCTCTAGCAGCGTCGCCGACGAGATCGAGTCGGGCGCCGGCTGGCCGCGGGGCGACGATGGGCCGCTGGTGGCAGGGAGGCTTGGGCGGCCATCTCGGCAGAGGGGCAATGCGGTTCTGAATGGATAACAACCGGCTCGCAAGGCCATTGGCCAAAAAGACGTCTTTTGCGCCGTGTCGCATCTCGGCGTTGATTGGCCAGTTGGTCGTCCGGCTCGTGACCTGGCAGCACGGCTGGTCTCGTACCGCGTTGAGTGAGCCGATGATGGGAGCTGCGACGCTCAGATGCACCTTGCAACTGGTCTTTCGGTGTCCACTTGCAGCGTCTTGCGTTTCAAGCGACCAAGCGAAGACGGGTGCTCTTTCGCATGACGTGGCACGTTTCAGGACGAGATTCATCGCCGACGACACTGTTGCTGGCAGTTTGCGCTTGGTATCCATAGGAAGTCTATCGAGCCGATCTGTCCTCGATTGCAGGTGCCCAAAGCTGCGAGAGTATTCTCCAATCGACGCATCCTCTGCACAAGACACCTGCACGCGAGGAACGGGAGCGCCAGGAGTCTCAAGCTCGGTGATGATGTGAATCTCAAGCTCTTGAGTCGCCCCACGTGGCGTGGTCGAGTGCTGTGGCACTGCATCAAAGAGGAGCTTGCACCGACGAGTTTGGCATTCCAAATTTCCATTGTTTTGATTGGTCCCATGACATGAGCCAATCAACGCTTATGATCTTGCTTGACAGGGAGCACGGTCGTCGGGCGCAGTTGCAAAGTTGCGTCCCCATGCCGAGAGCACTCGGGTTTGCGGCTGCTATGGTAGCTGTCGCTGCCGCAAGATACCGCGACGCCGACCGCTGCACGGCGATCATCGTCGGCGCCGAGGTCGACTCTCTTCTTCGACACTGTGCCCATGGTCGTAGTAGGCGTCGACGACGGGCGCGCCCATGACGACGCAGACCAACGACTGCAGCTCGTGCGACTTTCGCATCGTCAAGATCCCGCCCAAGGTGCACGGAATGAACGCGACCCGTTCGATTTGGCCGGCGATCCAGTACTTTCCTCGCTACGGTACCCGTTCCTCGACGGTGCAGTTTGTGCTACATAAGCACTCCTAGTCGGGTCTGCCCGCGGCGCGCCCGAGTACGACGCCGCGAATCTACCCCACGGCTTTTACAACTGGTCCAGTTAAAAGCCTGTGGGCAGTCTCCCGCAAGCGAACGCGACGTTCGGGTACATTGAAGGCGTGTATGGCATCCTGAACGACCACGGCCTCGGCGTTGGCGAGAGCACGTGCAGCGCCAAGCTGTGGGCCAAGCCGGCCTACGACGGTGGCCGCGCTCTTTTGGACATTGTCGAGCTGTCGCGGCTTGCGCTGGAGCGAACGCAGTCGGCCCGCAGCGCGATTGCGCTCATGGGCTCCTTGGCCGAAACCTACGGGTAGGGTACTACACTGTTGCTTGGAATCTCAACGTGCCTGTCTAGATACTACGGCGGGTACTGGTCTGGCGAGGACGACGACAACAAGGCCGAGGCCGGCGAGACGCTCACGATCATCGACGCGACCGAAGCGTGGGTCTTCCACATTTTGCCCGATGACACGGGCGCGTCGGCGGTGTGGGTTGCCCAGCGTTTGCCACCGACGCACGTTGCCGCCGTCGCCAACGCCTTTATCATCCACGAAGTCGACCTCTCGGACGCGACAACGTATCTCGGATCGTCCAACCTTCATGACGTGGCGCGCCGAAACGGCTTTTGGGATGGTCGTTCGATCTTTGACTTCACGCGCGCGTATGCGCACCCACCGGCCAACCCGTGGTACTCGACGCGGCGCCAGTGGCGCGTGCTCACGCTGGCCAACCCGGACCTCTCTCTCTCACCGCATACGGACGCCTACGGTTCGGACTACCCTTTCTCTGTGCCGGTGCGCAAGTGGTTTGTTGATTGGTGTCTTACGTCCTCTTTGCAGGTGGCGACTCGGCTCTCCGCGGCCGACCTCATGCGCTTCCAGCGCGACCACTACGAAGGCACGCCGTGGGACTTGACGCAAGGCATCGCTGCCGGCCCGTACGGCAACCCAGATCGCTATGGTCCACCTCGATGTACAGTATCAACCGCAAGTATCAATTTGTCCTCTTGATAGAAACGGGCCACTGGGACGGCAACGAGTTTGAGCGTGCGATCTCGATCTTCCGTGCGTCGTACTCGTACATTGCGTCCGTTGCAGATAACGGCACGAGTGTGCTCTGGTGCGGTCGACGATTGCATAGTCGTTTTTCTCAATCGGTGGGTAGGGTTGGTCCGTACGCACCGCACGGGACACTGTTTACGCCCGTGTTCCCATTGGCGAGCCGCATGCCGAGCGCCTTGGCGACAGGGTCGCTTCTCCAGTACAACGCGTCGAGTCTCTTCTGGACCAACGCTGTCGTTGGCAACACGGCCGCCCGATTTTACAAGTTCGCCCACCCCGTCGTCGCGGCGGTGCAAGGAGCGGTCGAAGCCGAGTTCGCTGCAGGTTCTGTCTCTATCTTTGCCCGCAATCTCGAAACATGGATACTCTTGCCTAGGCCTCACGCGTCTCCGAGCCACGGTGAATGCAACGGTGGACCGTCTCACGAGCGAAGGCGATGCCAACGTCGCCGTGGCGCAACGCGCGTTCCAAGACCTCTTTGCGACGCTCATGACCCGCTTCCACGACGGCTACGTCGTGAGCAACTTGACCGACGCCGTGCCTGTCGTGGCGCCGATGGGATACCCCGACTGGTGGCTCACGGCCGCCGGCTACTACGACGGTAGCCATCAATCGCAGTACGTCCTCGTGACGGCTTGGGTCGCGGTGGTGCTCAGCGCAGCCACTGGCTTTTGGTTTGGCCAGCGATCCAACCGTCACGTCGAGCGTCGCGGCTACGTCCACCTCAAGTAGGCCACGTACACCTCGAAACGATACCTCGTCGATCGATGGGTGCTGGCAAGTGCCTCGTTGTCCTTGGGAGCGTTAATACTGTCGTGCTCAACCAAGTGCCAGCAACCATACGGGAGAATGGGATGTATGTACAGACGATTTGAGTACACTACGACGGCGGTTTGGCGGCGCGGGGTAAAAAGTACATGGTTAGCACGTCGCGGTTGACCGAGAGGTGCTCGAGCAGCTTGAGCTCGAGCATCTTCTTGGTCGTCGGCGCGAGGCTGGCGCCGCCGCGACCTACTTGGGTCTGGGCGAGCGCCATGGCCGCCATGACGTCGCCGCCATCTTTAAACTGCTTGTGGACGCTGTCGATCGCCAATCGCACGCCTTCGTCGTACTGCGACGCCGCCGTGAGCTTGCTGCAAAAGTCGAGAAAACTAGCCAAAGACATGAGACACCGATGCCCGTTGCAATGAATGGCGTGTGGACCGGTCGTGGTACACGGCGATGGCCCATTTCTGGCTGAAAAACTCGATCCAGTCCGTGACCAGATTCTGGTGGAACGACGAGATGGCGCAGTTGAGGTACGCTTCGTGCAGTCCCACAAGGCATGCGAGGTTGGTCACATTGACCGCGTCGCGTCCGAGGTAGGTGAGTCGAGAGAGAACGCCAAAGTCGTCGAACTGCAAGCAACTAGAAAAGGCATGAGACCCCTCGTGCTCGATTCTTCAAGCAAGAATACCAGTAGGTTTGCATCTCGCGGTTCTCGGTCGCAAGCGATTTGAACGACGTTGGGACGTCCGGGAGCTGGATACGAACATAATGCAAGTCCCCCGTCCAGTGGCCCACAACGATCTTGGGCTGCGTAAACGCCGGTGGTGGACGCGGCTTGCTCGCATCGGATCCACCAGACGGCGTCGGGTCCATCGTCGCGCCCACGATCGGGTCGACCACGCGCAAGAGGGACTTGGCAAGGAGCTCGCCGCACTCGCGCGCACTGTAACACTGCTGGTACAGCGCCTTTGGGAAGCGCCGGGAGAAGCGACAGAGACTGCCTCCTGCGTAGATGCACGGGTCGGACGTCTGGAACGACGCGTTCACGACGAGCCGACCATCAAAGACGAGGCCACTGTCGTTGATGGCGCGGAACGCATCCGGGTCCACGTCGTTGCGGTCGCAGCAGAGCAGCAGGTCACATGGCAGCATTCGAACGGGGGGTACGGGCAGGGGCGCGCCGCTCTCATCGACCTCATTGGGCGTCGGCGGCTGGATCGTGATGCCTTCAAGCACGCCGTTGGGCGCGACGAGGTTGGTGATGCCAACGATGAGCGTCGGCTGCATGGACTCGACGTGCTCTCGGATGCGACCGTCGTCGTCGACCGCACCGGCGCACAGCCACGAAATCTGGGCGCTCGCGCCGAGCTTGTCGCGAACTGCGTGTACGAGCGTCGCTGCATACGCACTCGTGCCGACAACGATGACGCGCCCGATCTTCTTGGCGCGCTTCCACGCTCGAAGGGTCTCGTGCACTTTTTTCGCCGAGGACGCATCCTCGAGGACGACAACGCCCCGGGGCACGGGTGGCACCACGTAGCTTTCGCCGTCGTACTCGGGCACGAGTCGGAGCGACGGCAAGACGGTGTCCGTGAGCCCCGTTGCAAGCACGAGCAAGTCGTACGGCAGACACGAGTTGTCGAGGAGCACGATGGCTTTGGCCGCGCGGTCGATCTGCACGAGGCGACTCGTCACAACGCGGACGTGTGTAGGAATGCCGGTCTGGTCGAGGTCTGTCGGCGAGTAGATGCTGGGCGGTGCCAACGGCGCGACGTCAGGCGCCGGCACCTCCAGTCCGTGGGGCGCCACCAGCGTCACGTTGGTCAAGCGTAGGTACGGTACGCCGAGGAGCTGCTTGAGAACCGTGAGGCCGGCGTCCGAGGCGCCCACGACGACGATGCGTGCTGTCACCAGAGTCTTGGGCTCGGAGAGGAGTCGTTTCGTGAAGAAATAGAGTGCGTTGGACGATAGACGCGTGAGCGCCATCGGTGTGTCGGACGAGGTAACGACTTGACGGCGCGCGGGCGCGAGGACAAAGCTCTCCGCGACAAGCGGGCTCACGTGGCCGCGCCGGGGCACGCTTGCAAAGAGACACGTCTTGCGGAAGAGGCGCATGATTTCCTGCAGAAAGAAAGGCCCTGTGACCGCATACAATGGGTTGAGTAAAAAGTGCGATAGCATCGCTTGGTCCTTCGCGCGGTGGTGGGTCAGCGACACAAACTGCTCGACGTCGAAAAAGTGTTTCAAACCGGACGTCACGTCGCTGTCCCGCGCGAGCGATGCGAGGCCGACCACGGTCCCTACGATGCGTCATACAAAAGCCTGCAGAGACGAGCGATCCTGTACTACCATGGAGGCGCGCAACAAAAAGCACATGCTTGGGGTTGTCCTCGAGGTCGATGTCGTCTTCCTCGGCCGCCAGCGCCATGTCGGTCTCAATGTCCGCAATCGACGTTGGCGAGAGCGTCTCGACGAGCGCACTCAGCGCGTCGCACGGCTCGGTCATGCGAAAGCGAGCGATGCGAAGGACGTGGGGCACCTCTGGCGCGAGAAACACGACCGCGTCTCGGTGCAAGAGGTACAGCACGTGCGAGTACGTGCTCGTGGGCTTCGCTGGCACGAGGGCAAACGGCGCGAGGAAGAGCGGCGGCGCGACGCCCGGCGGAAGCGTCACGACGCAGTACTCTTTGTGCTGGAAGAGCGCGAACGCGGGGCGCAAGAAGGCACTCGAGATGGACGTGTACGGCGTATCCACGCAGAAAAGCGTGACGATGAACGCATTCCCTTGCACGTCGACCTTGGCGCGCGTGTCCTCGATCGTGCGAAGAATCGCAAACGTCATCTCGGTCGTCGACGGCTGGTTGAAGCTCGCGACATGCGAGAGCGGCGCAAACACGCGGAGCACGGCCGCGACGTTGAGATGATACGTTTTCAGGCGAATCTTGACGGTCGCCTCGTTGTCGTCCGAGCGCTGGACGGCGTTGACACCTGGCGGCGGCGGGTTGAAGACCACATGGTACGTCTTGCCCGTCGCCACGTCAACGCGGCGACCTACCAGACATGTGATGACATTGCGAACGGCCGTGATATGATGCACCAGAGATGCGCTGGATGACTTCATCGTCGGCCACATCCAGCACTAAAACAACGTCTGGCACGATCCCAGAGGCGACGAGCGCCCGCGCTTGAGCCTCGTTGCGGGGAAAGCCGTCGAGGAGCCAGCCGCGCGATACGCAATCTTGCTGCGTGAGACGATCCAGAAGCGTGTCCATGATGAGATCATCCGGCACGAGCTCGCCGCGGTCCATGAACCCCTTGGCCTTGCGCCCAAGGTCGGTGCCCGCAGCGATAGCCGAGCGCAGCATGTCGCCAGTCGAGATGTGCACGACGCCGTACTGGGCCACGAGCTTTTCGCACTGGGTGCCTTTGCCGCCCGCGGGGGGGCCGCAGATGATGAGCTTGAGCGGCGGCGCCTTGAGCGGGTTCGTCACCGCGTTCACGGTGGCAATGACCTTGGCTGCAATCGCGTCCTTGGGCTGGAGGCCGTCGACCGACAAGATTGTCGACTGTGCCTGAAAACAGTCGACGACGGCGCCGCAATTTTCGTGGTACGTTCCGAGACGAACCCGGATCGTCTCTTCCGTGTCGTCGGAGCGCTGCACGACGATGACGTCGGGGGGTGGCGGGTTGAACACGATATGGTACGTTTTTCCGGTCGCAACCTCGACGCGGCGACCTACCTCCACGCATTCGCAACATGCAATATGTAGTATCCTATCCAACCTGAGATACGCCCGACCACTTCGTCGTCGGGGACTTGGAGCACGATGACAACGTCAGGTACGATGCCCAACGCGAGCATTGCTTGGGCTTGAGCGGCGGTGCGCGGGAATCCATCGAGGAGCCACCCTTTGCTACTGCAGTCGGGCGACTGGAGGCGCGAGAGAATCACCTTGACGATGAGCTCGTCAGGCACGAGCTTTCCAGCGTCCATGTAGCTTTTCGCCGTGAGGCCTAGCTCCGAGTTGGCAGAAATTGCGGACCGGAGCATGTCGCCAGTCGAGAGATGTACGACGCCAAACTCCTTGACGAGCAGTTCGCACTGGGTGCCTTTGCCGCCCGCCGGTGGACCGCAGATCAAGAGCTTTGGTGGCCCCGTCGCCGTCGCGACCGTAGGTTTCGGGGGCGGTTTGGGCTTGGGGTGCGCGGCCGTGATCTCGGACGCAATGATATCTTTCGGTTGCATACCGTCGACGTTTAAAATCGTCGATGTGGCGTGAAAGGCGGCGACGACGGCGCCGCAGTTGGCGTGGAACGTCGCCAACCGGACGCGGATGGTCTCTTCCGTGTCGTCAGAGCGCTGGACGACCTTGTCCTTGAGCTCGGATGGTGGCGGGTTGAAGACCAAATGGTACGTCTTGCCCGTATCGAGGTCCACGCGCCGACCAGAGATGCGCTTGACGACCTCATCGTCGGGCACGTCGAGGACAATCACGAGGTGCGGCACAATGCCTTCGCTGAGCATCGCTTCTGCTTGGGCCGCGGTGCGCGGGAACCCATCGAGGAGCCACCCTTGACTCGTGCAGTCCGACTCTTGAAGCCGGTCGAGAATGACGTGCACGATGAGCTCATCCGGCACGAGGTCTCCAGCGTCCATGTAGGCCTTGGCTTTGAACCCGACCTCGGTGCCAGCTTGGATCGCCGACCGGAGCATGTCGCCTGTCGATAGATGTACGACACCATACTCGCGCACGAGGAGTTCGCACTGCGTGCCTTTGCCTCCTGCGGGCGGGCCGCAGATGACGAACTTGGGTGGTCCGCACGGGTCTCGGCTCAGCTGCTGTCGCTGCTTGACGCTCTGGAAGCCCTTCGTCTTGTCGGACGCCCCAAGCGCATGGGCGATCGCGGAACTAACGGCATCACGGTCCAGGCTACCGTCGACGGTCACAAGGGCCGTCTCCTTGGCGTAGCACTTGAGGACGGACGCGGCTTGGAGATGAAAGCGGGCAACGTCGTCCGGGGACATGGTTTTGTGCATCGCGTCGTCGGGCACGTGGAGCACGATGACAACGTCCGGCTTGATGCCGCGTTTGAGGAGGTCCCACACCTGCGCTTCCGAGGTGGGGTACCCATCCAGGACCCAGCCCTGGGTGACGCAGTCAGTATCATGGATTCGACTCGAGACAAGGTCCAGGAGAATCTCGTTGGGCAGCTCTTCGTGGCGGTCCAGGTGGCGCTGGATTTTCTTGCCGAGCGGTGTCGCCCGACGGCCCGCGGCGTGCGCCAGTGCGATCGGCGAGAGCGCAACGACGCCGTATGTGGCCACGAGGTGGTCCGATTGCGTCGACTTGCCGCAGCCTGGCGGCCCAAACACGACGATTTTGGGGCTCGTGCGACGCTTTAGAAGCTTCTGGAGACGCGACGGCGACTTCCGCAGCTGGGAGGCCGCCATGGGCTTGAGCAAGTCGTTGTACACGGCGAGGTCAAACGAGTCGCGGAGAACGGCGAGGTCCACTTCGTCGGTGGCGGCGAGGAGCCCGACGGCGCGGCCGTTGTCTTCGGCGACAAGGCACGCACTGTGATTTGTCTGCGACGCAATGAGCTCGGCCAAGAAGTAGTCACCAAAAGCACTCTGTAGTGCCTAGGCGTCGCAGCATGAGCACAGAATCTGTGTTGAAGAAGGTGCGTACTGGTTTTGGGACACGAGGATCGGCTCGAGGTCGTCGTGGTCTTCAATGTTGGCCTTCCGCACGTGCACGCTTGGCAAATGCGTCTTGGCGTGCGACAAGAAGACGTCGTAGCTTGCATACGTGTCATCCTCGGTCTGCAGTGACGATGTCCGCGTCGCCTTGAAGAAGACCCCGAGAAACACCTCTGGCGGTTCAACCGACGACGGAATCGGGAGGACGAGCCATTCGACGTGCGTGAGAAGCTGGTAGACGGTCAAAAGCATGTCGCGGAAGACTTCGTGGTCCATGGTCGCCTGGACAAAGTACGACAGGAAGAGCGTGCGCTGCGCCTACAGTCGACATGAGCCTTGTGCAAGTGAAGCGACAACGTACGGAGAGCGTCACGAGACCAGCGTCCGGCGTCTCCATGGCGTAGTGCTGCAGAACGTAGTCGAGGTAGTCGACGTCTTCGGCCAGCTCACTCGGCGCTCTGTCGTTGACGACGAGGAAGGCGACGAGCGACCCGTCGAGCGCTTCGGCCGTCAGTGCCAAGAAGGACGTCTCGATGAGCGCGGCGACGTGGCCTCGCCCAAAGATGATGCGCTGGAGCGTTTTGTCCGGGTACGCCAAGTTGGCGAGGTCGGTCGCGTCCGACGCCTGCGCCCGCCGGATCGTCAGCGCCATGCTTGCCCGTGTCCTTTGGCGTTGATTAGATCTTCCAAAGTGTTTTAAACGCATAGCTGATCGGTCTGCTTCTACATGCGTTGGAAACAGCCGTGCGTTTTAAACACTTGCTGGAATGCAACCTCCCAACAGGGGGAAACGACGACGACGAGCCTTCTTGTGAGCCCAAACGCAGCAGTTGCGTCCGCCTGCCCATCGAAGCTGCTTGGACGGGGCTCTCTTCGACCGTTGGGCCATGTGCGGATTGCCCAGAATGGTCAACCTTGATTGGTTCATTTCGCCATCTTTTTGGCCAATCCAGTGCGACTGAACGGTTCACGCACCGGATCGGCAGCACTCGGATGCCAAAATCCAGATCGGAAACGAAATCGCTCAAACTTGGCACATCGATAGAAGACACTTTGGAGACCTCAAAACGCCCGTTCACGGCAGCGTTCGAGGTGTCTAGCTCGATAAATCTAGCGTCAAAGTTGACATAAAACATGTGTTTTCAACTGCCGTTTCACGTTGCGTTGGGGAGCAGTGGATGACAGACTGAGTAGATAACGCGGTGCGATCGCAAGAAGGGCGCACGTAGTGAACAAGCTTGCCCTATCGTTCAATTCGCATTACGAAGGCGTCTCAGGAACCCCGTACCATGGACTCGTTGCCTGTCATGCTACCCCAGCCATATTGTCCGGAGGCATTTTGCCTACATAGCGGAGAGTTTACTTTATGGGAGAAGAGTTCCGATGAGTTCCAAAAGTGCAGCGTGTCGTGTCGTGGCGCGCTGTCGATCGACTGCCTGCACAGTGATTGGTCGACGGCAAGATTCGTTTGCGTGCAATTAGCCATGCAGCCCTGCCCCAAATGACTTGCACCGTCACGAGTCTTGGATTGGCCAAAATGGCGGCAGCACGAAGTGCGCGGCGAGGGATTGCCGCCGTGACGCTGGACGCGACGGGGACGCTCTTCCGCCCGCGGGAAGCCATTGGGACGGCGTACCTCAAGCACGTCGTCGCCGTCTGCGGCCCGCCTCCACCGCCAGCAACCGGGTCGTACGAGGCTGCGATCACGGCGGCGTTCCAGCAGTCGTTCCGCGCCGAGCTCGCTGCGTCCCCAAACTTTGGCCATGTGCATTCGGCGACGACCGCGCAGCCGTGGTGGGGCCGCGTCATCTTTGCGACGTTTCCGCCCGCGCTGCAGGCGCATGTCGGGTCTCGCAAGGACGAGCTTCTCTCGACGCTCTATTCGCACTATGCAACGCGAGCTGCCTGGGAGGTAAGCATGGATGAGTGCGACGTGGACGCTTGACGATGGTCTAGGTCTATGACGACGTTCACCCGGCGCTGCGCTCGCTCCAAGAGCGTGGCGTGCCCATGGGTGTCATCTCCAACTTTGACGAGCGGCTCGAGTCCATCCTTGAGACGCTCGACTTGCGTGGGTACTTTGACTTTGTCTTGACGTCCTGGGACCATGGCGTCGCCAAGCCAGACGCTAGCATCTTTCATCGCGCGGCCGAGTTGCATGGAATCACCGACGTCGATGGTCGTGCGATGCTGCACATCGGCGACGATGCGACCAACGACCTCTTTGGTGCCAGAGCCGCGGGGTACTCGGGCGGCCTCGTCGATCGCGGCCGTGCCGTGACCTTGACGCAGTTGTTGCAGGAGCACTGAATGGAAATAATATTGAAAAATGGTTTCGAAAGACTCTATAGGACGCTCTTTACAGCTCGTCCTTCTCGGGCGTCTCGTCCTCGTCGGCGGCGTCGTCCGTCTTCGAGTCATCGTCCTTCTTCTCGGCTTCCTCCTTGAGCTTGCGCTCAGCCTCCTCGGCCTCCTTGCGGTGGTCGTTGAGCTGCTTGATCTTGGCGAGGACCTTGGTCTCGTGGGCCTCAAGCTCCGACTTGCTGTCCGTGACGAGGATATCGTCAAAGAGCGTGCCCGACTTGACCTGCCAGAGCTCAAAGCCGATGGCACCGCAGTCCTTGCAGACGTTGTACATGTGGTCGTCCTCGAACCAGTCGGGGTTCGCGATCATCGGGTGCACCCACTCGCCCTTGTACTCGGGGTTGTCGATCATCTTGGCCTTCCACTCGCCCTTGTACGCAGGGTTGTCGATCATGGCCGGCTCCCAGTCACCATCGTCCTCGTCATCCCAGTCCTCGGGCTTCTTGGCCGACGGGTCCGGGATCGTCTTGGGGATATCATCCCAGCCAGCCGGCTTCTTGTCAGCCGGGTCGGGGATCTTGGCGGCATCGACCCACGAAGCAGGCTTCGACTTGGACGGGTCCTGGATCTCCTTGGCAGGCTGGAAGGCCCAGTTCTCCGCGAGAGAGCCCGACATGATGTCGACACCGTCAATCTTGACGTTGTACTTGTTGTCCTTGGTCAACTCGAGCGTGTACAAGTGGGCATCCTTGTCCTTCTCGGCCTTGATGTCCGTCTTGTGCTCCAAGTTCTTGGCCTCGTCCTCGTTCGGGCGCTGGTAGTTGAAGATGAGATGCGTCTTGCGCGTCGTGCCGCACACATCCGGGCCAAACATGATCGAGTACGGCGAGTCGCCCGAGAACGTCTCGAGGTCCGTGTTGGCGGGCAAGAGCTTGACGTACGCGCCGCCGCAGTCAATGTCCTGCTCAAACTTGACGAGGTACGAGAGGAATAGGTCCTTGTCCTTGTTGTTGAAGACCTTGTCGAGCTTGGTCGACGCCGCGTAGAAGCGCGCGTCCGTCTTGGTCTGGATCGCCTTGTCCGCGTCGTCCACGAAGACGTCGCCGGGCGTGTGCGTGAACTCGGCGCGCTCATGCGCGGGCTTGAAGGTCGACGGGACCCAGTTGTAGGAGGTAAAGTCGTCCTTGAAGTAGACTTCGGCCGAGGCCATCGAGGCCGCGAGCGCCAGCGCCGAGAACGTCTTGACCATCGTGGTGGAAATTGGAGAATGACAAAGCGAATCCTGCGGCCAGCGCCGGATGCACTCCGATCGTATCCGGCAAGACACGTGGCGCCAGCCCATACAAACGCCAAGAGAAGAGGGGCGAACACGCGGCCGATCCGGATACGGACGCGCGTGGGGTTGGCGAATCTTCCAGAAATGGCCACTTTTTTTCGATAAGCACGGCTTTGGCTTGTGTTTTGTATACCGAAATCAGATTGATGGTTTAATTACGTTGTTGAAGTTGCTCCCAACGCTGACGTGGCAGACCGCGACGCGCAGCAACAATGGGCACTTTGAGATTGCCGCCGACAACGACGCGCGATCGTAGAGAAAAGACAGCAAGTGGCGAGGGCGATCCTCCGTGCATTTTGCACTGGCACATTGCAAGGACTTGTCATGGCGTCCGAGCCACCAGGTACTGCCACGTGGACCGCAAGCAGCCGTGGATGTAATGCTCCGTAATGACGTGGTCCCGTGGCGATGTACGCTTGCTTGCTCGCGCGTTGCATGGAACGCGCCCTCATTGCATGCAAAAGCGAACGACCTCTTTTTTTGCAGCGCTCGCATGCGTGTCGACGTTGAGAGCTTCATAACCGAGACGATACCACTTGGTTACGATCGTCCGAGGCTCGATGGAAATGGGGCGAAGAGGCGCAGCCAGCATCCACCACGCATGCAGCGCCGTTCTTGCCACCGCTTTCCGACGATACGTACTGTCCATATAGAAATACCGGGCCATTCTAGTTCGACAGGTCGGACTACCTGGCGAGCAATTGTATGTCGGTGCAGATCCGAGGGGTCGTACCGAGTACAACGAGAGCGATCGAGTGAAAAGGTCAGCGAGAAGTCAGCTCGTGCCTCGTGTGGCCGCGTAACTCGCCTGCAAGCACATCTTGGTACGCGGCGAAACAAGCTGAGCAGGGAGAGCTGCAGCTCCGCGACACAGCTTTGCGCTCTCGCAATAACTAAGCTCACGAGCTCGGGAATTGAGGCACCATCAAAGCACGAGGGTAATCGTAGGCGCAAACTACGTTTTGGTTGGTTTCGAGCCGCAATACGAAAAGACAAATGATGCAGATATACCACGACTGTGGGCGCAAAGATCGTCCTGTGCCAAGATTAGGGATGGCAAATGGCTAGTCATGTTAAATCGACTAGGAACCATCAATCGTAGTTACTCGGCACTAACTCATGCCATGCCTGAGTGACTCACTATTAGTGGGTTGGTTGGTCAGTCTGCTGCCCACACATCGAACCCGGCAAAATGCAGCCACTATTTTGCCATTTCGTGCAGTGGTTTGTGTGTTTACAGGCATACAGACGTAGCTCTTAGGAAGCGCAGTCAAAAGAGATCGTGCGCTGGACCTAGAAACAGCAAGTTGCGATGCACCGAACTAACTTTTACTGTTCCAACGCCAAAAATAACCCGGGTTATCGCCAACCACTGCTGATCTGCTCATCGCCAACTGGCACACCTGCTTCACCTGGACGCGCCTCGACCTTGCACCATACGCCATCTTCGGCGCGTCCAAATGAAGCAGTGAAAACTGAGGACATTTTGTTTGTATATTGCTGAAACGGACGACACTATTTTTGCTGCAACTGTACATTGCCTCACCGCTGCCGCCATCTCGCAGCTATGGACTATCTCGTCTGCGCCGGCACCGCCGCCATGAGCGAAAAGACCAAGAAAGGCCCCGTGCGCCAGCCAGCCAAAGCGCCGCGCGTCGTTCGCCGGTCGCCGCGCCCCGAAGCTGTCACCGTCGACGTACGGCAACGGTTGCAATTGGTCCTCGAGTCGTCTCTTGTAGCACGCAACGCTGGGCATGCGGCAGCTCTACACGCGGAAGACGACGGCGCCCGCCAAGCTCCACGCCCGCCGCGTGTACCAAAGCCCCCGCGAACGCGTTCAGTCGTCCAAGAACCAATACGACCTCGCCGTCTCGTCTGCCCCTGGTAGTGCATTTCGCCGGTCATGATGTCGAGCATCATAAGTGTATAGCAGAAGCGCTCGGCAACAACGCGAGCCCGCACCGACACCTCGCCATTTCCAAGTCGGAGGGCCACGTGTGTACTAGATACAAACTGGAGGCATAGTTCATCTGTCCGCTAGGTCACGACGACGACGACGAACCAGCAGAGTAGTGCTGAAGATACGCTGTCGTCGCCCGCGTCACTTGACCGGTAGCAACCCTACCAAGCATTGCTGCTTCGATGCATGTTGTAGGATCGCCTTTGAGAAATCGCTGCGGGGGTTCCAAGTGCAGGTGGAGGAGCTGCCTGAGGCGGTGTACTTCCCACCCATGTCCCCGATTGGGCCGTGGATGACGTCTTCGCCAATGCCGCCGAGTGCTGTCACGGAGCCCTTGTCACCTCGCAGTCGACTCCTTGCCTTCTCCAACGAAACCCAACCGATCCCACGTTGTACGTCGGCCACGGTTCGTAAAACTGCCAAGCCGCGCCGCCCTCGGTCGTCCCAGCCCCGTCCAACGCCACATGACGATCTTCTCTGATGTTTTTAAGACTATTAAGACTCGATTGTCTATGTCCCTTATTTCTCATTGTGAACGCGGACGTGGCAATCCTGTAGCATTCCTCGCAAGAAATTCAATGGCGTCTGTCCCTGAAGCATCGAGCCAGCATCGAGCTGTTCATGCGCCGAGTTGATTTTGCACACACTGTCATGGCGAAGTGCAAGACGAGCCTCCGCACCGCCGCCTGCGCAGCCACGGTCCGGCGAGCAAATGAAGGAGATTGCTAGTCTCTACGTATGCGAGCTCTGCGTAAAGCGAAGATAACGCGAAACACGTTCATATATAAATACTGTCATCACCAGTGTGTACAGTGTTCTCTGGTCACAGACTCGATGAGCTTGTAGCGACGAGAGCACCCTTGGGCGAGAAGGCGGTCGCCGGGAGACGCGAAATTCGAGCTCATGGCAACTCTGCCTCATCTGCAACGAACTCTAGTGATAAAGGTGTCGACGTCGTCAACACGCATCATGCTCCAAGGCCTGTCGGAGTGCTACATGTATTGATATTAAATGAACGGGATGCACAGAGAAGAAATGCAACGTCGAACTAGGACACTTCGAACGCTGGATCATCGGCGTCTGCGCGGAGTTCGGCCTTGACACCGGACGGGTCCAGCGGCGCGACGACTGCCGACGCCGTGTTGTTGCTGCACGCGTTGTCGTCGTCGTTCTCGCGCGTGGCTTGGAGCTTTGTGGTCGACGTCGCGATCAGGAGGGCATCGACGACGTCGTCGTTATCTTGGTTCTCGTCCAAGGCAGCCTTCCAAAACACTTGCTCGACGAGCGCCAACACGACATGCGTCTCCCCGTCGAGGCTACTGAGGTCGCCAATCTCGGCGTCTGCCTGCAGAAACTGCCACATCCATGGACGCACCCACGTCGTTTGCGTCTGCACCTACACCGACAGTTATGACGACACGACCAGCATCCCTTCGAAGCGTACCTCGGGTGACTGCACGTACGCATTAACGTCGCGGTGCGTCGCGGCGTGCGTAAGTACAAAGTCGAGGAGGTAGTACGTGTAGTGGTGCAAGCTTCGGTGGTGGCGGAAGTAGTAGGCGACTTCGAGCGCACCGTCGTCGGCCGAGAAAAGCGCTTCGATGCGGGCGCGCCGGTGGCCATCGTCGTCCATGGTGAGCAGGCCGCCGAGGAGCTCGAATGTCGTTTCAAGCAGCGTCGACGTCTTGACGCTGTCGAGCACCGACAAAAGCGCCTTGACGACGGCGACGGCGTCCGCGTCCGTTGCGACCGGCGCCTGGACGCAGCGCATCACAAAGGTCTCAAAGCCAAGTGCGAGCGCACAGCAGAGCCGCGTCGGGTCGAGCAGCAGCTGCATGTCTTGGTGCGGCAACACATCGTTGGACGCTTCAAAGAGCTGCGGCAAGAACAATGTCTCGAGTGCGAGCGTCGCGACGCGGGCCGACGGCTGCTGGGCCACCAACTGCTCGGGCACGGACGCGGCCGTCGACTCGACGCCATCGACCGCCAGCGACGCGCCAAAGTGGTAGCCCATGTGGCACGTCGTGCGCAAGAGACGGCGCGCGACCGGCACGTTGCTGATGGCGCGCGCCAGAAAGTCACCAAGAGCGCCGAGCGCCGACCCGAGGACACCGTTCGCGACCACGGTCGACGTCGTCGGTCCCGCGACTTCGATCGTGTCGCGCTGGTAAAAGATACCGACACACTCGTCGAGAAAGTTGGCGAGTAGCGTCGTCGTACTCTCTGCGGAGGCCTCTGACGCCAAGACGCCAATGCAAGCCAAGGCGACATCAAAGAAACCGATTCGGAGCTGCGTGTCGGAGCAGAGATGCACAACGTCAAAGAGCCGCGTCCGGCGCTGGACGTACTCGCCGATCGCAATGCAGCCTGGTGCTGTCGGGAGCAACTCGGTGACTGCGTACGCAAGGAACCACGCGGCAAAGTCAGCGGTAGGCGTCAAAAGCGGCGCGAGCAAGCCCGCCACGTCCGCTCTCGGCGCGCTGCTCAAAAGTGCAAAGTCAAAGAGGATCGACGCCGCGACAGTCGACGCCTGCGCCTGCGCGTCGGTGGCTGAGATGTCAGTGTCCAGCGCGTCGCGTACTTGCCGAAGGAGCGGCGCGTATCCGGCGTCAAACGCATGCAGCAAGCTTGAGAACGCTTGGTTCTCGGCCAACACTGTCGCGGTCGCCTCTGCCACGTGGCTCGTCGGCGGTGTCCGCGCAGGCACTGGTGGCGCGTCCACCTTGTCGTAAAAAAGCATGTAGGCGCTTCGGCGCTTGGACTGCGCCGTGGCCACATAGCGACGGGTGCTTGCGTCCCAGCGCTCGACGACTTCGTCGCCGCCAAAGCACTCGTCGCGCAAGTGCTCCACGTCAAAGGGGCGCACGGTCTGGTCGTTGCATTCGACCCAGAGATCCTTCGCGTCGCGCAAGAACGAGTAGTAGTGCCCCGTGTCGCACGTGCCGCTGTGTACGACGACGCCGCGCAGCGCGTAGAGCGCCTCGCCCGCCTTGCCGTCGAGACCGTCGGACGTGAACGGGTGCATGTCGAGGCTCGTGGGGAACTCGAGCATGTCGTTGAGTTTGCACTTTTCCATCGTATCAAAGTCAAACTCAAAGCGCTTGAGGTGCACGACGAGCGTCTTGGGTAGCGACTGAAGGCAGACGCGCTTGAGCGCCTTCACTTTGGCCTGCGCAACTTCGCAGTAGTACGCGTTATCCCCCTCCAGCGTCTCGCCCTGTACGTACGCAGCGAGGGAAGCCGCGAGCGACGCCTTGTGCTGCACGTCGACGCTCAGCGCAAAAAAAGGCTCGTCCCGCGCCGAGACGTGTCCATGCTCGGTAATGATCTGGTTTACGAGGCGCCCGCCAAAGCCGAGCGTCGCGGGAGTCACGAACGACTCGACGCGGTCGAGGAGGACCCCAAAGAACTCGTCGGCGTCCATTTGGATGCGCACGTCTGTCGGCTGTCCATCTTCGTCCTTGTGCGATACGCAAAAGGCGGTCGGGTCCACAAACTTGCGCGCGGTTGTCTCGAGACCGACAAAGACGCGCTGGAGCTCGCGCACCTCATCCGCAGCTGACGACGACGCGTCAATCGACGTTGAGAGCAGTGCGTCCCGGAACGACTGCATGTGGAAGAGCTGCTGCACAAGGGCGTTCATGTAGCAGGTGCAACCGGGGTTGAAGAGGCCGGCGGCGGACGACGAAGACCGTGCTTCGTCGAGCGGCGCAAACGCCCACGGCCGTCCGACGCGGTCGAGGACGTCGACAGCTTTTGTTTGGAACGCGACAAGCAATTGCAACGCGGTGGGTGCGATGTGCGCGGGGTCCTGGGCGACGAAGCGCTCGATGATGTCCAGCGCATGGCCACGAGCAAGCTCCGAGTAGCACGCAACGCCGTCGTTTCCAAAGAGAAGCGCGTGCCACAGACTGTCCACCATCTCGGGCGTCGGCACCACAACGTTGGCCGAAACGAGTGTTTGCACGAGCCGAAGCAGACCGACCAAGACGATGTCGGGCCCCGAACCAATGCGCTCCGAGCTCGTGTGCGCTTGCACGTGCTGCAGCAGCGTCGCAGCAAAGTTCGAAGCGCTCAGCCAACTCATGGTTGCCGGCAACGGAAGCGCTGCGGCCAAGACGCTTGTCGCCAGAGCAAAAAATGCATCGTTGGCTTCGGACTCCGTGACGGTAAGGGCGATGGCGCTGACGGCTTGCGCGACGTCTGGCAGCATGGCTTGTCCATGCTGGCGCAAGAACGACGTAAACGCGTCACAAAGCCGGTCGCGGGTGCCGACATCCGGGCAGCGGAGCCCAATGGCCCGAAGCCACGGCTGCCACTGACCTTGAAAGTGCGTGTGCACGTACGCTGGTGCGCGGGCTCCGAGCAAGACGACGATGTGCATGGCGGCGTCGACGACGGCCGATGTGTCGTCCGACATCATCTCCGCCAACGCATGTCGCTCGATCGTGTGCAAAAGCAAGCTCACGATACGGCCCTCGTCCACGGCGCGGTGGAATGCCGGAAGGCTTTCCGCCACAAGCTGCTGGTCAAAGCGCGATGGCAGAGCGGATGGGAGCGCGTCGAGGCCCCAGATGTACCCAACCACACGCAGCGCGGCCGCCAAGCACGTCATTTCCAACGTCGACGTTGACGCTGCTGGCCACGCGACAATCGCAGTGTAGAGGTGGAGTGCGCCGCCGAGGCGCACAAAGCGTTCGCGCCATTGCCGGCGTGCCGCGTGGTCGCCCGAGACGTCGTCCGCCGGCAGCAAGAGCGCCTCGACGATGCGGAGACCGTAGAGCAACCGGTGCGCGTTCGACGTGTCGAGCAAGCTCTCCCAGTGCACGGCGCTCGAGACGGAGTCTCGAAGAAGTACCATTCGGTCCAGTAGCTTGCGGTTGGTCGGGAGCGACGAAAGCAGGTCCCACGCCCCGTCGCTCGTCGGTGATGGCCACTCCAAGACGTGGAATAGCGCGTCAAAGTACTCGTCCGTGTTGACGACCGCGTTGTCAATGCTTGTCGGCGCTGCTTTCACCGTCACTTGAATCGGTGCCGGCAGCGGATAGATGCGCGCGACCCGCTGCAGTGACGCGGTTCGCGACTCGTACGAGTCGTCGCTCGGGGCGTCGAAGTCGTTGAGCGCTTGCAAGACCGACTGCTTGAGAACGCGCGCGCCATCGACCGGCTTGGCGGGCGATGGGAGCACCGCGAGCTCGGGCGTCACTGCCTTTTCTGGCGCACACGCCGTCAAAAAGCGGTGCAAGAGCGCGACGCAGCGGGTCACGAGGCGCGCCGCGTCGCTACATGTGTCGTTTGCGGTGACTATGGCCTTGGCCCGAAGCAAATGTCCCATGCACGTGTCGGTAAACACCCGTTTGCAGACATCGGCGTCGACGTCGACGTCCAAATGATACGCGATGAGGTGGTCCATGCACGTCTCAACGACGTCGCCCGTCGCATGGAGCGCCAAGTGCCACAGCTCAGAGAGCCCCACGAGGTCGCTCAGCGGCAGCACAACGGCGCAACGCACTTCGTCACTGTCGCCCGGCAGCGGCTGCAATGACTGCAGCGTCAAGTTGACCGACTGGAAGAGCAGGTGGAAGCACTCGAGCGCGTCGACCGAGATGAGCCAGCTCGGAAGCGATCCAAACTGGTGTACAATGTGCATGCGCAAATCGTGGTCGAGCAGTGTCATCGTGTCGTCCGGTAAAAGCTGCTCGCAGAGCTGAAACCACTGAAAACAAAGATCGGCTTCGGACGACGTCGCAGCCGATGCGACGCAGTTGTGCCAGAGCGTATTGAGCTGCGACGGGCTCATACGCGTGCCGTGGTTGGCCAGTACCACCAGCAGCCAGCTCCCGTGCAACGCCAGAAGCCGACATTTGAGAGGCTCTTGCGCGTCGTTGCTCTCGGCGTTGCCGCGTGCTTTGAACTCGGAGAGCTCGTTCAAGAGACCCGTCAAGACCGTTGGCTGGAGGTCATGGCACTGCTTCTCGGTCAGCCGCGGGCGGTACCCTTCCGAGAAGAGACGGCTAAAGTGCGACAGAAAGTGCAGCGCCGCGCGCACCGCTTCTGGCGTTTGGCTCGAGCGCACTTGGATGAGGTGGAAGCAGTCGACGAAGACGTCGCCCATGGCCTCGCCGAGGAGCGCGTGCAGAGCTTGAATGCACATGTCCATGTTTGCAACGCAGCGGTCCGTCTTGAGCGCGTTCCAGAGGTGTGTGGCCACTTGCTGGTGGTTTTCGCTTCCGCGAGCATTGCGGGCTGCGGCGCGGAGCACACTGAGCGCCGCGCTGTCAATGATTGGCAGCGACGCGACACGGCCCAGAACGTACGGGACGCTCTGCGCGTTGGCAACGATCTCGACGAGGAGCTCGAGCGTCGTCGTGAGAAGCGCTTCGTGGCGGCCCTTGCTCGCGTCCATGGCCACGCCCCAGACCAGGTCGAGGTGCTCGGCCGCTACGCCGCTCTCGCCGGCGTATATATCAAAGATGGGGGCAGCCCGCTTGAGCAGCTCGGCGTGCATCGTGTCGCCAAATAGATGCCCCAGCACCTGCGTCGACACCATTGAGAACATGGACGTTGGGCAAGCGGATTGTACCTGGTGCGCGTCGAGCCAAGCCACTGCCATCGGCGTCGGCAGCTGCTTGAGCGTCTCTGTCATGTCGGCCAGTCCGTGCAGCCGCTTCTCGAGCGATCGACACCCGAGCATCTTGTGCGCAATCTACGCGGGATATAAACTCGTGCTCGTTTGACTGGAAAAACATATACCTCGAGGGTGAGAGTGTAGAAGAGATGGTCGTGCGTCGGGCTCGTCAAGATCTCAAAGAGGTGCACAGCCTCGCCGAGCTCGCTGCGCTGGACAGACGAGAGGTCCGCTGGCAACGCGGCCACGTGCGCGACGATCGCGTCGCTCAAGGCGGGGAGGAGCTCGAGCATGAAGCCTGTCGCCAGTTGGTCCTTGACAATGACAACGCACTTGAACGCGCATACGACAGCGTTGAGCTCAAAGGGCTGGCTAATGCGGTACTCGAGATCTTCGTTCTCGTCGTCCGTCGCGGGGTCGCCTGCCCGCTGCCGCGACAGCGCCGGGTCGAGGTTGCACAAGATCGCGTCGAACCCGCCCGCTTCAATAAACGCATCAATGTTCTTTGCCAGCAGCTCCGAGGTTGCGCCGTCGCCCTCTAATGCATGCATATCATGAGCTTGGCCTTTCCTGTCGATCTGCGCCGTACGAGCAGCGTCGTTGAGGTAGAAGGCGCGGTTGTCGTCCATGAGGCGATAGAGCGTCGGGAGCATACTGGGGTCGCCGATGCGCAGCCGTGACACGACGCATTCCAACGTAAACTAGTCGCGATGCGCGTGCGTGCGTGCCATCGCATGGACGTGTGTACCTGGAAGAACTCGTTCACGGTCGCTGCGACAGTGTCGGCAAAAGACCGCGCCAGCAAGACCTGCACGTAGTGCTCCATGTAGTCTGTCACAAGGCGCTCCTCGGCGTCCGCTAGCACACGATGCCATGAGCTGCATGCCGCATGCTCGGTTGAGGTCGTACCCGGAAGTGCACCGGACGTGACGACCTCGACGATGGCCGAGAGCGCATGCGTCGGGTTGACGTCCTTCTGGACGTCGTCGCACAGGCTGGTGCATGTACCGTCCAGGTCATCGAGTATCGCGCGGCAAAGGCGCAGCACGCGGTCCGGGTCCTCCATGAGGTTGCTGCCTCTTTGCCGAGTAAGCTTCCGTTTCATCGTGCAAGACGACGCGCTCGTTCAAGTGCGCCTTTTCAAGATATACTTTAACGCCATATATCTCATTAAGTGCGCCATCCGTTTTGCCCCATGTGGGTCAAGTGCGGTTGCATACAAAAAACAAGTGAGTCCATCGCCGCCGGTTTCGCGTTGGTTTTGGATTGCCAAGAGACACTTGAGCCAAATGGACGCAGCGACGCTCGCCGACCTCCGCGCCAAGTACGCGAGCAGCGCGCCCGCGCCGTCGCCGCACGTCTATGGCGGAGCGTCCACGCTGCGCATCTGCGACCGGTGCCACGGCCAGCGCATCGAGCGCGTGCCATACAACTTCATGGTGCTCGAGCAGACCTGCTCGGGTATGACGCGTCGGTTCGCTGCATTGCATGGTAGCTCATGGCTCTGCTGCGTAGCGTGCGATGGTGAAGGCGTGCAAGCAGCGCAGCGAGGCCAAGTGTAGTAGACGAGCCACTATATAAGCGGGGCAGCGTGGCCTGTCCGTAAATCCAACGTGCGTGCTAAGTCGTCAGATTTCGATTTCCTGCGCTATCACAGCCCCTCCATCGCACGGCGATGACCACCGTATCCCATGGTATTTCTCCGCTCGCAGCGTCACTTGGCGACGACTTGTTGGCGCTACCAGCGTTTGACTTTGACACGATCGAGGACAATGACGGTGGGAAGGAGCTCCACGACGACGAGATGGGCTTTCTCTGCGACGTCCTCTTCTTCAACGATCCTGCTACCGCCCCCGTCGACGACCTTTTCGAGTGCCCTCTGGACTTGCTGCTTGCCCCCGACGTCACGGACGACGAGGCGAAGAAGATTTGCGCGATTGACGGGTGCCACAAGCGCGTTCGGTCGCGCGGCCTGTGCAAGGCGCATGGTGGTGGCCGCCGCTGCTCCGTGGCTGGTAAGCTATCGATTCAAAAGCCAAAATCTCATTGAAGCAACAGGATGCATCAAGAGCAGTCAGGGCCGAGGACTCTGCATTCGTCACGGCGGTGGCCGGCGCTGCCAAGAGCCCGGCTGCTCCCGCGGCGCCCAATCGAGCGGTCGATGCAAAAACCACGGTGGTGGTATCCGCTGCCGGGCCCCCGGGTGCACCAAGAGCAGCCAAGGCGCTGGGTACGCTCCTCCTCTCGACAGCATAATTCTCGGAGTCTCAAATCATTGAGGTTTTGCCGCACGCATGGTGGCGGCAAGCTCTGCAAGCACCCTGGCTGCAAGAAGGGCAGCCAACGCAAAGGCTACTGCGCAACTCACTGCCACACCCATGCGATCAGTCGCACGTAACCACGTCACAACATGATGTACTGAGAACGAAGATATTGAGCTTTGAGGCATGCAGTAGAGAGATCGGTTGTATTGTCGGAACCTTAAGATGAGGCTCCAGCTGCCTCAAGAGCCAGCACGACGTAGTGGATAGCAACAGACGATGACGATCGGTGCGGAAGGCTAACATCACAAATGCCACTCGGCGCACTGTCGCGTTTAGCGTGAGCTTCCCTCTCCGATCTTTATATTGGCATGTCGGCCTGCCACGTCAGAAGAATCAATTCTCAAAGGACCTCGTAAAAAGCATACGGCCGCCTTGCTCGCCCGTAGCCGACGCGATGAGCCGCCGGCAGATCCGATTCGAAGAATACGCATCGTCAGGACCTGTCGTCGAGCGCGTCGCCTGCAACATGGAGACGAAGCCTGCGCGTGCGCCCAAGTTTGCTGCGTCCGCGTCGCACGTTGCCAACGACGCGTACCTGGCGGCCTTTGACGCCGACCCGCGCAAGCCTTCGTCCAAGCAGCCGCAGCCTGCTAGCGCGACCACCTCGGGAAAGGACAACATTGTCTTGCCCAAGATTGTCGGTGCCACGCGCGCACCCGCGCCCACAGCCGAGCCGACGACCCGTCCATCGTCGTGGCCACGAGGTCCGAGCGATGCAGCTGGCTCGGCGCAAGCCGTATCCAGCCAGCCGCTGACGTGCATGAGCTTGGCGCCGGATGGCTCGGAAGCGGTCGTTGGCAGCTGCGACCACGCGCTCTACACAATCCCGCTGCGCAGCTCCGGATCCAAGAAGGCTCGGGGACGTACGTTGTATACCAAGACGTGCGGCCACAAGGAATGGGTCACGGCCGTCGCGCACCTCGCCGGTTGACAGCATCATGGAATGTAAAAGCTCATGGGAATGTAGATGGCCGCGTCGTCTCTGCGGGTATGGACAGTAAGCTCTGCCTCTGGGACAACGGTGCAGTCGCGCGCTGCGAAGATCTGGTACGCTTGCGAATCGCACCACCTATCGACCACTCGAGTCTCGTCGACGGTAGACGGGCCACGCCGGGTCCATCTCGCTCGTCCAGACGATTGGCAACGACTGGATCGTGAGCGCGAGCTACGACAAGACGTATCGGCTGTGGGACGCGACCCCCGGACGGCGCGCCGGCAAGAATGGTCGAGAGAGACATGTGTTGCGAGGGCACGACGCCCCAATCCTCGACTGCAGCCTGTGGGGCTCACGGCTCGTTGGCGGTGACCGCAGTGGCTCGGTGCTCGTTTTCGACCTTGCTTCTTGTATCGCTATTTGCACGAGTATTGGTGCACATGGTGCTTAGATGGTCTCGAGAAGAAGTGGAAGGCAGCGCACGACGGCCACTGCACGAGTGTTTTGGGCTCGGTGTTTGCACATGACGTTGCCTACAGCGGCGGCCAAGACGGCGTCGTGCAGCGCTGGGACCTGCGCACAAAAGCAAGTACGCTCGCGCTGCCCGTGCATAGCGGCAAGACGGGAAAGGGCGCGGTACGTTTGACATGCCACGAGTGTTTTGGGCAAAGGAGTGGTACTGTAGGTGAGCTTTCTACGCGAGCAACCATCCAACCAACACGTTCTCGTCACGGGCGGCGCCGACGGCAAGGTCCACGTCCTCGACACGCGCCTCAACGCGCTCCGGTCGACGTTTGATAGCCACCAGACGTTCATCTATTCGCTGCATGTGGCCCACGACCTGTGCTTTAGCGGCAGCGGCGATGGGATGCTGCTCGTGCACGACTTGGCCACCGACACCTTGTGCTACGGCCTCGGCGCCAACCAGGCTGCTGTACGAGCCATTGTAACGACGCCCAATGAGCTCGTGGCGGCCGGCGACGATGGCTGCGTCCTTGTCTACAGCTTTGAATAAGGCCGAGTTAACTGTATATACTGCATGGTGTCGGCGTGACGACCACTTCTTCTCGAGTGTTGAGGCAGCTTGTAATATCGACTACTAGTACACTTTAAAGGCATGTTGTTTGTGGTATTATTAAATAGATGAATGGTTCATAATCGAGAGTCTCCTAGTGCGCGCGTTGCTTGTTGCGTGCGTCGCGCAGGATGCGCTCGACGGTCCGAGCGAGCGCACTCGGGCGAGGGCACGCTGTCGCCAGAGGCGATGTGACGGCCGCCTTGCGTGGCGCCGCGTGGATCGTAGGGCGAAACGTGCACCCTGCGAGCTCCTTGGCGGCCTTTGCGGCCGCGCGCTCGGCCACGATCGTGTGGCGCCGTGTCTTGTCCCGAAGCCGCGGCTTGTGCCTTGGCCGGGCGGCTGATCTTGGGGCGGAAGGTGCACTCCTTGAGCTCCCGTGCAGCCTTGGCGGCCGCGCGCTCGGCCACGATGTGGCGGCGCGGCGCAGAGAGGCGGTCGAAGACGGTGGTCATGGTGATGAGGTTGGATTGCGGACGATTGCAACTTTTCTGGTTTGGATCGCAAAAGCGAAGCGTTCTAAAAATAGAGGTCATCGTGGGGCCTGATTGGCCTACATCGCTTCGGATTCTGCTTTGTAGCCAATGAGAGGCCGTCGAGAAAAGAATTCAGCACGCATACACATTCTGATTCCGGATACGATGCCTGTGGACCGTGCAGCGACGCCGTTTCAAAGGGCGCCTCGGGGCCTCTCGTTACTGTCGTATCCGGAATCAGAATGTGTATGCACGCACCGTGCTGAATTCTTTTCTTTACAGCCTCTCATTGGCTACAAAGCAGAATCCGAAGGGATGTAGGCCAATCAGGCCCCACGATGACCTCTATTTTTAGAACGCTTCGCTTTTGTGATCCAAACCAGAAAAGTTGCAATCGTCCGCAATCCAACCTCATCACCATGACCACCGTCTTCGACCGCCTCTCTGCGCCGCGCCACCACATCGTGGCCGAGCGCGCGGCCGCCAAGGCTGCACGGGAGC